CTTATAATTATTAAAAAGCCTTTTATAAAGATTTAAAAATTATTAAAAATTAATTTAAGCTACTTTATAATATAATAATTAAGTATAAAATTATAAATAATAATTTTATAATTTTAATAAAATTAACTTTATAATAAGCATAATTATTATATTAATAATAATTATATATATTAATAAATATAAAAAGGTTAAATTAATTTAGCTTAATAATTAAAAATAAGCTATAATTATTAAATATATTAATATAAAAAGCTAATATATTCTATTATTTGTAATTATTTAAGGTATTTATTACCTTATAAGCTAAGTTATAAAATTAAATTTCTTAAATAATTAAGTTATTAAACTTATTTTAAATAAATAAATAAATAATAAAATTAATTTAAAATAAATTTAATATTTTAATAAATATATTAAGTAATAAATAAAAAGCATATATTAAATATTAATATTAAATAATTATAAAAGCTATATATTAATTAAGTTTAATTAATATTATAAGGATAATAATATTATCTTTATTAGCATATTGCTATATTTTTTAATTTCTTTTATTTATTAAATATTATATTATACTTGCCTTTAAAGCATATATATAATAATTAAATTAACCTTTTTATTTAAGCATTTATTAACTATATAATTAAGTTTAAGTTTTTTCTTATATTTATAACAACTTATAATAAAACCTTTAAAAAAATAATATTAAAATAATATTTAAAAAAGCTAAAATCTTGCCTTAAAACCTAAATTTTATTATTTTTAAACTTAATATATGCTTATAAACTCTTATATAAACACTTCCTATCTTTCCTTAATATTAAAAGTTTTAAATATTATTTAATACTTAGTAAATTTTTAAGTAATTAAACTTTATTAAAAATAAGATCTTTGCTTATTAAAATAGCTCCCTTATATTAATTATAAAAACTATTAATTAAATAATAAAAAGTATATAAATAATAATATATAAACTTATTATTTTAAAGAATTAAGTTTATACTTTTAAAAATATTAATATAATATTTATTAAATATTAAAGGGCTAAAAAAACCTAAATATAATTTAAAGAAGCACTTATTATTAAAAAGTCTTAAGCTTTTATTTAAAAGAAATAAAAGGAAAAGCAATTAGTTAATAAAATATATAATAATATTAAGAAGGTAATTTATAATAAATTAATTAAATAATAATATAATAATTATAATAAGATTAAGCATAATATAAAAACTTATAAAAAAATAAAAAAAGGTTAAGTTAATTAAATTTTAATTATATTATAGCAAATTTAACTTAATTAATATTAAATAATATAAATATATTTATTTTAATAATTTATAATAAACTATATTTTTAATAGTATAATTGGCACTATTTAATGTAAAATGCAAGTTTCCCATTAAAAGTCGCCTATTTTAAACCCACATTATACCTATATTAATTACTTTAAATTAATTAAATTAATAAAAAATAAGAGATTAAAAGCAATTAATATTAATTAATACTAACTTTTTATATATTTATTAATCTTAAGGTAATATTAATATTAACTAAAGTTAAGTAAAGTTGCAAAAATCCGCTACTTATTAATATTTATTACTTATTAGTAAACTACGTTAATATAGTTTATTACTAAGTAATAAATATTATTAAGTAGTGGATTCTTTTAACTTTATTTAACTTTTATTAATTATAATATTATATTAAAATAAATAAATTAATAAAAAGTTAGTATTAATTAATGTTAATTATATTTAATTTTTTATTTTTAATTAATTTTATTAATTTAAAGGGGCTAAAGGTAATATAATATAATTAAAAATTATTAAGGTTTTAATGAAATAAGCTATTTTTAATGTTAATTATGTTTTTAATTTTTATATTAATTTTGCATTAATTTACTTACTTAAATATTTAATGCATAAGAAATTAATAATAAAAATATATTTTTTTTATTTAAAAAAGATAAAGTATTCTTAATTATTTAAGTTATTTAATACTTTAAAAAAAGTTATATTAAACCCTTATTTATAACTTAAGTTATTAAAATCTTTAATATTCTTAAAATAACTTTATATTATAAAATAAATTAATAATATAGTTTTAAAGAATTATATATTAAATAATATAAACTTAATTTAATTAAAAAGTAAATGCTTATTTAATAAATTATTAATTAAAATACTTAAGGATTTTCTTTATAAATTTTTAATATAAAAAATATAACTAACCTTTTATTAATATTTTAAAATAATAAATTTATAAATAAGTATTAAGCTTAATGCTTTATAAATTTATAATTTAGCTTAAAAATTAAGTTTAATTATCTTTATAATTATTAAAGAGCTTTTTATAAAGATTTAAAGATTATTAAGAATTAATTTAAGCTTCTTTATAATATAATAGCTAAATATTAAATTATTAATAATAACTTTTATAAATTTAATAAAATTCACTTTGTAATAAATATAATTATCTTATTAATAATTATTATATATATTAATAAGCATAAAAAGGCTAAATTAATTTAACTTAATAATTAAAAATAAATAATTATTATTAAATGCATTAATATAAGTAAGTTATAAATTGTATTATTTATAATTATTTAAAGTGCTTATTATTTTGCTAGCTAAGTAATAAAATTAAGTTTTTAAATAATTAAGTTATTAAACTTATTTTTAATAAATAAATAAATAATAAAATTAGCTTAAAATAAATTTAATATTTTAATAAACATATTAAGTTAAAAAGAAATGTTAATTATTAAATATTAATTATAAATAATTATAAAAGCTATATATTAATTAAGTTTAATTAATATTATAAGGATAATAAAATTATTATTATTAATATATTATTATATTTATCTTATTTACTTTAATTATTAAATATTATATTATATTTACCTTTAAAGCATATATATAATAATAAAATTAATCTTTTTATTTAAGCTTTTATTAATTATATTATTAAATTTAAGTTCTTTCTTATATTTAAGGTAACTTATAATAAGACTTTTATAATAAAAAATATTAAGTTTATATTTAAAGGAGTTAAAATTTCTTCTTAAGATTTTAATTTTATAATTTTTAAGCTTAATATTTACTTATAAATTTTAATATAATCTTTTTTTATTTTTTTTAAAAATAAAAGTTTTAAATATTATTAAATGCTTAATAAATTATTTAATAATTAAGTTTTATTAAAAGCAAGATTTCCGCTTATTAAGAAAGCTTTCCTATATTAATTATAAAGGCTATTAATTAAATAGCAAAGAATATATAAATAATAATATATAAACTTATTATTTTAAAGGATTAAGTTTATATTTTTAAGGATATTAATATAATACTTATTAAATGCTAAAGAATTAAAAGAACTTAAATATAGCTTAAAAAAGTACTTATTATTAAGAAATCTTAAGCTTTTATTTAAAAGAAATAAAAGGGGAAGTAATTAATTAATAAAATAAGTAATAATATTAAGAAAGTAGTTTGCAGTAAATTAATTAAATAATAATATAGCAATTATAATGAAATTAGGCATAATATAAAAACTTATAAAAAAATAAAAAAAAGTTTAATTAATTAAATTTTAATTATATTATAATAAATTTAGCTTAATTAATATTAATTAATATAAATATAGCTATTTTATTAATTTATAGTAAATTATTTCTTTAATAATATAGTTAGCATTAATTAATATTAAATATATATTTTTTATTAAAAATTAACCTATTTAAATTAATATTATATTTATATTAATGCTTTTAAATTAATAAAATTAATTAAAAATAAGGAATTAAATGCAATTAGCATTAAATAATACCAACTTTTTATTAATTTATTTACTTTAACGTAATATTATAATTAATAAAAGTTAGGTAAAGTTGGAAAAATCCGCTGCTTAGTAATATCCGCTACTTAGTGGTAAACCACGTTATACTATTTTTTAAGCAGCTTACTTTTTAAGAAATATTTTCCCTTTAATCCTTTATAAATCTCATTTTTCTTTAATTTACTTAATAAAACTCCTTAATACAAGTAACTATTTTTAAGCTTATAAATAAAGTATAAAATTATTTATAATACCTTATTTTATTTATAAATAATTATGAAAGATTTCTTTAAATACTTAAAATATTTATAATCCCTTTTCTTTTCTTTTGTTTAAAAAAGAATTAACCTTTCTTTATATTATTTTTTAAGCAGCTTACTTCTTAAGAAATATTTTTCCTTTTATTCTTTATAAGCCCCGTTTCCCTTTAACTCGCCTAGCAAAACCCCTTAGCATAAGCAGCCATCCCTAGGCCTGCAAACAAGGCATAAAGTTGCCCGCCATGCCCTATTTTACTGTATTTGCGAGACACATGTCAACGCAGCAAATGCATTTCCCCCTCCTCGGGCCGAAAGACATTCGCGACCTGCGACGTTCCCACAGTTCCTCAGCTGCGCGATCCCGATACCGACAGTATAAGGCTTAGCACTGATGGCAGTCTTGAGATCACCCGGGAAAATGACTTCCTGACCGGTGATAAACACACCTCCGTGTATTCGAAGGATTTCCTAGAGCGCCTAGAATATAAAGATGGCATGACAAACTACGAAAGTCGCCCTAGTCGACTCTTTTGGGACAAGGCCACCTTTTGGCACAGCATGGAGTCACGGGTCGTCACCTACAGTGGCTGGATGGAAGGAGGCACGGAGTTTGCGGAGGCTGTGGTGAATCTCATCAGATTTGGTCTGGTGTTCGTGCGAGACGTGCCCAAAGCACGGCATTCTGTGCAGAGAATTGTGGAAAGATAGGAATTCTCCAGTCTACGATCCGCGGGCTCACATGGGATGTCATCTCCCAGCCTGGAGCAGAGCAAGTGGCGGGTAACAACCGACATTTAGGTCTTCACCAAGACCTGCTGTACTGCCAACCACCACCTCGCATCAAGTTCCTCCACTGCCTGGAAAATGAATGCAAAGGCGGTGTGTCGCTATTCAGTGATGGGCTGCATGCTGCCTCGGATCTCCAAGCGCAAGACTGGCCCAGCTGTAAGGCGTTGCAGACCCAAATATGTCACTTATTGGTATCAGAGAGAAGGGCACTACTTGGAGTCCCGTCGGCCTGTCATAGATACGGGTCCAAGTGGCAATCTCCAATCCGTCTCCTGGTCACCTGCCTTTCAAGGTCCCTTTCGCGTCAGTGAGCATCAAAAGACCCTCGACCTTCCAGCATTCCGTGGCAACCCGCGCGAGGCGGGCCCTGGGACGGGAGCATTGCGTGCTGGGAGCAGAGCCGCCAGGGCCTCCAGAGACATCCTGGAGTCGCCGGAAAACGTGGTCCAGCATCGGCTGGAGCCCGGCGACTGCGTCATCTTTGACAACAAGCGGATCTTGCACGGGAGGACACAAGTCGACGCTTCTGCGGGACTCAGGCACCTGCGCGGTGCGTACGTGGACGGGCAGGCACTGCACAGCACCTTTGTGAACCTCAAAAAGAAGAACTTGATGACGCACGGACTTGTCAGTAGCGCATACGAGCCGGGGAATCCGTTATTCCGGGGGGGCATAGGGGACATAAGCCTCAATGACCTCCGTCCCTGGTCCGGGCCGGGGGCCTAGACAATGCCGGGGGAGGTTGGCATGATACTCAAGTGTACAAGCAAACTCTCCTCACTAGCCAAGTTCAGCTGCCACGCACCTCGTGGGCGAAGGAGACTGGGTTCAGCTTCCAAATTACGAAAACGGGAAGGGTAAATAGAGTATGTCGCCTCTGTGGCCTCCGTCACTCCTCAACACTACTATCCAGCAATCTCTTGTGACAGTATGACTCCCGCATTTCCCTGCGCACTGTGTTCCTGTAATAAAAAGCCACGCTGAAACAGAGGTGGCTCCAAAATTGTCTTGAAAACAATAAACTTTGAACTGGTTTGATGAAGGGGAGTGGCTGTAATAAACTCTGGTCCTCGGCTACAGAAGCCACTTCACAGGTAGTTAAGCCATTGAGATTGGCAGCGCAGTGACTGATCCATGGCGACTTGACCGCGGAATGCACTACAAGGAATCTGCTGACTGAATTGATATGGTTTAATCAGTCATACTTGATTATTTTTGAGCTACAAAACAAGTACCTATCGCGTGCTCATCTAACTAGGCCGCATGTAAACCTTCCTGATTTCCACAATTGTACGCGACCCTCGCTACGTGAAGTATACGTCGACAAGGAGATTAGTTGAGCATCTTGACCTGTGGGCACATTGAGGGCAACCAGTATGGCGTCTACTACGGCTGAAAACCCGTAACTCGGTAGAACCTACTTCTGCGGCACATTCGGCTGTTCTCGTGGTCTTCGTCAGTGGCGATTTTGCTGCTGGTGGCAATGGCAGCCAACGCGGTACGGAACATTTCCGGCATCAACTGGTCTCTTCCAAGGTTTTCCACAAGCATGGGAACTGGAACCATTATTATCCATAGGGTAGCCACAAGTTACTCAATTACATGCAAGTACTCTCTTGGCCTTTGGGACTCTCTTCAGGCCTTCTCCAGCACGATCTTCAGGGCCCTCGGCTCGACACCCCATGCTCTACCGTCCTCGCCTAGGTGGAAGACGTACTCATCGACACCGAAAACACCGTGGGTGGGCCGATCGATCCCGACCCAGGAGGGGCAAGCATCAAATGGCGACCCTGTGTCTGGCACCGAAACGTATGTTGATCTCCACGAGACCTGCTTGCCATGCTTGCTCACGATGTTGGTTGGATACATCTGGAAGTTTTCTATGCCCTGCAACCACGAGCGCCGCAGGTCAGTGCCGTTGCTGACCCATTCCGTGATGCTAAGTCCTGGGATGCCGGGCGCGGTCGCCAGTGTGATGGTCGAATTCAGCCCGTTGGTTGCTGTGTATGTTCCAGCGAACGCGGCGTCCGCTTGCACCCTCGCTGCCTCATCCAAAGCCGGCAGAAGCTCGTCGATGATCACACCAGCGATAGCCGTTGCGATAATTCCTCTTTGACCTGCCATCATCACGACGATTCCCACATCGAAGTCTGGTATCAGAATCAGGTTTGCTCCGTAACCGAGATAATTTCCAGGTTTCGTGTATAAGTCAACCACACGATTACCTCGCGCGTCGATAACGGCGCGAAATATCTCCCAGGGACGACCGACAGCACCAATAAGCGAGGAAGTGAATGACGTGGGCTTGAGCCATGCCCGTGTCGTGGACCCTGGCAGGAGAGAAGAGGAGAGGATCGCACGACCAATGGCAGACATGTCGTTTGGGGAGCTGAAGAGGCCGCCCTCTGCTGCAGCAGGGGTATCGCTGAGGTCAGAATCCCAGCCTGAGGCAGTCGCGTCACCAGGAATGACAGCATTGGTCGAGTTCGGCGCTGAGGATGTCGTCCCGTTGAGCCCCAAGGGTGCAATGAGCAGGCCGCGAAGTGCCTCGTCGAAGGATGAGTTGCCGACCTCTTCTAGAACCAGACCAAGCGTGGCAAAAGCAGCGTTGCTGTACGCTGGAGTGGTGTTTGGCAGGTACGCTGGTCGTCTCTAGCAGGTTCCTGATGAAGACTTCTCGGGTACATCCGCCTGAGCCGTAACTGCACTCAGATGTCTCATTAGCAGCCAGTGGTTGGAATGCGCCTGGAAAGGCGGCGCTAATATCGCCGCCGGGTAGAGAGGTAGTATCGAACACTAGTGGGTCAGCATCACGGCGTTGGGTGTTCACGGGACTGGAGTGCCTCACGCTCAGCAGTGATATCTCCAAGATATCCGGCGAGTGACCCGATGGCAATATCATCCCAGTATGCTGCACCTCGAAGCTCCGGCAGATACCTGGTCACTTTCTCACTTAAGATTCCCTCTCCAGCCTCGAGCAGGAGCAAGTAGACGGTAATCAACTTGGAGGCGCTGGCAATGCGGTACACGGAGTCACCGTCGATTGTTCTGTTGCCCAGCACGGCGGGTCCACGTCGATGGTAGTCCAGCAGTGGCTTTTCTGACTTCGTGGAGAAGATCTGGATCGAATATGTATCATTCGGGCTGACTGGTCCATGCGAAGTATTGCCGCTTGCCAACGCTTCTTCGATCTTGGACTCGAGGAGTTTCAGTGTCTCTTGGAAAGGTGGGGACGAATGAAATTCGCTAGGAACAGGAAACACTGGTCCCAGGATGGGACAAATGCTTGCGGTGGTTATAGCGACCCAGAAGGGGCAGCACAGTAGCGATTTGAAATACATCGTGGACGGTCTGTAAATTCGATGCGCCTGGCTACTGTTGAAGTACGTGGTCACAGGCGCATACGGCATATGTAGTTTGTTCCCCTCCTCGGGTTTCTAGCTATTCCCGCCTGGCCCCAGCTAAACCCCGAATACCAAGTCGAACGAAGGATTTGTGAAAGACATATTTACTGAAGAGGGAAGGTGTGTACTGATTGGGCTGCTGTAAGGCCACCCTGGCCGAGAGAATGTAAGCTGCCAAGATTGAGCCAAGCGGCAGGATCACCACTGACTGATGAGCGCTTCAAGGTGCTTTTGGACGTTATGTAGTACTAGGTTTCTGCAAAGCGCTGAGAGACGAAGCCCAGGCTGACCTGCTTTTCCTAGATATCACGATGCGGAGCCAAGCCCACGAATCATCTTGGTAGAAATGACAAGAAAGCCCAACAGCCAGCCGGCATACGCACGACATTTAACACGGAAGCCGGATAGTGACCCGGGACGATGTGAGTCAGGTAAAGTTGAATAACGAATTCTCTATCATCATTGCATACATTCCTCTGGATAAAGCGGTGGCTTCCTGATCTAGGGTAACAAGGCTCAACCAACTAAGGCCTACGTCCTGGGCCATCTAGATCATCATTTGGTGTATTTCCTGTCCCTGGACTGTGGAATTGTAGTTATTATGATATGAAGTAGTGAGTATCGTTAGTTCCATGACTAGCATTATTTAATTCTTATTCTCGACGGGTCAGTAGCTACTACTATTAAGTGTGATTGATATCGTCTGGTTCGTGTATCGTCATAATCTGGCAATTATGGCTATTCGTGGTGAGTGACGTGAGGGCCAGGTGCATGTCCATTCAAGGCATGTCCATCCAGGTGCGCGTGTGTCTACAACCAGCTGAAATGAAGTCCTCCTCTTACCACTATACTATGCTGCTCCTCTTCCTTGGGCAGCTGGTGCTAGGAAAACCCTCCCTGGCCTCATAAGCATTTGTCGTCTGGCCAACGCAGGCAGCTGCTTAAGCTTGTATTTAGCCCATTCTACCGTGCGGGCTTGGCGGGGCAGACGGTATGCTTACACCTGCACCCGTAACTCTTCCTCCTTGCCACGGACAAGCAGCGAGAGATTGACAAAACACCAGCACATCAACAATGGTAGTCAAGACGATCGCCCCCTACGGCTCGTGGGAGAGCCCCTTCTCCGTCGACGACGCCACCGCCGGCAGCAAGTCGCTGTCGTCGCCCAGAGGAGACGTGCGTAACCAACCCGAACCCCGCCTCTCACTTGCCCGCCGCTGCAGTGCCTCTGCTGCCTCAGGAACGCGAGGCAACCCAACCAAAAAAAGCTGACAAGACCCCCCCGCAACAGATCCGCACCGGCCGCGTCTTTTTCCTCGAGTCCAAGGCGGACGGCTCCAACACCATCGTGGAGGTTGTGACAACGGGTTCGGGCGCCCACGAGCTGGCATATGTGCTCCCCGCGCCGCACGGCGTCAGCACGGGCGTGTACGAGTACGGCGGCGGCGCCTATGAGGTCCTCCCGTCGCGAGGGGGCGGTGATGATACCGCCTCAATCTCGCAGGACGTCATCTTCTCGGACGCGTCGGATGGGAACGCGGTGAAGGTCCTCGGTGTCGACGTCGGGGCTGTCAGGACCCTTGTTGAAGGAACGCCATGGCTGCGGTATGCCGAGTTTGGCGCGTGCGGGGCGTCGCGGTGGGTGCTGGCCGTGCAGGAGGACCACTCTCTGCCTGAGCCGAAGGACGTTGGCAATTATGTCGTCGCTATCGATCTTGTCCGGGGGGAGGTGAGGAGGCTGGTCGAGGGTGCCGACTTTTACAGCTCGCCCAAGTACAGCCCGGATGGGAAGTGGGTGTCGTTCCGCAGCTGGGACCATCCGGACATGCCCTGGCAGAACTCGGCCCTGCGCTGGGCTCAGGTGCTGGGGGATGCCAAGGATGAAGGACCGTCTCTGGTTGCCCTGTCCATCGTTGCTGGAGGCAAGCCCGGGCAGGCCGTGGGTGAGTCGGCGTGGGGCCTCGACGGCGCGCTGTACTGGACGCAGGAGGGCGAAGGCAGCGACTGGCGTCAGCTTTGGAGACAGTGGCCCGGGGACGGAAGGGCAGCCGAGTTGCTCAAACTAAAGGGACTGGAGGAAGTTGAAATCGGGGACTGCTCGATGTTGATGGGAGGGTGAGTCCTCGATACTGTTCTCCTCATTCTGCTACGATAGTGACTGACAGCAGGCTCAAAACAGTCACACATTCGGCTTCCTCTCGCCAAGATCAATGATACTGTCCTACACCAAGTACGCAACCAACAGCACCGTCCACGTTGACCTCGAAACGCTCGAGGTCACCCCTCTGACAGACGTGCCCTTGACCGCGTTCCGTGGCGACACGCTCCACGCCATCACCCCGACATCCTTCTTGATCATCGGCAGCGGCACCATCTACCCCTCAGGGGTGTACCACTTCTCACTCAGCGAGAGCCTGGAGGTCGAAATGACACAGGTGCACACCGCAGACGACAAGAAGATCCCAGCCGACACCGTCTCGGTCCCCCAGCACATATGGCTCAAGTCCACGAGGCAGGACCCCAAGCGGCCCGTCCACGGCTTCTACTGGCCGCCCCACAACCCCAGGTTCGCCGCGCCCGAGGGCGAGCTCCCGCCGCTGCTGATCAACCCGCACGCCGGGCCGACGGCCCACACGCCCCCGGGGCTGAAAGTCGGCGGCGTGGGCGGCGGGAACGCGCAGTTCTGGACGAGCAGGGGCTTCGCGTACTTTTCCGTCAACTACACCGGCAGCTCGGGCCACGGGAGGTCCTACCGGGAGCGGCTGGACGGGGAGTGGGGCATCCTGGACCGGGACGACGTCGTCGAGATTATAAAGCACGTATGTGAGACTGGACGCGCTGACAAGGACCGGGTCGGTATCCACGGGGGCTCTGCGGGCGGCTATAACGTACTGCAGAGCCTGGTGTGGTACCCTGATGTCTTCGCGGCGGGTGTGTGTTACTGCGGGGTGAGCGACGTCAAGGCGCTGGGGGAGGGGACGCACAAGCTCGAGAGCCACTACCTGGAGGGGCTATTGTATAAGCCTGGGATGAGTGAGAAGGAAAAGGAGGCAGTAGAGTATGAGCGGAGCCCGGTGCGACACGCGGAGAGGATTCGTGCGCCGTTACTGCTGCTCCACGGGGACAAGGACACGGTCGTCCCGATTGAGCAGAGCTACGAGATCGAGAGGAAGATCAGGGAGCGGGGCGGGGATGTGAAGATGGTGGTTGCACCTGGGGACGGGCACATGTTCCTGATGGAGAAGAGCAAGAAGATTGCCCTTGAGGCGGAGGTGGAGTGGTGGATGAGGACGTTGGTTCGGAAGTGATATTTGTGTGTGCAAGGGACCAGGCACAGGGATCCTCAGCCCTTCATATATTGAGTCTTTGACGGCTTATGTACATAAATGCCTAAATATTCCAGCAACACCCACTGCCCCTTCCCCCTATATGTGCAACCCCCCCCCCCCCCCCCCACATCTCTCCACGAACCGATTTAAGCAGGCTGGCCACTCCAAATAGCATGCGTCAAAGTCTGGTCCGGCTTGAACGCACTCACAAAGCAGTTGTCAGCCGCAGGGGTCCACTTGTCATCGGCGCTGATGGTCGGCGGGTGGCCCAGGATGAGGTCCGCGACCATGCGCCCGAACACGACGCTGCCGTGCTCGTTGAGGTGCGTCCTGTCGCCGTCGGCGAGGTTGTACGCCTGCGCGGGGTCCTCGCCGATGGCGTTGACGAAGGCGAGCGACGCCTGGTTCAGGTCGATGTACGGGGACGACGTCGCCTTGGCCGCCGCGATGGCCGCGAGGCGCTGGTCGTGCAGCGAGTCGGTCGCGTTGTGCTCGGATGTGAAGACGCGCCTCGTGAGGGACGTCGTGAGGAGCTGGGGGTGTTTGTTAGTCATGGTCGGTTGGAAGGCTGGGGAGATCTGACGTACTGGTGTCCCGCCTGCGGCCTTCACCTCCTTGGCGAAGTTCTCCAGGTTGGTCTGGAATTGGCTCAGGGAGATGCCTGCGGCCTCCTTCTGGTCGTTATGGCCGAACTGGAGTGTACATTTGTCAGCCAACCTTGGTTTCTCTCAACAGATTTTATGTGTCCGGTCTGATCACATGGGTCCAAACTCGACATAACTAACCTGAATAGTCACAACGACATTGTGCGTCGCTGCGTCAGCCTTGACCTGATCGATAACCTTCTTCCAGTATCCACCGTTCTTAAACGAGACCGTCGTCGCTCCACTCTTGGCAATGTTGGTGCCCTTGGCCGGGCTCTTCAGAAAAGAGATAAAACCTGTGCCCCAGCCTCCATTGACTGCTGTGGTAGAGTCGCCGGCGAGGACGAAGGACGCCGGGAGGGTGCTGCAGGCTGCGCGCTCGCTGATGGCATTCTCTTGGTTGAGGCTAGGAGTTGGGCTACCGGAGACAACGGTGAGCAGAGAGAGCAACGACAAAATAGTGGAGCGGAACATTTTGCTGGCGGCAGGGCTGAGGACTTCGTGTGATGGCTCAAATGTTTGAGCATGGGGCGGGAGGTACGCAGATGAGATGCGGCGGAGTCACAATAAAAAAAACATTCATAGTAGCTGGGTCAGGGAAGCATTACCTTGTTATAACACAGTAGAAAGGCTCCGGCCCGCTATAGTGCAGCGCAATGTGGTATGAAATCATCGTGCGCGTTCGTGCTAGTCTCGTGCCAATATAAACCGAAAGCTTACCACGTACAGCCGCTTACACGGATCTGTGGTACCTGTCAGTCTCGCGGCGGACCCACAGCGCCTGAAGTCAAGCAATTAGGGCCCCCAGCCCGGGCAAGCGGACGTTCGACTCGAGTGCTGCACGACAGCTGTTCGCTAAAAAAAAAAAATGCCAAGCCATGCTGCCATTCACGGACGTGGTTTAATTCTCGGACCGGGGGTGGATTAAGCTTACTCAATTTGCTGCGACGGGAAGGTGATATCTGCGGAGGGGCAACGATCCGGGGTAGTCTCCACTGTCCTTCAATTTCGGCACAGAATGGCGCGAGGGACACGACGGGGTGCACAATGAACCAGCACCGGAGATTTTTTGTCATCTATCGACCCGGAATGAATATCGCCTATCTTGGATGGGACTTACGCCAGATGCACATCTGCATAGTATTTATATGCATAGGCTCCGCTAGTTCGTGTTTAGCATAGACAGGCTAGTTTATTCTGCATCCCTTTATTCTATCTCTCCCTCACTGGGCTTTCTATCCCTTGCATCATTTCCCGGCGGTCTTGCGAACGTTTATTGCTTCGGCTGGATCCATTACGGAGCGAGCCGTTGGATCATCGGCGGACTCGATGCCTTCCCAGCGGAGCAACCTTGAATCGAAAATAGACATCGCCCTGAACAACGCTCTGAACAACGCTCGTGATGATTCGGAAGAGAGTCAACCAGCCATACGATCGCGAATCAAGACCTGAGAGGAAGGTAAGGGATATCAACACGTGAAAGCCTTGAAAGCGCGCGGCGCATGTCCAGCACCACCTCTGGATTGAGTTAAACAAAAACGTCACCGTGCCACGGACTGCTGAAATGTACAGTATCTCATATCATAAAGATGCACCTGGGCATACACGCATGCGGCACATTAGCTGCCTGCTATACATAGGTCCCAGTGACAGTCGTGTTCAGAAAAGCCGCCCCAGCGACCCTGACCAGCGCATCCGTCAGCGCACCCAGCCCACCAGCCGAGTAGATGCTCGTCATGACAGGCACCACGCTGGACGCCTCACACTCGTGGAAGCCGTGGGCATCGATACCCTCGCCGTCGCCGACATCACGCCTAGCCTCGCTCCTCCTCTTGAGGTTGATCCCCGGGCTGACGGTGCCGCAGTTGTACTGCGACTCTGCGGCCCGCAGCTCGCAGATCTCGGTGGTCTTGCAGTCCCCCGTGCAGGTGGACGAGCCCGAGTTGCGCGTCTTGCGGGCGTAGTACTCCTGGAAGACGGCCTCGTCACTCTCGAACAGCTCGGTCAGGTTGTGCCAGAACGCGGGTGTCAGCTCGGCCGCCGGGTCGGTATAATTGAGGAGACTGCCGTACGCCTCCTTGACGCTATATAAGACCTCCCATGCCGGGCCGTTAGTTTGGTACGTCGGGCTGGAAATGTTAGCGTAGTAGACGGTATAATCCAGCACGCCAAAGGTGACCGGGTCAACGTCGTAGACGCGGAAGGTCGGGTTCCCCGACGTGGGCGTGAGCGCCGGCGCGATGTAGCTCGCCATGGTCGCCGCGGCCGCGGACCGGCCCGTGTAGTTGCCATACGCGACCTCGAACTCGTCCTTGTGCGTGTGCCCGTAGAACAGGCCCGCGATTGTTCCGTCGAACCGCTGCACGATGCCGTCGAAGTAGTGGCTCTGGTCGTGGAAGGCGTCGCTCGAGCCCAGGGGCATGTGGCCCAGGACCCAGACGCGCTCCCCTGCCGCCTCTGCGGCCTCGAGCTCGGCGGCCAGCCAGGTGAGCATCCCGCTCGGGTCGTGCTCGATGGTCTCCTCGTACAGCCAGAAGTTCTGCCGGTACCAGAAGTTCGTGTTGAGCGAGATGATCCGCAGGCCCGGGTGGCCCTCCGCAGCGACCGAGTAGCTCCCAAAGTTGGACGATACCTGCGCGGCGGCCGCGCTGCCGATCCACCCCTCGATGTCGGACGAAAGGGTGTCGTACGCCCACTGGGTGCTGATGGTCGTGTCGACGCTCGCGGGCGGGAAAGAGTTCACCGGGCTGCTTTCGTGGTTGCCGATGACGGCGTATGTCTGCCCGATGCCCTGCATGCGGCCGTACGCGTCGTTCAAGTCATTCGTCACCTCCTCGTCTGTCACGAGCCAGACGGCGCCTTCGACCACGTCGCCTGTGAAGATTGTGAAGGCCCGGTCGGGGACGAGGTCCTCGATGGCCTTGTACAGGCTTTCTTCGAGGCTGACCGGGCTATCACACTCCGAGTTGCCGTACGGACCAGCGGGATAGTCTGTCACCCCAGGTTCGTCGGCCGCGGTGTAGGGCCGGCAGCAGATGTTCTTGGTGCAGTTGTAACTCGCGCCGGTGGTGTAGTTGAGGTCTACATGGATGTCGCTGATGTGCACCACCTTGAGGGGCGTCTGGCCGCTCGGCTGCGGCCGCGTCGCGTTCGCTGGTTTCGCTGACATGGACACCGAGTAGGATGTGTCGACCTCGGGCCACTGGCACAGCCCAAAGATAGTCATGCAGAACAACTCAGAGGTCTTGCTTGGGATGTTCATATTTCGCAAGTCGTGTGCCAGAATCGGTCCCTCCAGCCCGATTGCACCGGCACACACATCTTTATCCTCAACGCCCAGGGCTTCGCACACGTCGATGATGACGCCGGAAAAGGCATCGTTGCCGAGGTGGGCGAGTGCTTGGAGCACCAGCAGGAGAGCCTGGCACGCTGAGCACTCGGCTAGGTCCTCGATGGCGGTCAAGATGTCTGACACGTCGTCTCGTCTGGAGTTCTGGCGCGAATAGGCCACCAGTGATCTGCTCATCACATCGCCCACGGTGATGGCGCTGGTCAGAAAGGGGAGGATAAGCGACAAGACGAACCCTACAACGATGGACAGCCTCATCTTGAAGGACAGGGCAGTGCCAGCGGGGGCACGCTCAAAGTCTTGGGGAGGCTCTTGGGATGACAATGGCAGGGCACTCAGAGAGGAAGGCGGGCTCGCCAGCTCCTGGGAGGCGGTGGAGAGAGCCATCTTTTTATCATCGGGCGTTGATGCCCACCATACTGTGGTCCCAGAGCGGTTGCTGCTACCGTGATGCCGCGTTTCCGTGGCCAACACGCGAGTCGTCCACACGTGGGGTCGCAGGTCATTTCCGGGGAGGAGGCACGCGCACCGCCCACCGACGCTGAATGGACGCCGGCTTGGCGTTGTCGTGCTCAATGCGACCACACCCTGAACCAAGACCCGCATCGCGTGCCAAGAACGGCATCGTGGGTCGATAGTCCCGGAGCTTTGTACGAGATCCTGACAAGACCAGGTTCTCCGAAAAGTTCAAGTCATATATTGAGCTATAGATTGAGTCGTTTTACAAAGGGATAGGCCCTTCTTGGTTGACATAAGTTCCCGTTGGCCCTGAACCCCCTAGTGTCGCGAGATGACATATGATCTCAGCCCCAACCTCAGGTGTCTTGATTCCTTGGTATGTTCAAATTTGTGGAAACATATCCGGGGCAGCTACAATTGAACTTCCAGCTCTTATCATCCTCATAGGCCACAGCATACTGTACACAGAGCGCATTAAGTGCTGATTTGCTGACGGCATGAGCAGGGGCTTTGAATGCTCTCACGGAAGCTCCAGGTGTCATCAAATTAGTGATGCTTCCGGCTCCCGATGAGACAAAAACAACCCTCTTGATCTTGTTGGATCGCTCCAGAAGCGATAGGAACTTTTCTGTAACTGACATGGGGCCAACGACATTCGTGTTGAGTACCTGTCCGTAATCCGTTGAAAGAGACTCGGTAGGCGGCGTCGCTCTTGCAATGCCAGCGTTATTGATAAGAACATCGAGGTGGCCAAATATGCTAAGACTAGGAGTTAGCGATCAGCCTTCCAAAAGCGCAGCCACGGCTTCTCTTACCTTTGGACTTGACGAACAACTTCATCAATTGACTCATCAGAAGTCACATCCATGGCGTGAGCCTCAACCTCCAGACCCTCCCTCATCTTGCAACTCCTGGGCCTTTGCCTTTACTTCAACCTCCCGCCTTCCCGTCATGATTACATGCCATCCATGCTCAGTTGCAAGTCTTTTGCAAATGGCAAAACCAATGCCTTGATTTGCTCCGGTGACGAGAGCAACAGCGCTGTCTTTGGCGGTCATGTTGAGCTAAAGGAACATGATAAAAGCTGTGAGATCACAGGCAATCTTTGGCATATGGCTGTTTGTATGGACACATTCAAGCGTCTCTGCATCATCTTTATATGAGGCAGATTAATTAAATCAAATAACATGGCCGGGAATAACGGTCTTAACGGATCAGATGCAGTCCAATGTCCTATTAGTCATGGAATCTATCACTGAACAGCGGTCTTAGTTTGACTTCTGAACAAAACGGAAGCTTGAGACAAATGGCGAGCGGCAAATGGGTTAAAACAGTGGGGACAAGCCGAGGCAAAATCACACCCCCTCTCGGCGCCGCGTTTTGAGTTTCGCGCGACGACTGTCGGCCCCGATCGGCGATTCGTCACAAGCTCCACGCTCCCACAAGGTCGCATCCGTTACACGACAGGTGCCTTATCCCAAAGTGCGCCTGATGGGCGAGGAAATTTGGTATGGCTTCACGTAAGGTCTGTCCCGTTCACATGGAAAGGAGAGAGCGGGGTTGTCGATCGTCGATCACTTGAATCCCGCTCGTCAAAATGCGGTTTTCAGGATCTCTTTGGAGCTTCAAACATTCTCCTGGCCCAATGCTGTCGAACTTGAGCCAAGCATAAAGAACTGAATCCGCCTGAATAATTAAGTCAACCTGAGCCATTGCGGTAAACAGAAGCGTCAAGCCTCCAACTCAAATTCAGCCTGGAAAATACTGACCTCAATCATGTTTGCGTTTCCCGCTCCCACCATGAGCGCCGTCGTAGCCCTCGTGGTGATTTTCGCAGGTGCCTACGTGGCCTACCAGCTTTTCCTCTCGCCCCTCTCTCGCATACCCGGGCCCTTCTGGGCAAAGCTGTCATATTTTGGCATGCTGCTTGGTGCTCTTGGGAATGACGCCCATCGCGATTTTTTATCGCTTCACAAGAAATATGGCAAAGTTGTCAGGATCGGCCCAAACTCCCTGTAGGTTCTTCCGAGATTTTACGCACGCCGACTTGAGGTTGACTTCATGTTCACAGGAGCGTCACAGATCCCGCAGCATTCCGTGAGATTTACAGTAAGACCGGGATGTCCCTAAGGCTCAAAGATGACAGCTGACAGGTCACAGAGGCTGGTGGTAAGTATATCAAATCCGAGGCAATGGGCATTCTGAAAGCAGGTCGCCCATTTGATCTCCCAGGAGAGAGGGACGAAAAAGTCCATGGGGAGCAACGCAAGCTAGTTGCCCGGGCATACTCTATGGAGTCAATGATCCACCTTGAGCCACGCGTCGACGAAACACTCACAACCCTGCTCCAAAAATTCGACGAGCTTCAGGGCCAGACTATCGACCTCGCACAATGGCTTCAGCTATTCGCGTTCGGTACGTCACGGAAGCTTTCTCGGCGTAGATTGGTGATTAACACGTTCGACAGATATAATCGGAGCTATAAGCTTCTCCCGACCCTATGGGTATGTCGAAGCCGGCGACGACAACGGCATATTTGCTCTTCTCAAAACCACATTCAAATCTCTCGCGTGGTTGACCCGTGCTCTTTGGTTTTTCCGATTACACCAGCGCCTCAAGTCTTTCTTCGGAGACTTCATCTCCTTGGGGGCCAGCAATCGGAATGGGTACTTTCACCAGTTCGCGTGGAAGGAGATCAATGCCAGAAAAGCCCGTGAAGGCGACGACCGAGACATGCTCGGAAAGCTTCTGACAGTGCAGCAAAGCAAGCCTCAGATGAACGACACTAACATCGCGTTCATGATGACAAGCAACGTTACTGCCGGGTCAGACACGACATCTTTCGGGCTCAGCGCCATCTTTCATTATTTACTCAACAACCCAGACAAGTACCGCTGCTTAGTGGAAGAGTTGGAAAAGCAGAAAGCCAACGGTGAGCTTAGCACCATCGTTACCGCCCAGCAGGCAGAGTCCTGCGCGTACCTCCAGGCGGTGATTTATGAAGCGCTCCGCCTGAGGCCTTCGGTTGGCATACCGTTGGAGCGAGTTGTACCTGCTGGAGGAACGACATTTGGTGGTCACTATATTCCCGCAGGGGTAAGTTACAAATCATCTCCATCCACTCCTTTCCAGGAGGCTGACCCTGTGGCAGACAATCGTTGGTACCAGCGCCTGGGTCTTACATCGGGACACTGATATATGGGGCCCTGACGCGGAGTATTTTCGCCCTGAAAGATGGTTGGATAAAAACAGCGAGGGACTGAGTACGCCTCTCATTCCTGTGGTTCACTCAAAAAGGCTAATGACGCACAGAGCGGTACTTCTTCACATTTGGCGGCGGCTCACGAACATGTATTGGTAGAAGTAAGTCCCCATGATCATCACTACCTGCCACAGCGTAGTCGACTAATGCGAGTTACGTCTTACAGATATCAGCTGGCTTGAGATGGAAAAGGTGAGAAATAAAAGCCAGCAGTCACTTGAACGGACTAATAATAGTCTTCTAGCTTGTGCCCACTCTATTGATGCGATACAATTTTCAACTCGCACCTGATGCTAAACTGGTTGATGATTGCGGGTGAGTACGCAACTATTCGGTCAGACGTATGACACATGACTAATGTCTTTAATAGGTTTCTTATGTTTGCAAGGGGGCTTTATGTAAACTGGACGTTACGAGATATTTAATCTTCTCTCGAGCATCCTGGGTTTGTTCATCTACGAGCGCAGTCGTTAGACCTGGTGTGGCAGTGGCGGTTTTGACTTTCTACGCAGGCTCCTACTAGTAGCTACGCATATCCCTACGCATACACTCGTTTTGAATTTTGGGTCAATCAATCTTTCTTCGTGCGCTTTGACCAGACTGTTATTCGATAAGTAGTGACTATCTTGCCGCAGGGCAAGTATTTGGCATACTTCAAGTTTCTGCACTCTCTCTGCATACTCTCATATGCAATCAATCGTTCCATTTTGGCGCTAGTGACCTACACATAACACCTCACACCCTTTTTCCATCACACTTCCATTTTTAACTATTTTCACCTTTTATATAATAAATACTTTTTTAATTTAATTATACCCTATATTAAAAGATAGCTATTTCTTTTCTGCTTTTTTTAATATTTATTTAAGGAAGGTAAAGAGAGTATTAAATATATAAGGTGTATTAATGTTTAATTTTAAAAAAAAATTAAAATTTTAAGGTAGTAGTAATTTTAAATAAATCTAATTAAATTTACATTATTAAAACTAGTAATTTTAACATAACTCTTTAATTTTACCCCTTTTTTAATTCCTTTTTAACTTAAGTTATTTTTAACTTTAATTTAAATGCAAATTTCTCCTCTTTTATATACCTAATTTAATAGCAGAGAGAAGAAATAAAATTAGAAAAGAAGCAGCTTTCTTTTTATATATATTTTAAATAAATTAAAGTAAAATTGAAAAGTACGTATAAAAAAGGTATGAGGTGTTAAATGTAGGTCGTTAGCGCCAAAATGGAACGATTGATTGCATATGAGAGTAGGCGAATCCTTGGGCCCGCAGAAAGCGCCCGCCAGTGCCCGCCAGCCCACGCCAGCCTGTTTCAGCAGGCGCTAGACCTGGTTCGAATTGAACACGAAGTAGAGAGAACCTTTGGGGCAAATAGACAAGGTCTGGATCGACAAAGGATCTGTTCCTCGCGTTGAGCCTAATACTAGGCAATCTCTTGGTGAACAAATCGAATTTCTCTTTTCAGTCTCACCAGAGTCCTAGAAGAAGCTATTTTGGAACAATGGTGAATGAGTATATTTGAAATTGGAATTCAATATATATCTGTGAATAATCCACACTTCAAAGCTATGGTCCATACGATATTAGGTTCGATCCAGGGTTGAGAACGTCCACGAGCTTTCCCAGTTATACTTTTCGCCTGGTCCGTAAATTGCATCATGGACACGGCCCCATTCGGGACTGCATTTGAGCATTAGCAGTTGCATTTTATACGAAGAGTCCTTATCCTTCGCATGCACCAGATTTGTACCCATGGCTAAGAAAACTTACTGGTTTATCCCGTCAGTGTAGTCCTGCGCCTCGATAGCGAGACAGCTGCCACTGGTGACCTTTGACCTCCCCGGGAGCCCCTGGGTGCTGTCCTTCAGCGGCGCAGTCCCGTCGCTCCACCAGCAGCTGTACACCTGGACGCCGGGCTGGTCGGTGCGGAGCTCGGCCTTGACGCCGCTGTAGTTCGAGGCGAGGGTCAGGACCGCGGCGTCCTTGGGCGCGGAGTCGAACAGCCAGTAGCCGTTGTACCCGTTGCAGCCGCTGCCGCAGTTATTAACAAAGCTCGGGTCCGAGGAAGAGTGTCCAAGCGCGATGTTCCTGGCGGATGCGAAGTCATTGACGGACCCGGGGGCGGCGGTCAGGATCTTTCCGGTGGGCAGAGCACCGCCGTCAATCTCGAGGTAGCGCTTGGAGTACGGCATGGACAAGGTGTGGTTCCATATTGTTGGCGTCTTCGGATCCTTGTAGGCGTCTAGGTTGAAGTAGGTGTGGTGAGTCAGCATCAGGGGGGTTTCGTTTGTAAGCGACCTGGCAGACATGTTTATGTTCAGCTTGTTCGGGGTGACCGTGTACGTCACGCTTGCTTGAACGTCGCCGATCATGTTGAGTGAGGTGTTCGACTTGTCCAGAATTGAGAAGGTGATGCTATCGTCCGAGACGGCGGTGACGTCCCAGAAACGCCAGGACCAGTTGTTGTTCCCGCTATGTAGAGTGTTGTTTCCGTCATTCTTCTCGGTGTGATATGTAACATTGTCAATGGAGTACTGAGCGTGTCCGATGCGATTGACGTATCGGCCAGGTATGGAGTTGTAGACTGGGTGACTTTTGTCCGTGGCTAGATGGGAGAGAATCAGAAAATTGCACGCAGGTTCTGCCTAAGGAGGATTTGCCTTACGGTAATAGTTTATATCATCGTAACCAAGAACGACGTCGATATCATTCCCCCTTTTGTCTTTGACCCACAAGTTGGTAATCGAGGCACCGTAAGTGATAAACTAAAAGAGTTCTTAACACATTTGCAAGTTGATAATTCCTTGTAGTACTTCGAGAAACAACTCACCTTTGCCTTAATATTCGTTGTCTCGATAGTGTATTGCTTATCCTCCGCGTTACGATGCCAAGCCGCAGTGACGACGTGAATAGCCGAGGCCAAGACCGCAGCAGTAGAACAGCGCATCTTGTGGTTTTCCGATTCGATTCGAAATTTAAGATTGCCAATGAATTGGAGGAAGAAAATACTTGTCACGTCCAGATTTATATGGGATATGAGGTGATATCTATCGGACTTTCGGTTGTCGTTAATGCTCCAATGAAGGTAAGCAAATCGGACGAGAGGAGTATTGCGGAGTGAAGGGGGCCGTTTCCATATACCGTAAAGCGTCCAGAGGAGCCTATTGGATGCATTCACAATGATCCACAACCCTTGAGATTGCTCACCTTAGCATTGGCACACAAACGCCAACTGCAGATTGAAAGATGCTGAAGTAATACGGCAGTTGCTCACCTAATATATCGGATGTCTTTATTCGGAGACAAGCCCGTACTAGTGACCCGGATGTCCTTTAGGCACTTTTATATAATATCAAAGATTATATGGATAATATTGAGTGACACCTTTGCTCTCTTCTCTTGCTAGAATCACGCTTAATTTGGAAGGACTCTGCAGAAGTCTTCGCAATTCTGTTGCATCTCTCACCGTTGCTGTTTTAGTAGAAAGCGGTGCCTATTGGGACGCTCCGCTAGCGTGAAAGCCACATCCCCAATGTCGACCGGTGAATTGCGGTCGAGTTGAGCTTCAAGATCCCCGCCGAACAACAGCAGGCCTTTTGTTTTTTGGTCGCAGCAAAGATGAGTTTGGGTGCTGACGTTCCATTTAGGACTAGACGTGTTGACGTCGCGAGTGACCAGTTGGGTTCGCAACACACAACAGCGCGGCATTGCTCACAGCAGCACCGTAACTGCTGATGCAAGCTACTCGGTTAGGCATCTCCCAACTCTGCCTGCTTGTGTCCCAAGAGCCTTGAAGTATGTGGAGTGATCTGAACTCGTGCCCGATTGAGATAGAACTCTCTGATACAGGTCGATTGACAAAAGGGATAGGGTACCGTCACACTTGAGCGAAGGGCTCCTTGGTTGGGCCACCCCTTTAATTACAGTCAAATTTTGTTCGAGCCTCGGCAGGAGCTTGAAGGTTTACAAGACCTACGCCGTCGCTTTTGGTGTACATGCCTAGACCGTGTCAGTGTTTCGTCTACCTTGACGGCAAGGACAAGTGTAAAGCGAGTTACTGACCTGTTGCTTGACCACGAGGCTTGAATTGTCCGCTTGGACTTGTAAACCCGCTTTTACGAGACGAAAAAGGCCTTGCACTCTAGACACGATGTTGACTCCTCTAAGCAAGGTTATAGAGCACTCTGTAGCTCGAACAGCGCAGCAAGCCTTACGTATCACAATATGGGACAAGGAGCGAGCAGCACCAATGGCTTCGGTCGGTTCTCGAGGTATTCTATGAAACTATCCCTAATGACGCAGCCTACCTCGTCGAAATCTTCCCGTTTGTGATGACGGAGACAGCGAATGAAACCCATGGCTTCAAGGGCAACTTCGAGAATGAGGCGCTCCTGAGAATCCATTGATGCGGCGCTCCTACTGTTCGACTTGAAGGATGCGTGGTCAACGGCGGCGACATCATCAAAGAAATTACCAAGGAATCCACCCAGATGAGCACGAGTTTCCGCATTTGTGACCACAGAAGTTATACCTTTCGGTACGAAGGACACGCAAAGCTTTAAATACCACCAGCCGCCCCATATGCTGCGCTAAATTCCCGACCAAGCTCAGTCTGCCAGTTCTACCTACGACGACGACGAGCGTTTTTATTTTGTGAAGAAGTCGTGTTGCGACACGGAAATCTCCTTGAAAAAGTAAAGCTGACCCGGGCGGGACTCCAATTCAGCTTTCAGATCCCACAAATGCCCGTCAGGCTAGAAAGCCCCGAGGTACAAGCCCCGGTGGGACCAAATGCTCCGTTGGGGCCAAAGGGACCGTCAGGGCCAAATACACCGTTCGGTCCGAACACGCCACTGGGCCCGAAGGGACCGTTGGGTCCGAACTGTGGGAACCAAATCATTAGCCGCCCAAGAATTAAATATCAATTTTTCAATAGCATGGACGCTGTCAAATGAGTACAGGCTGTCCATTTCGGCCAAAGAATCCGTTTCATGACGAGCCGTGGAAGTAGAAACAAATAATAGATGACAATCCCCCAGATAATGCTGAGATGGGGGACGCAAGTCTGGGATACGAATAGCTGAGACGACCAAGGTTCACTGACCTGTCCGTTTGGGCCAAAAGGGCCGTTGGGTCCGGAAGGGCCGTTGACGCCGAAAGGCCCGCCGGGCCCCAGGGCCGCAGTGTTGTTCGCAAGGCAGCCCGGTCCCAAAGCGCCGTTGGCACCGAGGGCTCCGCTGGAGGCGATTGGTCCGTTAGGGTCGGAGGCGACACCAGACAGGCTGACGAGCGCGTTTATGAGCGCGCCGGGATCAGCCGGGGCAGGGCTGGCCTGGGGTGCTGGTGCACTGGCGGTGTGCCAAGCAAGGGTGGAGATGGTAATGGAAAGCAGATGGATCAAAAGCATGATGGGTCGTGGTCTAACGTTCCCGGTAGAGTGAAGCTACTCCGTCGTGGGCTTGGAAGATTTACAAGACTGTGTCGTTAGGTCGCCCACGGGTTGAATAACCATGAACATGGGATTATGACATTGAACGAAATGGATTGAGTTGCCAGGAATTATAAAGAACGACATCTATCGTGACGAAACCACCAAAGGCTATTGTAATAGTATGATACAAGTCGATCAAACATCATAAGGCGGATATCTTGTCCATTTGTGGCAATTACTTTCGTTCATGGGCTCAGCCACTCACTACTTTCGAATTCAAAAGGCGGTGACATCCTTGGGGTTTGTAATCTCATGCCAATTGGTCCTGCGTACCAATCTTCCCTGCACTTTGCCGTCCATACTCCAACGACCGAATCAAGCAACACTGCGTCATGGCTTCCGAATCCGCATTTCTCAACCTCCCCAGGGAGCTTCGCGACGACATCTACCGTTTCTACGTTACGTTCGAGGACGGGCTAGTGTACAATTTCGCATACGGAGAAAATGAAAACCCGAAATCTCAAAACATTTTGGAAAACCTGGCCCCGTCCAACAAGAAGGATCGTATCGACCTCGCCCTGAGGTCCACATGCAAGCAAGTCCACAAGGAAACAGAGGGCCTGATTCTCAAATTCAACACTATCACCTTTTCAAATACACGCATTTCGAGAAGCAACTCAGACGAGGTGCGCGTCAGGGCAGCTCATTTTCACTACCTGCGAGTCCCGTTGACAATGGACGCTGCGGCATTCCTGTATTACGAGGACGGCACAGTCGTACGACCGTGTTACAATAGTACTGTAGTGGATGTAAGTCACCAAACACCCAGTCACTCCCTCTTCTCGCGCCCAGGTCAAGCCACTGTCGTACTTACTCATATACTAACCATTATATCTGCACTCGCAGGAGGTCGTACGTGCTCACCCTTTCATCGGCCCACTGTTACGCACTCTTCTCAAAAAGGATACCCACTGGGCTGAGATCGGCTCGGCTCACAAGGTCCTTCAAGCTCGGCCACACGACCACTGCCCTGAAGAAGGGCCGGGTCCGACTGGATCATGGGGGATGGTACCCTCAGTAATGCGGAGAGCCATCATGCACGCATTACAGGTTACAACAGACCACGGCTGCTTCAGGACTGGACCAGCTGCTCAGCGGCCCACCTTCCCTCCTCACACGATGCTGGCTCTGGACTCTGAATTCCCGGCTTGGAGTATCCCCTCCGATGACGACCTCCTCAAACTGTCTCGCGCCTACGCCTGGAAGACAACCGAGTTCTGCGACAATACTTACTGCCACTCGAGCCGTCAGCGTCAGACGATTGAGTTTTGGAACGGACCGCGGTATTATATGGATGCTGTCCCAGGAGGTCTCCAACCTTTTCTTGGTCCTGAAGACACCACAGAGTCATACAATCGTGGAAAGTTTCGCTTTTCCGCAGCATCGGTCGCCATCAGATTTCTCTCTTCCCTTCCGAGCAAAGTACGCCTGCACCTACGTCGTCTCCGGCTTCTTTAAAACAACGTCTGCGTTGCGTTCCCCGAAAGCCACGCCCAGGGGCTTGTAAGCTTTGGCGTGGAGAATCCGAGGCTTCGTATCGAAAGACGCGTTGACCTATGGAAAGCGATCTTTCAACACCCGAATCGACACGGTCCCCTACACCATTCGGTTAATGAATTGGACGGTGATCCGGAAACGCAGTATCTCTATTCGAGAACGGATTCCGAAACGGGCTTCTCAAATGACACGATCACCGATAACCTCGCCCTCTGGATTATGGAGGCCGCAGATCTTGTCGCGGCGGGAATGCCGGAGAATTCATTTACCTTAGTTCTCGACGGAGCACCGGGGAACGACGTTCTTTTGGACGTGTTCATGAATTATATCCAACGCGATGCTGCCTGGCAAAGGGCGTGGGAAATTGCATCAGAGCGCGCAACTGGAAAGCCCGAGGCCGAGGAGCCCGAGACAGACGATCATTTCATGCACCTGAGGGGCCCCCGCTGCTGTAAGCCCCCGTAGCCCACTCCTCTGCCTCCCTAATTCTGGAAGTCATATCACTAACCACCATAACAGACCTTTACGAAGGCTTTCCGCAAGTCATCCGGGACAGTGTCAACCACAGGTCCAAAGTCATTAAGTGCACATTCAACCCCGGTCCGCAACTTTGGGACCCCGAGGCGGAATTGGACAAGTATCAGCCCAACTCTGCAGAGACATGGGACAAACTGCGTCACGAGCATAGTGGAAAGTTCTATTGGAGACAGCTCGAGCCCCACGAGCGGTTCCCAGACCTTGTCTACAAGAGGGAAGTTCTTCCCTACGAATCAGGCGATGAGTACTTTAGTGACTAGGCACTTCTGGCGAGGTCCGGGGCTCCATGCGGTCGGTTCAATCCAATAAACAAGAGGGCTTTTGGAAGTGAGAACTTGCGTGATAGTTAGAGAAGGGTTTTAAATGGGGTCGTTTAAAATTTGAGTGAGAATATCACCAGGTCTTCTACCTTCAGCCTCAAATCAAACAGCCTTCTGGCATAATGTGTCCACTACTTCCTGTCAACTCATGTTTGCCTTGCAACACCTTCACTTTCAAAGTGAAGCAATATTGCGCCTCATTTGGACAAGTCTTCGACATGATATGAGTTCCTGTGCGGGACCCCGCCTGGAATGACCCCGTCTAAGAGACTGGACTCACCTCCATCAGCTTCCCCAAACAACCTGTTATTCTCGTCAGCAGCACCGGAAGTGGCGGGGCTCGTACCTTAGATGTGTGCTCGTGTGAGATATATCCACCCAAGTACCGCTGTCCACATGCTCCTGGACACAGACCAGGGGTATTCAGCCTATACTTTGCTTGACTTTCCTCATACCTCTGCTTGCGACTTGCGAAAAGCTGAGGGCCATTGACGGCCCAGATCTGATGCCACTGAGGCTCAGAATTGAGACGACGGGACAGCTCGAGCTCCTCAGAGATTGTGTGGCTAAGGTAGTTTCCTCATTGCGTCAGACCAGGCGGCTAGAGCAGCGCAATCCCACTGAAATGTGCGAGCATGTGTCGGTTCAAAGCAGCAGGCCCGAACCGAGAGACATGCCGGGACCCAAGTGGCAGGAAACCGAGCTGGAGGACGCCGCCGAGCCATTGCCAGAACGACTTGAACATAACACTGCGTCTGAGCTTATGAGTCATGCATAACCTTGCATACCTGTAGTTCGTTGATACAGCGGGGAATGGGGGAGGGTCCGCTATAAAAAGGGTGCCTTCTGGTCCTTTCTGCAGTTAGTTTCTAGGCATCACGCCCACTGCGAACACAAACATAGCACATTATACCAGACCCATGTTGCCTTCCACACAGGAGAGACCAGCCGCCGAATCATGCTTCATATATTATCTTGTAATATCGCTGAGGGTCAAAGATCTTTCGTGTGATGAGGTGACTTGGTTATTAAAGGTTATAGTCGCCACCCAAGTGCAATTGTTGCCGAATGACGTCGTCGCATTCGTGCCAGCAGACAGCCAAAACGAGACCATGGACTTACTGGACTTGAGGTTAAGCGTTCATTTCCCAAGTGAGATGGCACCTCACAGAAGAGCGTGTTTCGACTGCTTGATCGGGGGAACGTGTTCCCTCATTTTACGTGGAGAACGGAGATTATCACACTTGTCTTCTATCCTTGGCCCAGATTAGTGATCATGCGTGCGGAATCCGGACAGCAGCCTGCAGCCCTCACGCCTTTCTTGTTGCCTCACATGTCGAAAGTTTTTCCCCTTGACTAATGACGGTGATCGTTTAGAAATTGACATTATGAACCTTTTCGCGTCTACTCCCATATAATTAATGACTCTGCCACAGTTGTACAAGTAATATTATAAAATGTTTGACTTGCAACACATGTGCGCCAATCCCCTTGCCAACGCCTGAGATTCCATCTTCATTTAATTCCAATATCTCAAAGTACTGGATTGAGCATCAAGTTCATCAGGAATAACAAGAACACACCTCAAGGAGCCATGGCGCTGAAGTTTGCAACGTACATTTCCTCTCCGATACCCACGGCCTTCCCATCACCAGACTCCTCCTCGCCCGACTCAGGCCTCTGGTCCCCTCTGAGCTGCACCCTGATCTAGACACCATCATCAGCCGTCATCATCGACTGCCCGACCAGTATCGCAGCCACACGGGACCTGGCTGGGTGGATCAAGGGCACACTGCCCGCAGGCTGTGCCCTGAAGCTGTTCCTGGCGACGCACGCGCACGGCGATCACTTCTTCGGCTTCCCGGTCTTGGAGGATCACTTCCCCGGCATTCGAGCCGTGGCCAGCCGCTAGTATGTCATCAAGGGCGTAGAGGTCCAGTATGCCCCGGAGCTCTACGAGGGGTTGCGGAAGGTCGGGTTCCCGCCGTCTCCGTCCGGCACCGGCCTCCCTGAGCGGCGGGTCGATTTCCGGCCCCTTCCCGAATTCAACCAGATCGACCTGGGCGACGGGCAGGTCATCAAAGTGCACGACATTCAGCACGCCGGTACGCACTACTCCTCCTACGCCCACGTGCCCGGCCTCGATTTCGTTGTGGCGGGCGACATTGTCTACAACGGTGACTGTTATCAGTACCTGGCGGAAGCGAACACCACGGAGAGACGAGACAAGTGGATTAGGGCTGTCTCCGAGATCGCTTCCCTGGACCCGAAGATTGTTATTCCTGGGCACTCGTTCCATGTCCGCACTGGGCCGGATGTGCGGTACGCGAGGGCGATGCTGGAGAGCAACAGTGAGTATATCAGAGGGTTTGAGGAGGAGCTTGCGAAGGTCAGTGATGCTGCGGAATTGTTCCAGTTGATGAGGAGGCGATTTAACCGGTGGAATCTGTGGATCTTGAAGCAGAGCTGCGAGGCAGCTTTCGGAGTGGGTGCTTTGTGTCCCAGTGAGGTCTAAGCTACCTAAGTAGCTGTAGGGACATCGCAAGCTTGTTGTTTCATCAATTGTTGAAGTGGCTCAGGCGTTGCATAAAAATTCAAGTTCTGCTCTCTTTCATGCATCTCACTCCGTACATTTTTCATAGCGGTAGTTAACAGATCGACAGCCCGTGGACTGCGTGCCTTGATTCATCGCCTAAGCATCAATCAGCCAGCCATCGGATTGTTTAACCTTGGTTTATATTGCAGAAACGCAATTGCAACTACAGCTCCCTGCATATATCCTTGAATAAGTCTTAAACATGGTTAACATCGTACTAAAATCCCCATGAAACCAAGTGAAACCAATGTCAACATCACTTCCAGGAACAGTGTGAAGACAAGCATAGATCGTATCAATTCATTCACACTATGGCATGTGCGCCATGAATACTATATGGCTGACTTCCACAGGACTTGCTGGGTCAGGCGACTGTTGACAGACTTAACAAGTCTCAAGTGTCGTGACAGATCGACCACAGGAGCATGAGACACACAGCGCCAACTGTAAATATAAATGTTCATTATCTATTTCATAATAGTCAAAGGCTACTTTTGTCATCATTCATGAATCCAATATGCCACCGAGGCTCCATTGCCAGCCTTATGCAAGAAATAAAAGAAGAGAAAAAAACCCATGTTCGAGAGCCTCAGCTCCGCCTCCTAATCCTGCTGGTGACCCTCTGCTTCCACTGCTCCAGGGCAATCGTAGCAAACACGCTCACGCCCTTGTCCTTCTTCCAGTCCGAGTACCGCTGCGCCGCAGGCGAGCCGCCGCCCAGGCGCACCCCGGCCGAGGCCGCCAGCCTCAGCGGCCTCAGCCCAGTGCTCGGCTGCCTGGCCTGCGTGCTCCCAAATACATACCACGGCGCGAAGCTCCGCCGCGGCGGCGTGGTGCTCCGGGCGGGGAGGACCACGGCGCTGGTCTCGATTGTTTGCTTCTGCCCGCGCGAGGCATACACTGCGGGAACAGACTTGCCGTCAGGATCTTTGATGATTTGCCACCAAACCACCACGGCCGAGGTGCTAGTGGTATGGCACACACACACAGAGGTTTTGATCGCAACTCACCCTTCCGCACCCTCGCCGCGCCAGCCAGGAGGCTGGCCACAAAGCTGGCCGCGAGCCTCGCGCCGCCCCTCATGCACACGACGGCGACGCGTATCGCCGCGTCGATGACGACCCCGGAGACGACGTCGAGCGTCAGGCCGGCGGCGACGGCGATGGCGCACGCTATGACTGCGACCGCGGCGACGGCGGCCACGGCCCCGATGGCGGCGCCGATGGCAAAGTCGGTGAGGAGGACGCCCGCGCGCGAGGAGCTCGGCTTGTGCGTCAGGCCGTGGATCAGGTGCTCGCTCGCCCTGCGGCGGGCCCGGTAGTAGCGGCCCCAGCTGGGGATCAGGGCCGAGTCCGCGTAGGCGTAGGCGTCGGCGTCGGCGTCGGCGTCGGCGTCGGGTTGGGTCTGCTGGTGGAACGGCGGGGCGAGGGTTCTCAGGCCGGGGGACTGCTGGATGGCGTCTAGGAACATTGCCGGGGGGGAGGGGGGTGGGTTTGGCAAGGTGGGTTTTCAGGTGCGTGCCACTCTTGAGGGCTGCTGTTGTGCAGGCATCGAGGTGCCGGTCGATTTCATGAATTCTGTGCCGTGAGCATCAGAGCTCTGTTTGCATTGTGTGCCACGAACAACATATTTCAACAGATGGAAATGGGCGGGTTGTCCGGACCGCGGTGGCACAGGTGAGTTTTTGCATGTCCCTCTTGCGTGCAAGCGGGTGGCGAGTTAGAGTTCTGAGCCCGTATCACCTGAAGAATTGCCGACGCTGTTCATGTGTTTCTCAACGTAGATCTGCCTTCCCTTCCCCGTCCCCTCAAGTCTGAGAGCTGACAGCGGATTTGGGATGAACAAACAGCTCAGAGTCAGAGCGTTTCGCAAAGTGCCCCCTGCTGCAACGTCCGCCTTGCAGACAAAACTGTAATTGTGAAGGCAGTCGGGTTTCCGCCCTTGTCGTTGGGCATGTAGTCAATGAAATGCAATGTTGTGAGAGATGTACATGGTTCACTTAGACTATTTAGACTAGATATGTGCTGTACGAGAAGCAGATTGAGATCCCGCACTAGGTACCCGGAAGAGTATTTTACCCTCTCACATGCAGGGTCAGTACAGTGAGACAACCTCATGTGCGTCGAGAACAAGCCTGAGAAGATGCCAAGCTGAGTCCGTTCACAGATAGCTTCATCTTCAAGCTCTTTGGAACGTCCCGCGATCAACAACAAGTGCTTGAAGTGGACGTCGGAAGCGTGAACCCGCGGTGAGTGAGGGCGTAGCATGAGGGACTGACACAACCGGTGACCATCCGAGACCTCTGGACTCGACATCGACAAGCATCCAACCCTCCCTGAAGCTGGGGTCAGAATCAAATCACGAACAGAAGCACAACTTTGCCGAAGAGCCCTCCCTAACGCCACGCCCCCTCCTCCCAACGGACCACCCAAGCCACCATAGTACCAGACCAGATCATCCTAAGCCATGGTGAAGTCAATACAGCTCATATAAGTCTGGTCCGCCTCCCTGCTGTCCCACCACCACTGCACGGCACACTTCCCAGCCTGCCCGCACTGCGCAGCCACATCCGGCATCGTGATCTCAAAGTCGGTGTTGTTCTTGGCGACGCCCGTGCTGGTGCTAGCATAGTTCTGGAACTCGATCATGGGGGTGCCGATAACGGTGTTGCTGCCCAGGTCGATGACGCTCACGTTGCAGTCGCCCGTGTGCGGCGCGCGGATGTCGACCTTCATCTGGACCGTCTGCCCCGCCGTGAAGGACTGCACGTTGGCCGTGTTGTCCGCCAGCTGGTAGCCCTTGCACATGAAGAACTGGCACGACGTCGCGTTGAAGTCCTTCTGCGACGAGGCGTTCTGCTCGAGTTGTTGCTGGTTGCCGTAGGGGTCGCCCTTCTGGTTGTTGAAGGGCTGCTCGCCGCACGCCGCCTTGAAGGCGTCGCCGACCTGTCGGGCTGGCGGGCTCGTCACGATGCCGTGGCCTGCGGCGAGGGTGATGATGGCTGTCAGGGCTGCGGCGGACTTCATTTTGGGGGATTATTAGAGAAGGTTTGTTTGAGAAGCGAAAGTCTAGTTCGTGTCACTTGGGTGTGAAGGAGGGTGAGGAGACAGTGTGTCTTGGTCAAAGTGGTGGTGGTTAGCTTTGGGTAAATGAGTGTTGTGTGTGGCGACAGAACTGGGACGAACGAGTAGTATTGTGATGAAAAACTATCTCTCGTCTGGAAATCGGAACGGTTACATCGCGGGCGAGCGAAGAAGAACCAAGACTCTTTATACTGTGGCCCGCCCGATAAGCAGTCCGTCCTCTTTCAACGGCCACCTTCCCTCTTGAGGGTTCTCTTTCGAGTCGGCGAGGCGGATCTGCGGAGGCATAGTCCAAGGGATCGAGGCGAGTGGTCCGTGTGTTGCGATGAAAAGAAGAGACCACCAAGCTTCACCCCCGCTGCCAAATCAGATATCAGACGATGGGCTTTTGCACAGACCGGTTGTCCGAACGATGTCCTGAGGGATACTTCTCCCTTGTGTTACTGGTGTTTTGTAAGCCGAGCCTCTTGCAGCCTTGGCAAGAGGCGATCGTATAGATCTTGTCGCCTTGCGGGGCGTGATGCTCCAATGCTTGATGTGACGATCCAGTTCCCACGGCCAGATCAACGCGATGACCATGGATTGCGAGAGGGCGATCACCGCATGGATGAGCATCGTCGAGGCTTATTCCCTAGTGTGGCCGGCATGGACCTTGCCCCGTCCGCCCGGGAGCGTTGGGCGGCAGACGAAGCTCCCATGGTGAAACACCAGGGGCCCGGTTTCATGTTGCTCCCGATGACAGCGCTTTGTGCCTCGCATACCGGTCCTAAAAGGGCTAATTCATGCCCACGAATGCAATAAGAGCTTTCGTATGCCAAGGGATCAAGCGCGCTGCGCTGTGTTTGCGTCAGTGCGAGCGGCTGTGGCCCAAGCGCGCCGGGTGTAATTATCCTATGTTCTCGTCCAGCCGTGGTTCTGCCGACCATTATCTGGTCTTCTATTGCGTTTTCAGCTTGATGTCGGGCATTGACTCTGCCTGCAGATCGTCAAGATGACAGCAGTAATCTAGCTGTCATCCACGTGTCGTTTCCAGTGCCTTGACGGCAAGGAGATCCAGCGGTGAAACTTCACGTTGATAAGATGGAAATCAACAGATGCTCGAAACGCTCGGCAAATAGAGAAATACCAGGGCCAGATGGGCACAAGCATCTGAGAGCTGGTTTATGAGCACATGCAACCGAAATTTTGATGGCTGCCAAACAGGCCTCGGCAAGGTACCAGTCGTTCGGTCCGGTGCCTGTTTCAGTCGAAGTCAGTGATTCAGCAACACTGGGAGATGGTTTTGTGAATGAAAACGGATATTCGCATAGATCAAAACGGAGAGTATACAGATAGTGACACCATATTGATCTCAGGCATGAGTCCCGAATGTCCCAGATGATCCAAATAATGTATGTGAAGAAGTCAAGAAACCAAGATGTGCCTGTGAGAGGAGTGAAGAATGCCTTTGTGCAGAATTGCTAACATCCCAATTCCTGCAATCAAACTGTGAACACGCAATTGGGGGGACTCGGTGTTGACACTCAAAAGATCATTGTCGTATTCAATTTTGAGGGACACAACAATTCAGAACACATTTTGACAGGCGAATCACATTTCAAATCAAATTAAGTCAGAAAGACGGCAGATGCAGTGTAATTGTTACTTGACTATGAACCCCGCCTGGCTTGCTCCGATCACCAACAACAGCGAACGACTGCCTAGGAATACACATGCGTGAATGCTCAGGCAGATTTCCACCTCTCCCCCCTTAATCCTTCGAGGCCCGAGTCTTGAGCACCGAAGCAATTTTTCTCAGGAATCCGGGGCCCTTATTGATGCGGCATCCACCCATGCATCTCCGGTGACGACAGTGCCTGTCTTCGCAGTCGAGCCACTTTAGCGAAGTGACTCCACCACAGCGGCAACAAGTCCAACCCGGGCCAACCATCTGAGTCTTTGGAGGAGGCGCCGAGTCTTGACTTGGGCTGGGGCTGTTGCAAAATTCAGGCGATGTCGACATTCTGAGAGATTTCTGTTTGTTCGAGGGCTTGGATCAGGCTGCTGGAGTTGGATGAGATGATAAGTTGGTTTGGAAAGACGTTCTAACTAGATACCACTTTATGAGGGACTCGACTACAGTTTTAAATCCTTCTGCGTCCAGGATCAGGGCGAGTGAATAATAATGGCCGCCTGCGTTACAAAGACTTGTGAAGTCAATACATTGTTCCCCCACAAAGTCACAGGACAAAGCCGACAATAAGATTCGTAACATGTTGAAGGCCGCACCTTGTCTCAGTCTGGCCAAGCTCGGTACACCACTTCACTTCTCATTCAAAAGACAATGGTCGCAGAGCCTGCGTAAGACCACCCTCAACAGCAGCACTCCTGTCGAGTACAGAAGCCTCAGACTTTGGCTGGTCTTCCTGATCACCTCCAGGCCCCTTTGCACCACCACTCTCCTTACTCTTCGACACACCCAAGTCTGCAGATCCTTTCTTGCTGTCCTTGCCGTTCTTTTTGTTGCCCTTTTCCCCTGGTGTCAGTCCTTTCGATCCGCTCCCACCGCACTGCGCCTTCCAATCTTCAGCCCGCTCGGGGTTGATCTTCGTGAACAGATGTTCGGCCTCACCGAGCTGGTGGCCAGGTCGGATGGAATCATAATCAAAGGTGTCAGGAATGGCAAGGACTGGATCCACGCCCAAATGCCGGGCTATTGAATCCGCCGTGTCCGGCAGGAAGGGCTGCAGAAGAGCAGAGAGTAGGTGGATAACATTGAGGCAAGTGTGCAAGAAAGCCCCGCATTCTTCCTTGTCGCTCTTGAATAGCTTGTTTGCCTTTTGAGCCAATTCGTTGCCAGCCTCGGAAATCTTGAGGATGGCGAGAAGCGCCGCGCGCAGCTCGACGGCATCAAGGTGGCGGAGGTACGAGCTGAGGAGGCAGTTGACATTTTCCTTCCCCTTGCGAAGGGAGCCATCCGCATCGCAGACCCGCTCACCGTCAGGCACGGCGCCACCGTAGCCTCCGGGTCTTGGCTTGTTGACAAACTTGATGACGCGGTTGACGAAGTTGCCCAGATTATTGGTGAGGATGTTGTTGTTCGCGACGATAAAGGCGTCCCACGTGCACTCCGTGTCACTGTCCTCTGGGCGATGGTAGAGGAGGTAGAACCGCCATACGTCGGCCTTTATCCCGCTGTTCTTCGCCTGGTCGCCGAACACACCAACTCCCCTTGACTTGGAGAACTTGGTTCCCTCGTACTGTAGGTATTCCGTGGTGGACAGGTGGTGCAACTTGGTCCAGTTTTCCCCAGTTGCGATCTGGGTGGCCGGGAAGAAAATGGAGTGGAAGAAAACATTGTCCTTCCCGATGAATTGGTAGAGCTGGACGTCGTCAGGGTCCTCCGGTTGCCACCAGTTCCGCCATTTGTCTGTGTACTCGGCTGTGATGGACAAATATCCAATCGGGGCGTCGAACCAGTTGTATATAACCTTGTCCTCGTAGCCAGGTATGTCTGAAGGAACTGGTGTCCCAAACTTAATGTCCCGTGTGATGCTGCGTTCCTTCAGGCCTTTCTTGAACCAGCCTACGGTCTGGCCTTTTCCGTTACTTGACCATTTGCCCTTTGCTTCAGAGTCGTCAAAGAAGGCCTGAACCCGTGACTGCAACCTGTCCAGCCTGAAAAACAGATGTCTCGTGTCCCGCGTGACAGGTGTGGCTCCGCAGGCGTCCAAGTTGCACCGAGGGTTCTTGAGCTCGATGGCATCGTCGAACGAGCCGCAAGCATCACACTCGTCACCTTTGGCGTCTTTGCCGCAGTGAGGGCAGTCGCCAACAACGTATCGATCTGCAAGGAACCGCCCACGGGATTCGCAGTAGAGCCTGCTCGTCACCCGTTCGTCCAAGAACCCGTTGTCATTCACCCTTGAGAATATGTGTTGCGCAATATCCGTTTGATTCTGAGTCGTGGTCCTCCCGAACTTGTCGAAGCTGATGTTGAACCACTGGTATATGTCCGCATGAATTTTGTGGAACCGATCGCAAAGCTCCTTGGGTGTGCAGCCCTCCCGGGATGCCCTGATCTCCGTGGCTGTCCCGTACTCGTCCGTGCCACCGATGTAGAGGGTATTCAGGCCGCGTGCCCGACAGTACCGGGCGAAGACGTCTGCGGAGAGCACGGAGCCGATGATGTTGCCCAGGTGCGGTACATCGTTCACGTATGGCAATGCACTGGTGATGAGAATGTTTCGGCTCCCAGGTATGGGTTCCACGGTCGAGGTGTCGCCTGGTCTCGGAGGCATGGTTGGCGGATGAGTGTGAAATCGCAGTGGCAGACGTGGATCGTGTACGATGAATGTAGCCTCAGCTGTGGTGGAAATCGTGTGCGATGATTAGACTCAGATCGCCAAAGCTGCGTGAAGGTTCGCCCAGCCAACTGCTTGAATTTGTAATTGAGAAAATGAGTCACTTTGAAAAGAGGTTGCCTGAGGATAACACATGAACTTCTTGTATGTCGCGCCTTCCTAAGACACAGCCGGGCGTTCAACGGTCAAGCTTAGCGTACAACAAGCTCACATGTCGTTCTTCCCTTTGCAATCAGTCATTCCGTATTATGTACTGAGGTAGGTTTGGGGGCTTGTGAGACATCATGTTTGCAACTGTGACTTAGCTCAAACAGATGTCAAAACAGATTCAGTGGGAAACTGGCCATCTATCAAGGCCAGACTCCTGGAGCTTTGCCCCAGGTTATCCTTCAGGGCCCAGGTGGTTTCACGGCTGGCACTTGGTCCAAAGCCTACCGCTGCCTGTGGAACTCTGGAACGGAAGCAGGCTGGAAGGCTGATCCGAGTAGGGAGCACCTTCCCCGTCATCATCACTACAATGCGTTGCGGTTTTAAGGCACCTATGTGCAGCAAGAGCTAGAACACCAAAGACCAGGTTTCAAACTTCAAGTGCCAGGAGGATCAATCGCCACCACTCGTGATTGTTGGCCAAAGATTTTCCACTGAGATTTCCCGAGACAAGCCCAGGTCAAAATCTCAAATGAACGTTGAAAAGGAACCGTAGGAAGAAATTCGTATGGGTCTGAAGAGAAAAAATAATCCTCCATTTAGACCAGCATTTCAGTCTGGGCATGCGGCTGTCTAGACTAATTTCTTTGAATGGCCTTCTAAAAAGGTGGACACTGGGAAGATTGGTTATCTGGGACGAGGGCCTTCTTGGTAGGAAGAGGCACTCCGTTTTACCCGTGGCTATATCTGACAAGGCAATAAATAGTCCGAAAAGATTCCAGGACACCGACCTTCGTATCCCTTGAGCCTCTATATCTCCAATTGCACTCAGCATATCCACTGCCGATGAATCTCTGGAACCCTGTATCTCTGTGCCAGGTCTTTCCTGATCCTAGTGGTCCGTCGCTACTACCGACTAAGAGAGGGAAGCAAGCGCAGAGCAGCTGCAACATTCAAGGCGTGATTGGCCATGCAAACCTGGAGAAGCCTCACCGTGTGCTGCTGAGTCACATGTCAGGGGACAGACGGTGCGAGGGAAGTGACATGTATCGAGGCAGGCAGAGCATCTTGTAGCCGGGGGAGTGTCTGCCCGGATGTGTCTCGATGCATTCATCCAGTCCATGAGGAAACACTGGTTCATGGATAGCCCTTACGTACACCGAGATTTTCTCGCCTGGTTGTACGGGTACTCTGTAGCGGAGCCTGTGGGCTCTGTTTCCCCATCTCCGGGCCCCGGCCATGTAAGCACCATGAGACCTTGCGTTGTAGTTCAGTTAGCGACAGGCCAGCCACCCGCAAGCCATCAGCACCAAAATAAAGGAGGCTCGGACTCCTGTATTCCTGTGCTTCTTGCCAGCCCGTACTCACATCCCGCAACCTTGTAGATCACTTGAGATCATTCTGCTCCGGCACGCAGCAGCCGCCCCCATTGGATACCACCCACCACATGACACCATCGCGGCGGCGCAGGCCAAGTCTACACGATGCAGTACAACATGAGACCCAAGGTTTGCGGCCGCCGCGCCGGCCAAAGATCGCCATCGGAGCCAAGGGAATGAGTTGGCGCAAGTTTTGCCGCAGGGCTGCATGCGTTCTAAATCCGGACTGGGGGGCTGACCGTCTTACGACCCTCAATCGCGGGACAGCCCGCGGTGGGCTTGTGCAAAGGGTAACATTTCGCTGGCATCTCTCCTTTTAGGGGGCTATCCAACTGTCCTGATAGCGGGCTTGAAGATGCAGGTACTCGCTATGAATGCGAGCCACCGTTTTCATACGGCAGCGGGAGCAAGCTGAACTGAGACTGGAAACCCCCTATCTCCTCACCCATCTCTCTCCCCTTCCCTCCGTCAGCTGAGGCTGCACCCGCATCCTTAGCGCCGGCAGAGGAAGAAAGGAGCCGCAGGGGATTGGGGCTCCGGGGGGCGGGGGGTTGTTGACACGACAGGAGGGTTGGGCAATTGAGCACTCGCTGGAAAACAACAAACCTCGCGATGCCACCCGATGGCTTGTTTCAAAACCACAGCGCCTGCAGTAGCGCGGACTTTGCGTGGCGGCGGACGGACAGGCTGGGGTTTCGAAACGTGGTCGGCGGTCTGTGTTATTCATTGTTGTTGGTGAGCCACGCGCTGCCAACCAACTTGTACGTCCAATCGCTCGGCCGCGGTACAGGGCTTTCAAGTTTGTGCCTTGCCGCCATGCTGTGCACCAAACGAAACTCGCAAGACTTTCTTTGCAAAGTTCCGTCTCTGACTTTGAAAGCGGAGAAAGTCTGACGTGAGAAATAGAGGTCTGACGAGAGATTGCAAGGGGAAAGGGTTGGGGATGGGCCACACGGGGAGGGCGAGAGACTTCTCATCAAGGGGCGGCTGTGGTTCATTGGCCAAGGACAGTTGTCAGTCCCGTACCGTTATGTGCAGCATGTGATGTTGCAGCAGAGCACACATACACATCTCTCACATGCCACATATGGCAGTGTAAACAGCAGTATACAGTTACATATTGACCCCAGCCGAGATTGTTGTGCCGTGCAGCGATTATGCCTCACCCGAGTCAAGACAAGCACAGCGTTCGGACGAGTTCTGGTGCTGAGGAATTCGCCGAATCTCGGCAGGACTTGGCTTTTTCCACCCAAGGCCCGATGGAGCCCCAGGTGCTGGTCCGCCGGGGATAAATGGGCGCAGGTCGGCACGCAGAGCAGGTCGAGAGAACAACACCATAGTAACCAGAGAGCGAGATCGATGGATTGGCAGGAGGGCGGGCCACGCATCTGCTGATCGTCAACTGCCGCCCAGTCTGGACTTTCTCTAGCCGGGCGCGTGGGTTACGACCCATTGCCGATCCAGGGCAGCCAACCAGGGGCCCCGGTGGGGACAGGACGGTGACATGGCGCGTGTGTGCTCCTTATTGAGGGTGCTGTGGCCTCGATGTGGTGCAGGATCGCCAGGTACGCGAAAAGGTTAAAATTTGACGACGGCGATCCTGATTGGGGACTTATCTCGCCTAAGGGGCAGAGGTGATAAATATTGAATGCCGTACCAGAGTAGGTACGCCCAAACAGCCATGCAGCAACATCACAGGCGCAGTGATTCCTGGGTGCAAAGCATATAACCGGTGCTGTGGGTAGGGGGATCGAGCATGGTTTGGTGCGTGAGTGCGTGCGTGCGTGCGTGCGTGCTAGCGTGCGCAAATGCTGTGTTGGACAGTGTCTTACTGTGCTGTGCAGCTTGCCGGATAGCTGGACGGACGAAGAGAAATGCCTCGTTCCCCAGTCTTTACAGAGACATACCCGCCTGCCAGTCCCCGTCCCCGTCTCGGGTTGCCACAATTACGCAACACGTGGAGGGCAGCTGAGGAGGCGTGGAGATAGATTGCGATGGAAGCATGTTGTGCGACGACGGCGGATGGGAGAAACGTTGAACAAGCAGGGAACCCTCTCCCTCGAGTCACGAACGAGCAGGCCTGGTCCTGGTGTGGTCTTCGAGAGAAAGGTACTGACGCCATGCAGAAGCAGAGTTTGTAGGGAAACGCATGGCGATGGGGAAGATGACGGCGGTGCAGAAGCGGGAGCATTTACCACGATGCCATAGGGCGAGACAACTAGGCGCCAGTAAGAATGACGATGATGAGGAAAAAATGAGAGAGAAAAGAAGAAAAAGCCTCAACAGAATCTTCATGCTCTGCCAAGGAAGCAATGCATGGTGGCAAGACTGCCGACAGGTCCGGGTGTCCGGGTGCACGGTAGATGGACTGGCCTGCATGAAGAAAAGAGCCGTGCCGAGGTGGTGATGAGTTCTGACTGACGTGCGCACAGGTGCATCATGGAGGTGGTGATGCTCTGCGACCACTGTAGTGTATATTGGGGATTGTGATTGATGACTGCACGGTATAGTCGTGTGTGCCTCGGTTCCTTAGTGCTTGTGTGTGTGCAGGGTGAGTGAGTTGTTCCTGCAGCGGACCGAGCAGTACGAACAGTAGCGCTGAGCATAATAATTTGCATGCAGGTACAGCAGGTTTGTCGGCCGTCCAACTGTCAGACAGCACGGCCCCGCTGGCACCTTTGTGTGCGAGTCGTGAGTTGGGCCTGATTGGCTGGCCACCGCCGACTAAACACCACCGTCTGGATTCCAGTGACCAGCCGTTTCCATTCCAGTCGCTGGCCGTTTCCATTCTGGCTAGTGGTAGGAGATGTCCGCGTCGTGTCCGTGTCAGTGCAATCCAGCAACGCGATCTAGAATGCCCATAGATCTGCACCAGAAGACGGCCCAGACTGCCTACTGCCAAGGTACTGTGCAGAGACGCCAGCTAAAGACTTAGGTCGAGGAACGTGGGTATCAACCATCTCGACGACGGTGTCATTAGCCATCACTCAGCCCCGAGCCATCACCGCCCTCACCGCCACGCATCCCGAGCTTGATTGTGAGTTGCATCGAATCAGGTCACCAAGGGTGCGCCGAAAAGGGGGATTCATCTGGCGGGCCGGGTTATTCATCTTGTTCTGGCGTGTCCAAGGAACCAAGAAACCGGCGAGGCAGTGAGAATCAGCACTTGGTCATGGTGGGGCAGCCCGAAGCATGGAGTATTTTTATGGAGCCAGAGCATGAATCGAGGAAGACTGTGGGCTCAACCACGCACATCAAGAAGCCACTTGCACCGATGATGGCGCCGGGGAACTGGGGCCGCCGACGGTCAGGACGGTGCACAGCTCAAGTGGTGCGCTGTGGACGATGTCCATGGCTGGGATCTGCCGTCGGCTGTCCACGTCCACGTCGTCGTCGTCGTGGCCGTCATTCAACGGTGGGTTCTCCTTACAGTCCGCACTGCACATCAACGGTAGATACTGGCAGATGCTCCCCGCCCTGGGACATAGGGCACAGCACACAGGACACAAGATCTGTGGTGTTATCTCAGAATAGATGAGTGGTTCTTTATCCTAGGTGTTATTACGGGAAAGTCAGGTGCCACCCACTTGTTCCGTTGCTTCTATTCTCTCACTCATTCAGCAGCCAACGGGACGTGTGACAGAAGAGCTGTGCCGCTGGACGTGCAATGCCATTGCGACAATTTCACCCCCGGTACCTTTGTACCTTGGCCTCCCAGCAAAAACCTGCACAACCTGGACGGCAGGACGGACGACGAAAAAGAACGGTCGCCGGTCGGGCCTTCTTGGGATGAACATGAGCACCCTGATTGGGCAGATCGAGAGCCCCCGCTAAGCCAAGCTGGGCCATGCTAAGCCTCGCTATTTCCCCGGCCCGTCTGATCGTTGCCTGTTCCTGCGTGTTCCTGATGAAAGATTGAATTGCCCTGGCCAGGGAAGGAGCGCCGACCAGGGACGGCAGGTCATGGCAGGGAAGGCAGCCCTCCTGCGCAGGGACCCCCTGCCGCCCACCCCTGGCTCCACCCCTGGCCAGACCAGCACGCTGCAGGTTCTGTGCCTTGGTGCAATTTCTCGTCCTCGTCAGTCCGTCGAATCTGCAGCGGGCGGCCCCTTACCACCGTGCCAACGATGGCCCACGCTGCCCGCGCAATCTGCCCCGTCCCCACCCTCGGCCGGCTGGTCGCCTCTCGTTTTGTCCTTCTTCTCCGCCCCGGTCCATGTCCTTGTCAGCTTGTCTCCCCTGCGCGTCCAGGCCAGCCCGTTCATTCATCTTGACTTCATCTCGCCCGTCCCTTCGTCCCAGGTCCCCCCTCCTCTCCTCCCTTCCTCCCTTCACCCACCCCACGCTCCTTTGCAAGTCAACAAAGACCAAAGCCTTCGCTTTTGATCTCTGCCTCCCGCTGGTGCCCGGTCACTCACTCACTCCCTCCTTCGTGTTCCCATTGCAAGACAATCACGTCGACACGAACCCACATTCTTTTGAATCACCAAACAACAACACTCATTCGCACCTCGAAGAGTAAAACAGGCACATCAGATCAAGCCCAAGGCAACGACTCGATCAGTAAATCACTTCCGAAACAGACAAGATTCGCAAACGCACATCACCATCACCCATCGCAATGGCTCGTCTCACATCCCTCCTCCTGCTCGGCGCCATCGGTGCCTCCGCCCACCCTTCTGGCCACGCCCGCTTCCACAACAAGCAGCGCTCCCAGAACCAGGAGCGCGCCATCGGTGACACCATCAACGCTGTCATCGACGGTGTCGCCGTCTCCTGGGTCCAGACTGAGGACTACGGCGCCGCTGCCACCCCCGCCATCGTCGCCGACAAGCCCGCCAACGCCGTCGCTGACGTGAAGGTCGCCGCCGCAGCCACCCCGGCCCCATCCGCCTCGCCCTCGCCCTCGCCCTCTCCCACCCCCCAAGCCTCTTCCTCCGCGGCCGCCAAGTCCACCTCGGGCTCCGACTCCACCTCCACCGGCGAGGGCATCACCGAGTTCACCAGCTTCACCGACCTCTGCAGCGCAGCCAAGGCCAAGCGCGCCACCCTCGACCAGATCAAGTACGCTGGCAACACCGGCTCCAGCACTGACTACGGCTGCAACAAGGTCCTGCTGGCTAACTCGGACCTTGCCTCCGAGTACAACAACACCGCCAAGTTCTTTGGTGGCAGCGAGGATATGTACTGCCTCATCTGGAACAAGGTCGGCGCTGATGGTGGTATCAACGGCTTCTTCGGACTCGAGGCCACCACTTTCACGCTGGCCGCTGGCTCCGAGCAGTACGTCGCCTTCGACAAGAACTCCCAGGGTGGTGGTGCCTGCTTCAAGGGCGCCAGCGAGTCCGACGTTGAGAAGACCTCCTACGGCGCCATTGCCGGCACCTGGGCCGAGTGGGACTTCGAGAACGAGAGCAACAACGGCTGGTCTGGCTACGATGCTTCTGCCATTGTTGCCCAGGCTGCCGGCCTTGCCGTCACCGGCATGGAGATCTGCGCCGAGAACGCCCCCGACGCCCTCTGCTCCACAATCGGCTCCGGTGGCTCCAGCTTCGTCAACGCCTACCGCGCTGTTGATGCCGATGCTGATGGCATTGGTGGCCAGGTCTCTGGCCCCATGAAGATCAACATCGACCTCAGCGGATTCTAAGGAACGTCCGTCGCCCGCACTTGGTTGGCTATCTGGCCGGTCAATTTTTGCATACCTTCTACAACCTGACGGCTGGTGACCTTGTTTTGTTACTATCGAGCCATCTATGACGAGATACGAAGCAACGGTCACTGGCCCGATATGGGAAATGCTCTTTGGACCTGGATCTGAGAAAGGATAGCTCTTGTGATCTCTCTCACATTGTCTTTCCGTCTCGCACTATCCAATACCATCCTCCTTCCTATGATACCACCAATCAAGCGCCGCGTCGCGTCATAGCTCGCCTTGGAAACGTTTTTTCTCTTTCTTTTGTGTTGGATGGCAAGGGACAAGGGGCTTGATCTCGCCAGGGACCGATATGCAGCGCGCAAAGGTTCCCACGGACTTGTTTTTCTCGATACAAAGTTGCTGGTTGTGTCTTGGTTTTTAAAGGCGTACAAATCACATACATCGGCTGGCTGGCTGTTCCTACTCCATCTTATGGGAAGCAAAGGCAAAGCAAAAGATTATTCTTGATAGTGTTTATTGATGAGAGTCATTTGAAGAACTTGCGCCCCGTTCCTCCTGTGAGCTCTGAAGCTGAAGGTGACATGTGTGACATCCTCGACATGCTGTGACATCCATCTAAGCTTGACGTTTAAGCTTGACGTCTCTTTGGCCTGCTTCCTTGTCGCAGGTTCATCCCATCCTTTGTGCGTGTTTCGTCTGATGGCGCGTGCCCCGGTTTACAAGCTTTCATGTTGCCGGCTGCAACTGCCGTGCGAGAGAACTCCGATTTGATAGTGACAGCGAGTGCCAACCGACCAACCAACCAACAACCAACGTCTTCCACAACCTTTAAACAGCACACAGAGACACAAACTTTGTGTGCATGTAGATCGAAGAGAGTCTGGGCCCTGCCACGCGGGATCTGGACCATTTCTTGACTCAACCCACCGCGCTGATCTAACTACCTAGATAGAGACTAGACTGTCGTCTACTTGGAGTACATAGCAACGCAATAGGCGACGAGTGGGGGGTGGGGGCTTGCAAGCATTCCTCTGGATTGCTTGCGCTGCGGAATCGACCTCGTTTGTTTACTTTTTCTGTCCCGCTCTTTGACGTATGCGTTCACTGTGGGATCTGCGCTGGGATCGTCTGTCTGCTCGTCCTAAAATCACGAATTTTCGTTGTCTTTTCCTTTTTTTTTTAAAAAAAAAATGCTTATATTTCGGATTCCATTGCGGTCTGGTTGCGCGCCTGAGGGTCTTGGCTTTTGGCTTGTTGCTCTGGCAGCCATCTACTTGAGTGGCCCCTCTACTAAAACTCAATACAACCTCCGCCCAGGTGGTGTGTGCGTTCGCCGGCCGGGCGTTGTGGGTCCGGCCGATCCATTCGTGGACGGCCGGTGTCGACATGGACTTGTGGGAGCCGTCAAGCCGAAGTCGTAGCGGGGACGGCCCGCCCGGTTCACTCACGATCGTGGAGGCGCTGAGCCCGCTGCCTGGCCAGGGCGGATTGGCGCTCCGTAATGCAGATCTGTTCGTGACCGACCTAACCGACAGACTTGCCAAGCAAAAAAAAACCGCTTCGTTTATCGGGGGTGAGATTGGCCTGGGCACCTGATGGGTCTCGCGGCGGGGACGTCGACTGGAAGCTGCCAACCCATGTATTTACGGCCTGGCAGTGCCCGACAAGCCCTTCCCCACGGCAAATGACGCTGCTGCCGCGGATGCTCATGCCAACTGGGTCTTGCTCGAAGTCTTGACAGTCTGAGCTGGCATTTGCTTCGTGACATGGAGTAGGCTTTGTGGGCTATGCTTGGTGATGTGACCGAAAGTTTTGAAGTCCTGTATATTTTAACACGCTTCAAAAAAGCTTTGATGTTAACCATGTCAAAATCGAATTACTTGTCAATTGAGAATGACTGGGGACTACAGAGGACATGTACTCGTCACTACCTGTGGTAACCAGCTTAAATGTGCGGCTGAATTTACACACATTTCCAAGTAGTTATCTTGTTAACGCAGCACAACACTTGCCGTTCCCAACTTTGATCAGATTCGGTTTCCTCAAGCCAACCACCTGGCCTTCCTCCAGCCTCGCCTTCGTCTCCTCTTCCAGCCCATATTCCAGGGTCCTGATGACCTCTTTCGTCATCCGGATGCGCATCACAGCGCCACCGAACCGCAGGGGCAGGTCATGGCTTCTCACCCAGTACCTGGGCTCCGCCTTCCTCTCCAGCTGCAGGCTCCTTCCCACCCCGACGGTCTGCCGCATCCCGAAGGAATAGCTGTCCTTAAAGCCCGCGAGGATGGCAAGGCACTGCATGCTGTCGGCACGTTCAGGCTGCCCAGCCCCTTCGGCCGTGTTTCTGTTCTTCCCGACGTTGTCGTCGAAGAACGCCTCGACGGACTCGGTGTTGACATCTACCCCATGCGGGGTGTTGATGATGAACTCATTCCGCCCACTCCCACCTGCAGTTCCGCTCTCTGGGCGGTTGAGTTGGCTCTCGTGGGACCAGACGAGGGCTGTGGCGAGTTCCACCTCCCAGTCGCTCGCCAGCCTAAAGACACTCAGCCACTCAGGCAGCGGTTTTCCGGGGTGGAACGTCTTCCAGTGGCTCCCGCGGTCGGCTGTTGGCACGCCTGCCGCGGTTGAATCGCTCTTGTCCGAGTTTCCGTCCCCGTTATACCTCTTGTAGTCAAGAGTCTCGACCACTGTGTCAAAGTGGCCCCAACCGTGGATGGTCGGCGCCGCCTGGGCTGTAGCAAACACAGGAATCCTCTTGTCAAATGTCTCCAGGGTCGGCTGGTGCAGGTGGTCCAGCAAGTGCAGCTTGATGAAGATGGCGTCCACTAACGGCGGCTGCGACTGCGCGTCGGAGTCTGCGTCAAAAACCTCACCCCGGGCGGCCGCGGCTAGCTCCTCGATCTCGTGCACCACCGCCTCGACCCCGGCCCCGTCGGACACGGCCGCAGGCTCGGTGCGCTCGATGAAGACGAGCCAGGGGGAGACCATCGTGGCGGGTCCTCGGAGCCAGGGGTCGACGACGACGTGGTAGAATCTCTTCCTGCCGACACCGTTCTCTTGCCGTAATTCTGCCGGTGGCAAGGGAAAGGACATCAGCCATGAGCCGTCGCCATTCAGGGAGGTCAGAATGGGCCGAGGAGGCTGCTCTTGGTGCGAGCCGAAATATGAACGGAGGTTTTCTGCTATAGGAGACATTGAAGTCGGCGTATGCTAGTGGGGGCAGAGGTATAATGAAGGGTGGAAAACGGGTCTGTCAACCACGAATTGGGAAATGGGAGGTTATGTTGGCTATAAATATGGGCCTTCGACCTTGGTGGACTTCCGACGCCCAACAAATGTTTCTAGTCGCGCCCGATTGGCTAGTTCGCTCAGAGGATCAATAAGAAGTTCCTGTCAGATCTTAGAGGATATGAGGTTACTTTCCCATTAGTATTATTCGTCCCTAGTCCAGCCACGAGATCCTGCTGGTTATTAGCCCAATCCTTTCCAAACCGTCTCGCTTGCCTCGCTTCAGGCTTTTACAGGTATGACCTGACCTTCATGTTATAAAGCACGCTGCAGAGAATCCCCTCTTCCCCACTCCCTCCCGTCTCCCCAAAAAGACAAAAGTCCCGTGGAAGATCGCGAACCAGGCAAGTCAAGGCAACTTTGAGTGGCTTGTCGTTCAGGTTGGTCCTTAGCGTCCGTCTCTCTCCATCCAACGGGCACCAACGGGGCGACGCCAAGCGCAAGCACGGACGGCGCGCCGCCGTTGACACGACCCGCGGCGATAGAGATGATACGAGCTAGTGGGCTCACCCTGACTTTGAATGAACTCGCTACTTACCGTCGCCCGTGCAAAGGAGACGAACGAGTTGGTTGGAGAACGACGATGATAAGGCTGTTGCTGACCCGGCTTTTCCGAGCCGGGCCAGGTACGCAAGCCGACTGAGGAGAGCGGAGCGAATCGTCTCATGGCTATTTCGAAGCCGAGAAAGAAGCGATATATACTTTAGCAAAGACATGAAGAGGTTCGGCCCGGCCGGCGCCCGGAGCCTCAAGGGCGGAAGACGTTTCAAGGTCGCGGAGCATTGTGATGAAATGAAATAACTGAGTTTATAAATGTGCCGGAAGATCGAGTGGATAACAATGAGCAGAAGAATATGTGCTCGAGAATGCGTTTTAACAAGTTCACAGGCCCTCTACAGTTGCTTTGGAACAGCATTGAGTATAACTCACTTGATACGTACGGAAAGATGTCATATCCACACCATGAGGTTCCATTGAACACATACATTTGGAAAGCTTCCCTATCGGCGTACATCGAACCAACACTGCTGATCAGTCTCTTCCACAGCCGTCATCGTTGTGTGCCTTTCAGCGTTTCTATAAATTTTCACGCAGTTCCTTGAAAAGAAGAGGGGCGGGGGAATAAACTTTTACACTCCGATACACACTTACTACAACCGGCCGAGGACAAAGGTGAAACGTCAACACAACAGTGCTGACTTATTACATAGTCTTTCGGTTTTGACTAGACCTCGCGAGTCGAACGAGTTACAAGGGTACGAGATCCCTGGACATCAAGAACTTGTCTTTCCTGAGGCATCATACGACGGTCAGCGTCATTGTCTGGTGCCCGCCGGCAGTGAACATACGATCACCAGCTTCGGCGGCCCAACTGATCACCATGTCGTTCTGGGAATCCAATTACCCTACAGTTTACATATAGTGTCACATGACGAGTGTTTACCACGCGAGCTAAATCCGGGATAGCAGAGAGAGAGAGTCTGAGTTCTAGGCCACCGGAATGCAGCCAGCAAGTTGCGTATGGGGCTCAGGCAGCATTCGGAATGGTGGCTTTTGTCCATGGTCCGAATATTAAGATTGGTGCACAACGCAAATCAAAGTTCACTTGGTTTGATTACTAGTTAATAAAAAGTTAAACAATGCTACGAAACTACGCATATTGGAAGTCAGTCTAGAAAAGTACTTCGTTGGGCCTTCTCCTTGAGCCCAAACGTGACTAGGGATTATTCATGCAATTACAGCAGTTGAAGCAAGACACGGGGACAACCCGGATCATGGCGCTCGTAACCTCATCATAGGTAGTGCTGCGAGGTGGCAGCACTTGGCCATCCGAACCGTCAGCGATTCTGATATTACGTGCCGATGAAATATGCTCAGTAGCTCGCCGTATCAGGATGCAATCTTGTTACCAAATCAAGCGGATGAGAGGTTGCCTACGTTGCTGAACGTAACGTGACAAAGATACCTACCTGGCCGTGGTACGAGAGTTATGTCTCACAAGTGAGACAGACAGGTTCCTACACGATTCTAAATGGGTTCTACTGTTCAGATATGCTGGTCATGCATGTGGTGTGCCAACCAATTTGGGCCCGCTGCAGGCTGAATTGGCAATCTTGAGGAGCCAATAGGTAGTGTGTTGCAAAGTACATTGCATATGTAGGTGTGTGTGAGTACCTCTCCTCACTGGCCTGCAGCTCCGGGCACCCTTTCCACCGAGTTGCCCGGGCTTTTCCGTCCCGCATTTGTTCGCTGCGTCGCCGGCGACTGTCCTATCAATACAACAGACATTGACACAGACACATAACATCGAAAGCCTCACACTAGAGGCGGGAAAAGCCAACACCTACCATCTCACTTCGGGTGAGTCTGCGCAAGAATCCATCAACGCCTGAATGTGTGGTTTGTTTGCGAGCCACTGCCACAGGTCTGCGTCAGCATCTGTGAGCAGCAGGGCCTAGGGAAGTAAGGCACCAGAAACCCTTTCCAGCCGGACTCGACCATCCTGGTTCAGTGGTGCTGGCGGCCCTGGACGGACGACACTATAGCAACCACCTCCCCAACGGCGAGAAGACGAACGCCGCCCCGATGGAGCAGCACCTCGTGGCCAACAACCCAGAGTTAGCCGGCGCCCTCGTGGTCGGCACCCGGCGATTCCAGAACGCTCTGCTTATCGAGCCATTTATCTTCAGGGAGGCCGGCAGATGCCCACTGACGACGGCCGAGCAGGCGGCACTGATCGAGCGAGTCTGGCCCAGCATCCAGGAAGCCAACAATACCGTCCCGGCCCACGCACGCGTCGACAAGGCGCTGATCCTAGTAACGACGCCGGACCGCCCGCTCATCCGCGACAGCGACGGCGCGGTCCAGCAGACCGCCCTCGCGGAGCAGCAGTACGCAGCCGAGATCGGGGCGCTGCGCGCGAACGCGGAGCTCGGCCCCGACAGCGACGGCGAGCCGCCACGCGCGCCTCTCGTCGCGCCTGATCCGGACAGCATCGCCCAGTTCGTCCAGGAGTGCGTCAGCGCGGTGACGAGCTGGCCACACGAGGATGCGGACCACCAACCGCCCTCGACGACGTTCTTCGAGCGCGGCATGGACTCGCCCGCGGCGCTGCAGCTCGCTCGTGTCCTGAGGCGGGGGCTCCGCCGTCCTGGCGTGGCCCTGTCCACGGTGTACTGCAACCCGACGGTGTCGCAGTTGACGTCTGCCATCCTCGCAGCTATTGAAGATGGGCCGAGGGGTCACCACAGTGGGACGGCCGAGTCTGCGTGACACGCACCGGGGCACCATCGACAAAACCCCAGAACCACAGCATCTGTCTCCCCAGCATTAGGGAGATCAACGTTGAGCAGGTTTCCCGCGTACACCCAGGCCGGCCGCTCCTGGGCCGTCAACTTCGACTTGGCAGCTGAGGGCGTTTCGGCTATGTCCTGGCGGGTCTGGTCAACCCGCCTGCTCTGAACGCGGCCTGCAAGTGCAGGCTGGCACGGCGGCGACGGCGTCATCTTCACCTCGTCAGCGAGCGCCACAGAATGGGTTGCAGCAACACATTGGAAGTCTGGTCCTGGGTTGACGCGCCGCATGCCAGTGGCTAGGCGCGGAGCAGGTTCCTCGGCGAGGAGCTGCGCGATGTAGGGCCGAGGCGTCCGGGGGCCCCCGTGATCATCGCCCGCACCGATGTAGTGCCAGGCACATCCATGGTCTTTTAATCAGACGAAGGAAAATGAATGATGGGAGTCAGCAGTTAGGACTCGATGCCTCTGCGCTGGTATTATATGATTGCTTGTTGAGATCGGTGGCAGCATTGCTTGAAGAAATTGGTCATTGTATTACAGTGGCAGCCTGATTATTTTAATCTTAATGTCCAACCGCTTATAACCGCGTGCCGAGAGCATCCTGGTGGCCCACATACTCGTCACCAGCAACTTCCTAGTCGCGATTCCGATTCGAAGACCACCTTTTGACAAGTTGCTCGCGAATGCGATACTTCTTCAACAGCCCCGCCAGGCCATCCCTGGGTGATCCATCTTCCAGGAAGGCAGTCGGTGGCGGGACGTCGACATACACCAGCAAAACACTCTTAAACACCTTTGACAGCACGCGGTTCACACCCATAAGCCAATGCCACGACTTTTGTGGGGCCTGTTTGCCCATGGACTTCCAGTATGGATCCGAATAAGACGGCAGAACGAGAACACCGTACTCGGCATGGTCGAAGACGGGCCCGCGAGTGTATAACAACCAGTCAACTCCGAACTTGATACCGGCACGTGGAACCCAACCTAGAGAGCGGAAGTGATGGTACACGGCATAGTGAAGCAGAAACGGATCGTCGGGTAGAAGGTCTCGCGATGATAGACGGGGAGGAAAGTATGAGTTCTGGCGAAGAAGACTCAGCAGATCTTTCGGGCCGATCGCCTCTTGAGTCGCGGAATCGATGACCTTGAGAGAACCAAAAGCAAAAGTCAGAAACAAAGCCTCCTCGGGGAGAAGCTGGAGATGTTCCTTATTGATCACAACAAGCTCTGTCTCGGGGTCGGTGAGGTCCTTTGCGGTCTCGTCCGTGCCGGAAGCTGTCGAGTCGTCCAGGCTGACGGCGGCGCTACCATTGACACCATGAGGTTTCAGTGATGACGACGACACTGAACGAGGGGGGCTGGGGGGATCGTTGTGCAGGAACTCGGTGGACTCCACGGTCGGCGAGAAGCGGACGCTCTTAGCTTGCTTCAGCGGCGTGGGTTCCGAGGTCGTGGTGTTTGAGTCCGCATCATCATTTCCAGATGAGCTGGAACTGGACTTGGAGACCTCCGCACTGTCGACGGTCTCCTCGGGCGGAGGAGTTAGGCGGCTTGAAAGTGACTCCAGTTCGAGCTGTGAATTCGGCAGACACAGCAGCTCCAGCGGGCCGACAGGGGCTGCCGCCGTCGCGGGAGTCGGGGTCTTCACAACAGCTTCAGGTAGAGGCTCAGGGGGTACAGCGACTTGCTCGAGTCGTGCCGCCTCCAGTGCGGCCTCCTCCAGGCGCCTCTGTTCCAGAGCCTCCTGCTCGGCTCTGGCGCGGTCCCATTTCACACGGTTGCGCTCAGCACGACGCCTGTTGGTCTCGACCTCTGAGACCTTGTCCCTGACGAGCCCCAACCGCGTCCTTTCCCTCTTCAACCAGTTCGGTTCACTTCGACTCAGACTTCCCTTTCCAAAGAAACCTTGCTGCCAGAGGCCGACCATGGACTTCTCATTTGTGATGATGATCGTCCTCGTCTCATGATCCCAGTAGGCCGTATGCACGACTGACGGCTCGGCTGGAGGGGGACTCAAGACCTGGGACAGCCAGGTGAAGGCGAGGTGGAGGAAGGAGATTGGGTTGCTGGTGAGACTTGGGAAGGGAAAGATTTTGAGTGGAGCGGGCTGCTTGTAGAGCAGATGCAGATTTGCCCGGGGTTGACCTTTTCGGGCAGGCGCCGGTGAAGGCGATGCGGAAGTCGATAGCCCCGGCGACGGGGAGACAGCAGGTGTCTCTTCCGTGAGTGGGTTGCCCATGGGAGAAGTCCCATCAGACGTGGGAGCTGATGGGACTACATCAACCACAGGAGCTGTAGTTGGTTGCTGGATCTCTGCCATTTCTTCCTCAGGTCATGTCGGACTTTATACGGGACGGTTAGCCAAGGTTCTGAGATGGTCAAAGTGTGTGTGCTGTCATGAAACAAGTGGAGTGTGAGGTCATCGCTCAGATACCGTTGTTAGTCTTAATTTTGGGACTATCACCGAGAGACGAGGCTCTCTAAGCACCGTAATAATAGTTGTCATCAACGCGATGGGGAGGAAGAGGATCAAGGGAAGGGAAAGGGTGTAGCAAAATGGTCTGACCGGACGAAAGGCAGATCGGCTCACTCACTGTATCGAGGAACATTCTTCCCGGCGAACCGACACGTACCGAGGTATGCAGGCCATTCAACGGTCCTTGAGTGGTGGCAAGAGCTAGGAGGAGCGTATTCCTAGTTGACTGCTGAGGTGTTGCAGTCTGGTTGGTGTTGCTCAGCTCGGGGGAAGGATGCGAGTGGTGTTCATGTTCTCTGGAACTGATGAACTTTTTTCACGTTGCTGCGATTGAGTTGGAAACAGAGGTCCGAGTTTTAAGAAAATGCCGCTGAGTCAGGCGGGGCATGTGGGTACGTACCTGGAGGTGGCCCTGGGGTTGGGGTTGCGAAACAATAATTTGGGGGGGGGGGGGGCAATGGTCCAGCTGAATTGAGTTGCATGCATGGCATGACTGGCCTCGCCTGAAATTTAGACCCTTTCGCGATTCTAAGTGAACAATCCAACTTCAGCAGTTGTCACTCTGCTTTCTTTATATATGTGAATAGACAGTCACGGAGGTCTGTCAATATGGAGCTTCCATAGCTACTACGTCTCTCTCTCGACCTGTCGTCTTCTTCTGCACCAGTCGTCCTTGGACAGTAGAGCATGATCTCGACATGTCCCTCCTTTCGAACATAGCGGTGTATGCCGCATACCCTGCTCTGATCTGGAGTTCAGTTGTGTACCTGGTCCAGAGTATTGGGATATTCCAGGTGTAAGCTTCCTATTGTTGCTGCTTCTATCCACTCGCTCCGTCCTAATTGACTGACCATCTCCCCAAACAGCTTCCGAGGCTACTCCCGCCCCCCTCGAAGACCAGTCTCTCCCTCCCTCTCCGACCACCTCGTCCCTCACATCACCATAATCCGTCCCGTCAAAGGCCTCGAGCCACAACTATATGAATGCCTCGCCTCCACCTTCCGCCAGACCTACCCGCGGTCCAAGCTGACAGTCAACCTTTGCGTCTCCTCCGAGGACGACCCGGCGTACCCGGTTCTCGAGAAGATTGTCGATGACTTCGGGAGTAGCGGCAACGGGGAGGGATACGACGTCCGCCTTCTCGTCGAGGAGTACGACCCGCTGATCTCGGGCCTCGACGGCAACGAGCTGGGGCCCAACCCCAAGATCCGCAACATCAGCCGCGCCTACCGCGAGGCCCCCGCCGACTCCCTGATCTGGATCATGGACTGCAACGTGTGGATATCCAGGGACGTCGCCGGCCGCATGGTCGACAAGCTGATGGGCTTCCTGCCCGGCGGGCGGACCACCACCCCGTACAAGCTCGTCCACCAGCTGCCGCTCGTCGTGGACATACCTCCCTCCGACGAAGACAACAACAAGAAGAAGCCAGCACCAGGCGACCAGGAACAAGCAGGCCTCCTGTCCAAGGCGTGGCACCAAGGAGGCGGCCGCCTGGACGAGATGTTCATGGCGACCACGCACGCCAAGTTCTACAGCGCGATCAACACCGTCGGCGTGGCCCCCTGCGTGATCGGCAAGTCCAACATGTTCCGCAAGGCCCACCTCGACATCTACACCCAGCCCTCCCACAACCCGCGCCTCTCCCCCGGCGACGCCGCCCGCGGCACGGGCGTCGACTTCTTCAGCAGCTACATCTGCGAGGACCACCTGATCAGCGACCTCCTCTGGAACGCGCCCATCCCGCCCGACACAACCACTGCCCCACCCCGCCCCTACGGCAACCACGCCCTCATCCCGGGCGACCTAGCCATCCAGCCCGTGGCGCGCGTCCCCATGCCCGCCTACTGGGCCCGCCGCGTCCGCTGGCTCCGCGTGCGCAAGTGGACCGTCCTGCTCGCCACCCTCGTCGAGCCGGGCGTCGAGAGCCTCCTGTGCAACCTGTACTTCGCCTACGCCGCGACGACCCTGCCCTTCTTCAGCACCACCTTCGGCATCCCGCAGACCTGGGCTGCGACGGCCGCGCTGTGGGCCGGCGGGGTGACCGCCTGGATGGCCTGCGACCGCGCCGTGCACGCGCGGCTGCACTCGTGCGCGTGCGTCGACCCGGTGGACGACGGCGCGCCCTTCTTCGCGCGCGGCACCGAGGTCACGAGACGGGGCTTCGGCGAGTGGCTCCCCGCGTGGCTTGGGAGGGAGCTCCTTGCGCTGCCGATCTGGACGTGGGCCGTGCTTCTGGGCACGACCGTCACGTGGCGGGGGAAGAGCTTCCGCGTCCGGAGCGACATGAGTGTTGTCGCGCTCGAGAGTGCGAAGGGAAGTGATAGCGGTAATGGGACGGCAAATCGGAGCGCTGTAGGTGACAAGAGCTGGGAGGTAGAGCAGGACGGTCAAGGTGTACGCCCGGGCCAGCATCAGGACGTCCCGCGCTGGGAGGGGCGGCCCACGGCGACTCACAGGAAGTCTAGGTCTTATGTTAAGGAGTAGGCTTAGGTTCCTGGGACCATATTGGAAATAGAAAATGAATTCAAACACCACCTTCATCTTAAATAGCTGACCCTAAAAACATACGAGCCTTTGACACGCTCTGTACCACAATTTACAATTGGGACACGGGGAATGAGGTACATAAAGATAAGTAATCGATTTATCAAATTACGAGAGTTCATACGTCTCCCTGTTTTGCCGGTCCAAAACTCCTGGCTGATTAAAGAATATCCTTACAAACGGCCTACAAACTAACACAAGGTGTTGCCACGCGCGGACTGCTCGGTGCATTTCAGCCTCACCTGGGCACCCCACCGAACATGCGATGTCTTCCATCCTCACGACAATGCCTAGACACTCCAGGGACGCAATGATGCGTTGTTGATCAAGCCCCCCACTTCTTCTCCTGCATCCCGGTCGGGGGCTGCGTCTCGACCTTGCCCTTGGCAACGGAGCTCCAGTCCGTGGATAGCGCGGTGCCGTTGCTCTCGGTGTAGCTCTTCATCATGGCACGCTGCTGCTCTGGTGTGGAGTTCTGGTACAGCTTCTTGAAGAAGGAGTCCACATCCGCATTATTCTCCTCCTCGTCGTCATCGGCAATGTTGTCCCAGTCCTTCGGACCGGACTTGGACGACGTGGGGTAGGCAGGCGCTTTGCTGGCGGCTTTGGAGCTCGTCGTTGCAGTTGAGGTCGCGACGGACGGCTCGGTGTGGGCCGCTTCTTTAGATTCAGGGTCGGACACTGGGATGGTACTGGTACACGGCTCTTCAAGAACCGCGACGGGCGGCTCTTTAGTTGTCGAGCTGGGCTCTGGAATGGCCAACCATTTGTAAAATCCTGGATCATGAAGCTCAACCAAGGACTCGGGCAAGGAACTGCTTTGGGTACCGAAGTCGGGCCACTTGCCGGGCACCTCTTTGACGAGCGTGAGTTCCAGCTTCATAGACGCAACACGGTAAGCGGATTTCGAGACGGAGATGCGGTCGTGGCATTCGATGAACAGGATGGGAGGTTCTCGCGGGACGCCCTTGGCGACCACCTGAGAATGGTCAGTAAACGAGATAGTATACAAAGGGATAAGCAAGCTGTTGGACACTCACGAATTTCCCACCCCGTGCGAAGCGCACTTCCACCTTGTCCATGTCTTCCTTGCTAGCAAACTTCATGAACACCGACACTGTCATCGTGGTGTCACTCTGGTAGAACTGGGTGCGGAAAGTAGAGTAATCGGGGGTTGGCGCCGGCACCGGCGCTGACGCTGGCGTTGACGTGGCCTTGGCCACACTGCTCTGGGCTGATTGGATTTCAGTGCCCAATTTACTTGGCTTCGTCGGAGTCAACTGGATCGTGATCTTCCGCGCAGGGTCGTCCTCAGGCAGTGTCTCGAGGAAGCGCAGCACCTGAGTGCGCCATATCTGTGCCTTGTTCCAGTCCTTGGAGTACGGCGTCTTGTCCGAGCCACCGCCGCCCATCAGCGCCGAAAGCTTCGCCATCTGGTCACCGCCCTCGGAGGAGTTCTTGCCGCCTTCCTCGGCAGCGGCCTGTGCGACGGTCGCAAAGTAGTATCCCTTGTCGTTGACACCCTCCTGTTGCACGGACTTGGCCTCCCTCACGGCCACGCCCTTAGCCAGGCGCTGAGACCATACTGCGCAGATATCGGCGTTGGCGTACTCCTTCTTGCGGTAAAAGCAGACAGACCGGCGGTACTGGGCCTCGATCATCTGCTTGCGGCTCTTGTCGTTGCCCCGCTCGGCGGCGGTGCAGTAGGCGTACTCGGCGTCGGCGATGGCCTTGTCGAGCTGGCCAGTCTCCATAAAGGCTTGCGAGCGGCCGAGGAGCCAGGCCGGGGACTTTGATTGATTGATTGCTTTGGTCAGGTTGTCTATGGCTTCGGGCCACTTGCGCTGCTCAATGGCTTTGAAGCCCGCCTCTCTGAACTTTCGGCAGACATAATGGCTCTGTGGTGGTGGGTCGATGCAAACGCTGCTATTAATGGGGTTGATTAAGAAAGGCGAGGTGGATTGTTGGCTTGCTTTGTGAGGGTAATAAGAAGTGACAAAAGATAGAAAAGGGCCGTTTGTGAAAGAAAGCCTGAGACTAAAGGAGGAGAGTGTTGGTTTGTTGGTCCTCAGGCTGATGGTTGCGGTTGCCTTCGCTGTCAGGGATCAGGACTGCGGGGGGTAGCTTCCACATTCTGCCTGTCCATAGGAGCTGGCCCAGTCCACCGCCTGCTCTGTTCAGATCAGACACTCACCGCCTACCTAGCTAGGCTCCTGCTCAAGTTGAGGTGGAAACCTCTAGAAGTCGAGACCTTGCAAAGACAATGAAAAGCTCAGAGATTTCCTCAAATGAAACAAAACAAGTGGATTAACACTGGTAGACATACTGTGTATTACCATTATTATTACGTTGCCATTCATGGCCTCGTTCTAGATCTACACCTCTACAGCTTGACGTCTGGGTACCGCTGGGCAAACATACCCAGGGCCTTGATCGTGAACGTGAACTTGTAGTTGGGATACCCAATGCAACAGCTCTTGTTGAACACGCCCTCGACTGCCTCTTGCTTCCACTCACCGTCAGGTTGCTGCCGCCCCGCAATGAACGCCACGCCCCTCCTGAGAGGTTCCACGTCTGGGTACTTGGCCAGCATCAGCCCGATCAACGCCCACGCTGTCATGACCACCTGGCTGCCGCTCGGATGCTCGACATAACGCATTTCTTCGCATGACTGGTAGATGTGTTAGTGGGATCAGAGATGTGTTGATAACCGACTCGAAGGGGTACACCAAAACAAGGACTTACCTGATAATGCTCACTCCAGCCACCGTCCTCACGCTGCTTCGAAATCAAGAACTCGCATCCCCTCCTGGAAGACTCGCTGTTCTCATACGTCTCCCCAATAGTCGCCAGACTCTCCAGCCCAAACATGGTCGCGTACGTGAAGCAGATGGCCCAGCTGCCATACCACCCGCCATGGTCATACTGCGCCGTCTTGATCCAGCGCACCGCCCGCTCGATGAACGTGGCCACCTCCTTCGCCCGGTAGTCCGGCCAGTGCTTCTGGAACAGGGACAACGTCGTGACCGCCGCCGTCGTGCACTCCGGGTACAGGTACTCGACCATGATGTTGCCGAAGATCTCGGCCGCGTTAAGCATCTCCATCCACTGCCCACCACGCGGCCGCTCGTATGACGCGCACCCGCCCGTCTTGGGGTCCTGGTAGGTGAGCAGCGTGTCCACCGCGTCGAAGATCCGCCGGTCGTCCAGTCGCTGTGGGTATCCCGGCGCCTCCTTCTGCAGGAGAATCACGCTCTTGAGCGCCTCCGACACGCAATCGCTGACTGCATAACCTTGCACCTTGGTGCTGAAGGCCCACGCACCCTTGCGAGGGTGCCTGTAGCACTTGTCCATGTCCTTGACCTCCTCTCGGATCTGCTGGTTGTCAAGGAACTCTAGGGCCTTGTTGAGCATGGGCCGCCACCTCGGATCGTCGGCCAGGCCCGCGCTTACCACGGCCTGGATCGCGAATGCCGTGTCCCATGACTGCACGCCGTTTGTACCGCAGACCATCATGCCGTCCGAGTTGACAAAAATGCCGTCCTCCATGCGCTCGCGTAGACGCCGCACGTTGTATGAGTCGGGACCGTCGCGGATGTAGCAGCACACAAGAGACATGGGTTGGTTGACAGGTGCCAGGCAGGCAAAGTCCGTGTTGGCCATCTCCATGTCCACCAAGTTACCCACCCATCCTTCCGCCTTGTTCTTGAGGGCGTTGGGACGCAGATATGAGTTCCAGATATTCACCAGGAACCAGTTGGCCGTGTTCAAGAGCCAGCTTTTGGGGAGGTAGTTGTCCTTGGGACAGATCGTGTTCCGGTTCCCATTCCAGTCGATACTCTCCCACGGCTCCACAAAGACCTCGTTCCGTAGCGAGCGGATCAGGTCGTCCTCCTCGCAAGACCACTTCTTCGACGAGATGTAGGACATGGATAGGAACACCTGCCGTATGTGCACCCACCAGCGCCATGGCGCGATGGGGACCCAGTCCGGCAGCAACCACAGCTCGGGCGGCGCAGGGTTCACGATCTCGTACTTGCATACCCCCAGCACGGCCATCCAGAACTTGGCCCAGTGCGGTGCATGCGTTGCGCCTCCCAGCTTGTGAAGTGTCGCCCTTGCCTTGGTCATGACAGGGTGGTCCGGTTCGACACCCATGATCCTCAGGGCAATGTAATTGAGAGATGTCCCCAACACAGTCGACTCGCCCTCAATGTGCAGGCCCCAGCCCCCGTCCTCGGGGTGGGCACGGGCGAAGAGATAGTTCTTCATCTCCTTCTTGTAGATCTCCGGTATGTGCTGCTTCGTGGCGTACCATGTGATGGCATAACCCGGGAGAAGGAAAGTGGGCCCGCCGTATTCGCATCCCCAGTGGCCGCTCGGGAGCTGTAGGTGCTCGAAGTAAGTGAGGCCGTTACGGACCGCGTCGATAGGGGCCTTGGGTGGCTCTAGGGAGGGGAGGTCCTGCAGAAGAGGTCAGGTATGTCAGCGTGTTATAGGTAGATGCTGGGGAAGGCAGGCAGACGCACGAGGGGAAGACCGAGGTACCACTTATCCGCGTAGCTCTGTGGCCACTTCTTAACAGCCTCCTCGTCGTCGAGGTAGTGCCAGGTGTGTCGCCCGTCGTCCGATTTCATGCGCCATCTCGTTCTGTCGACTGGCTCTGCGACCTTCTGTCGCTTGGAGTCGTGCCCGTCTTCTTGGCCATTGACGCCATTGGCATTGCTGTGGCGCTTCTTGCTGTTGCCATTACTCTTGCTATATGCGTTCTCATGGCCATTCCCATCCACGTGGCCGTTAAGCAGGGGAAACTCGACCGATGGCGTCTTGCGTGCGCTGCTTCGAGTTGTCACCATTGTCGATGTAACTGTGTGCAACACGGAGAAGGAACCACGACTTTTATCGGCGATTGAACAAGGCAAAAAATAGGCTCTATGTTGCCGAGACTTTTTGAGCTGCCAGGGCAGTGGCCTTTCAAGATAGAGTTTGTTTGATCAGATGGCCAGCTACTGAAGAGGAGGGCGGTTCTCGGATGTTATGGGATCTCATGTGGTTAGGATTGGCCAATGACGCTGCCAGTGGTGTGACAGGGGTATCGTCCCCACCCCACTGCTCTGAAGAGCCTGGGCGGGAGCTCCCATTCAGGGGTCCATTAGCGCTGTGGCACCCTGAACCGTCTCAAGGCGTGCCTGCTGGCTGTAGCTATGTGCCACTTGATCAACATCTAAGCACAGGGTGACAAGTGAATGTATTCCTCATGTCGTACCAAATACTTAGTGTTCCTAGCAAGCAAACATCTGGCCACAAAGCTATAGCAAACATATCCGCACTCGGCGTTGCGACCTGGTTGGTTGTCTGTGTACACGCATGAGCTCAAGCCATCCCAATCTTCTCGTCCAGCCAATCGGAGAGGTCGCCCATATTGTCGATTGCCTGAATCTCGGCTTTGACGTTGAGCATCAGCATCACCTGTATCTCCCGCAGCTGTTCCGTCTCTTCGTGATCGAGTTCGTTGCCCCTTGCTGTCATGGCCCCGAAGATCCTTTGGGCTGTCTTGCGGTCGTTCGTCGTCAGCGGCATCAATGAGTCGGCTGCGTTTCGTGGACCTCGAACCCTGTGCTGTCGGACTGGCTGCGATCCTGCAGTACTAGTCCATCAGTATGAAGCCGTCACGCACGTTGGGTCGTTCTTTGCTTGCCTGAGGGCGCAGATCCTTGTGAACCGTGGCTGAGTAGGCCGAATGACGACTGACTTGACTGGCTTGCTTGGCCAAGGGAGCTCTGTGATCCAATTTCCTCAACGGCCGGCGGAATGGCTCGCAGGATATCATCTATTTTGACGCCGAGCCACTGCATGCCCGGCACTCGAGCGTTTTCCTCGTGGCTCAGTCTTTGGCTGCCGTACTTGTATGTTCGCATGATCTCGATGCCGTGCGGGTCGCAGTCGAAGACGCCCAAGATGGGCATGAGCGGTCGTGCCGAATGGATCAAGTTTAGAAACTCGAGTGTGGCTAGATCTGCATAGCCTTTGCCCTGGAAATTCATGAGTACCCGAGCTTGGTGGCATCCGTGGGGTTGCTTACTGTGATCATAGTGCCTTGACCATGGATGCAGTGTCTCCAGTACTGGGAGGCCGCCAGAGTGCGAAAGGTTGCCTGGCTCAGAATCAGTCAATCCCGCCCGCACTTCTGTGGCAGCAAATCAAGCAAGTACCTCTTTCTCAATGACAAGAATCCATCTCGTCTCTCCAAAGTCGATCTTTCTGATCGTGCTGATAGAAGGGACGGTCTCGCCGGGATCTTGGTCAAATGAACAGGCGACGACTGTGTCGTCCTTCGTGGTCAATCTCAATGGCCCTGCGATGAGACCCTTGGATGCGGCAACCTGAATTGTCAGCGCCAAATCACCATCGGTTCAAGAAAAGGATGCGCACAATATGCAGGGCGTTGCGGCCAACTCCAAGCGTAAACGCAAGGTCGTCGACCAGTTCATCAACGTTGCTCTGGCTCTTGAAGAGGTCTGGATCCTGGTAATAAATGTTCCTGGCCTTTTGTCAGGTTGATGTTGCTATTTGAATCCAGTCCACGCACCTTTTACTGATAAGACGGCCAGACACCAGTGCCTCGCGGGCCAGCTCCATGATCCGCATCATCCTGGCTGGAAAGGCGAAATTGTCAGGGTGTTTGCACCTAATCCGAGGCACAAGATGGACTGACTGAACTTGATGGCTTCCTGCACTGTGCTTCCAGGGAACCTCAGCACTCCTTCCCTCTGAGATGTTCGTCTGCGGTACGGGATGACGAGTGCATCGCCGCCTTCAGCGAGAACATCAACCATGGTCGCAAAGATTTCCTCGATCTTGGAGATGACAAGATCTGTCTGGGTACGATCTGGGTTGTCGTCATGGATGGTGATCACCCTGGAAGACTGCGAAAATTGCGAGGCGTCAAATTCGTCATGGCCGATCCCGTCAAAGAAGAGAGGAGACGTGGGAGGCCCGCTGGGCGTAGACGGGAAGGTGTCAACCTCCAGGGACAGGTCGTAAGACATGGCAGAATTTGGAGGACAGATTCAATGGAAAATTTATCGGCACATGATAGGTAGGATCTCGAGTGTCTTCTTGTCGTCAAACGGTTCTTCTCTGGTAGATCGGTTCAATGATGTTGGTCTCCATGGCTCCATGGCTCGCTGTGGCTGTCTGCTGCGAGCACTTGAGCAAGGTGCATTCCTTTCTTCTGCTTGGGCAGATTCGCACCTTCTCTTTCCTGACAACCTTGGAAGCTTGTGCCGTTTCCTCCAGGGACTTTACTTTGTCAGGGAAGCTGCTTTGGCAAGCTGTGTGCGACTTGCAAACCGTTCCTGCCTGACAGGGCAGTCGTTTGTTGACCTTCGTCCCGTTTAGGAAACAGCAGCAGCCCGAGCTGAAGCTTACGCTGCGCACCCCGAGGCGTGTGCCTGGAGATTACCCCATATGACGTTTTTTCCACCTTACCCTCTCCTTTGAACCACCCGCAGCTCTTGTGACGGCCATCAAACGAGACAGTCACCAAAACAGAATTTGAGCTACTGGAATATCCGCAGGGACTGGCTGACTGTCATTGATCTCTCCCCTCTCCATCTTCCTCAATTCCACACACCCAGAGCTTTCACCAAACAGCCACTCCTCCCAACAACCACCCAATTTCTGTGTGTATTACAGCAAACGATCCCCACATCCACACAAAATGTCGTCCAACATCCCCACCTCCACCTCTGTTCTCGAGAGCGTCGTCATCAAGGCGCCCCTCTCCCACGTCTGGCACTTCATCAAGCTGCAGGACTTCTCCAAGTTCTGGACTGCCCTGTCCAAGTCCGAGTTCGTCAAGGGCGCCAACGAGGAGGCCGACCTCGTCAAGTGGACCTTCAAGGATGGAAGCGTCTATGAGGTCAAGCAGGAGGAGCACTCTGTACGTCGTCGATCCATGCCTCAAGCCGGCTAGCCCACCTGTGGGGTCAACTCGCTCGAGGCAACAACACACCCATTCCCCAGCCTTTCACAGAGAGCCATGCTGGAATTCAGCCGCTAACTGCATGCAGTCCATCAACCACACCATCACCTACAGCATCATCACCTCCAGCCCTGAGCTCACCTACTCCAGCGTCCTGAGCACGATCCGCCTGCACGCTGTCACTGCCGGTGCCCACGGTGGAAGCACCTACGTCGAGTGGAGCGCTCATTTCTCGAGCGACGCCACTGCTGGTCAGTTTCATCCTGCCTCTTGTCTCTTACCTGTTGTGATGCTAATCCGAGGCTGCAGAGGTCATCTCTGATGCTAAGTACAAGCGCATCGAGGCGCTGCGCGACCTCGAGCAGGCTGCCATCAAGGCTTAACTTCCTGGACTAGAGAGCAGCTGGATGAGGAGGGCATGTTGGTATGGTGGGAAGTGATCAGTAATTTGATATTGGTACTAGGACTGATGCGTTTTCCATGCGGCAAACAGCTAAGAATGAGAAAATGAAATCCACCATCGCGTTATGCCAAGCTCCAGTTCTTCATGAGGTGATATTTGCCACGGGAGGAATGGTGGCGGTGACTACCAGGTCAGATTCTCGTTGAAGCTGCTGGGGGCCCATCGTGTCTTGACCTTGGGCATCTGCACGTGTCACATTAATAGGTAGCCAACTGCGTCGCTTTGGCTGCTTTTCTTGGAGATATGCTAGTAATCCCCCTAGGCCTCTGTTGTTCCCAATTGATTCTGTGGCGGAGTGGTCACAGTGAATGCTCCTAAAACTGTCTGCTTGTCATACCTAGGTAGCTCTCCCTCAGTGAATTGACCCTGGAGGTTGAACTCGCTTTTCACTTGCCTGACCTAGCAAAAGTCAGCATCCAATGAACTGCAGAACGATTGGAATCCTGTGCCTCTTCATAGCAACCCCCCGTCTCCTTTCCACCAAGAACTCATTGACCTTGTACTTCAGGCACAACACAACAATATCGCCAACCTCTTGCCGTCGATTTTTGTGACCACAAAAAACTCCTACTGGTAAGGCCTGCTCAAGTGGTCTCTAAAATCGGCCACTCATCACTAGCGACTGCCCCTCTCCCGTCTTCGTCTTAGGCAAGGCAACCGCTCAAGCACCCTCCGTCTATAGATGTGACATCTCTCACAGATCGCTAATGGTCTATTCGCCAGCGGCAATCCTCCTTAAATCTATCAACCAAGCAACACTCAGCTCACCCTCCACACGTCGTCATGTCAGCAAACGACAACGGCGGACCAGAGGATTTCGTCTTCATCGACGATCCTATGCAAGCGGAATCTCTGGATGATGGCCTTAGTGGCAGCAACGCTTCTAACTCCCCTGTCGAGCCTGACTATGTGACGGTGGATAGCGACGATCAGATCATCTCTGCAAACCGTGACATCCTCGTGGAGCCAACGTCGGACAAGTACAAGCAGGCCATAGTGAAGATCGAGTACTTTGAGCCGATGCGCCTCAGCGCCTTCCCAGACGAGCTCACCGAAGCTGCCCTCATGACTCCCATCCCCTCGGAGTACCAAGCGCTTGAGGACGAGCTCCGCAGGCCGCCCAGCCCGACCAAACCCCACAGTGTCTTGGTCACGAATGCCAACCTTCTCCTCGAATGCTTTTTCCACTTCGAGGGCCTCTACCTCAAGATCGGCCGAGGCCCAGTCCTCTGCGTGGTCGGAAAGGCCTGCGGACTCAGCTCCAAGCGAGCCAGAACCCTCCAGCAGCACGTGGGCTGCACCTTCGACGCCCTGCGTGAGGGCCGAATGGCGTTCTTGCGAAGGACCATCGGCACGTTCATCCCGAGGGCCGAGGATCACAACGTTCGAGAGCTGGCCAGATTGGTGGGGTACATCAACTTCAAATCAGAGGAGCAGCAAGAGGTCGAGGAGAGGTGGTACAAGGACCCGGCCTTCGAGAAAATGTGGTCCGAGTGGCAGGAAATCCTGGAGAACAAGGGCTTGAGGATCACTGAGGGCCAAAAGAAGACTGGTAAGAGCAACACCATGCATTGGAAAGGGCATTAGCTGACATTTCACAGCCTCCGACCAGAATTCTGGCAGCACCAGTGGCGAGCTCAACAGTCTTGTTTCAAAAGCTGTGCGGGCTGCTGACAGGCTTGACGATTATATGATGCACCTTGATGCCTGTGGAGGTCTACGTTCTGGTGGCCTGACCAAGGACGACAGGCTTCTGCTTCAACGAGCCCTCGGCAAGGCCACACGCTGGACTGGAAGGATCAAGGACTCGCATTGAAGCCACCTCCAGCCTCGAGCAAGACTTCAGTGAAGATTCCTTGAAAGGACCATGGAAGCGGATGTTGGCCAGGAGACAAATGGCAGCATGGATGGCCATGCCTAGATAAGTGTCAACGAAGAGGATGGCCCATCTCCTCATTAATTTGCGTCGCTCCTGACAGAAATCCAAATTGGCTACCTGGAAAACCGCCTTCCTGGAGAGCAAACTTGAGTAGCTGCCTCGTCTTCCCACACAATTGTGAACTTAGCAGCTCAATAGAGAGTTGACCACCCAACACATTTGCGGCCGCCTTTACGAACTTGGCATCACGATACTGGTGCGTATGTGCCACGACAAGGAATGAAACTTTTGCTCAAGTCCCGAATGATGAATTTGCGAAGGCATGATAAGCTGCTGCTACAGAGCATGGATCGTCAGTGTAACCGCATCGTTGTCCTCGTTAGCTTTGCGCATGAACAGGTGACTCTTGCATTTTGAGTTGAACTTGGGCGTCGTAGATGCCAAATCACGATGACTGATACCTGAACAGCTCCCAAGACAAGCAAAACGAGGCAAATGTACAGTACCCTGGCCAAAGATTGCAGACCATCTTCCATGGCAGTACCGAGCCCATTGCAAGGGGCATGTGCAGCACGATCGAGGGTGACCCTCAATTATAGCAGTCGCCCTTGGATATCCAGCGTTGATAATTTCACCTGTCAACTGTGAAAACAAGTCGAATAAAGGTCATGGAGAGTTCGAGAATAGTGAAAGTCAGATGCTGGGTTGGGCTTTTTGAAGTGAAGCTGCTGTCTGTAGTGAAGACTTGCTGTCCAGGTGAAAATGTACGCTGGAGGGAGGGGGGCAGGGACAAGCACAGGAACGACCTTGTGCAGGGCCTAGGTGTGGTGGACTTGGGTCCGTTGGTCGACGAGGCTGGCTAGTCCCAAGTGGCCTCGCCAATGCTTTCTGAAGCCGAGGTTGATGATGCTTAGCAACAATGTGAGGGAGGTCCTATTTCCACAGACTTTATACTATGACATGTCTTCTATGTTCTTGTATACTTATTTCCTGAACATACTTGTTGTTCAGGAACATTGTGAGACGAGGAGGACTTCATTATCCCCATTACAAAATGTTCTCTTGAGCTGGTCCTCAAAGTTCAATCTAAGTCAGACTACGCACCATAGCGCAGACACCTAGATAACAGATACACGATACAGATTGAGAGAAGGCACAATCTTCCTGAGTGAGTTTTAGAAGCAGGCAAGCCTGGTATTCTGCCAGAATGTGGCCCCCTCATTGGTTCCCCATGGCCCTCGTCGGTGACAATAGCACTCACAATGGCACCTACAATAGCATCCACCTCATTCACTCCCCCGGGTCTGTCTGATCTTTTTCCACCTTCAAATTTTGAGTTGTATAAATTCAAATTTGAACCACCACCCTCTCACCCTCCCTTCCTTCCTTCCTTCCCATCACAACCGACCTCAGTCAATCGTCCATTGCTCCTGCTGTCAATCAATTCATCCATCAGCAATCATGAGCAATCCGGCGCAGTCTCAGGCGCCCTCTCAGGTGCCCACCTCTTACCACCCACGACTTCCTGTAGGTCAGGGCCAGTATCCTTTCCCACACAACGTCTACTTCGCTTCTCCCCCAATCTCTTCCACAACTATGCCACAAAACCATCAACAACCAGTGCCACAGTCACCAGGCCACCACATGTTTAGCACGGCAATGGGCCCCCAGCATATGCCCCCAGCAAACAGGAACATGCCGTTGAACAACCAGAGGCCTGGCCAGGGCGGTCCTGGAGTCCCGGCCATCCACCACCGCATGCCCGGTCAGGGTGGACTTGGAGTCCCAGCGCCTCAGGCTGTGGCTTCCAACTGGAACTCACCAGCCGGTCTTCAAACACCTCATCATGTCGCCAACAATAATCCTTCCACCCAATATGTGTCGAACAATACCTCACCAGCAGGACCCCAGGCCCTTGGTCATATCGCCAACGGCAACCATCCCGCTCAATATGCGCCTAGAAATATTGCTTCGGCAGGTCCCCAGACGCCTCATCCTGTAGCCAACAGCAACTCTTCTACTCAGAATGTGCCAGCCAGTACCTCAGCAGGGACTTACCCAGGATTGTACCAGGCCAGCCCTGCAACGCAACCTATGCCTCGACCGGCCCAGTTGGCACCACAACCCGTGCCTCGTCACGGCAGCGTGCCACCCCGAGCTCCCAGGCCCGGCCAGGCCCCGGCCAGTAACGGGCAAGGCGTTGCCAGCAACTATGGACAGATAATCAACGGTCATCATCTGCCCCCGGGTTTCCGGCCCAACGGATACCAGACTGCAGGTCGGATTTCCCAGACGCCCCCTCCCAAGCCCGTCTTCAACGGCGGCCAATTCCCCCAGTTCATGCCCCCAGGAAACGGCACCCACCGGGGAACCCCTCCGGCTCAACCTGTGCCTCAGCCCATGACGCGGTACAATCTGCCGTCAAGCACACAAACGCCTCCTCAGTCCGTCCAGGGCAGAACTGCAACCCCACCTGTGGCATCCAGCAGCAACATTCCCCAGGGCGACAACATGCCTCCCAGAAACGGCGTTCCTCCTCCGGCGACCAGACAGCCCGCCGCCAACCCCAGTGCTAAGCGTGCTGCAGACCAGGCTGTTTCCCAGCAACCCACCAAGAAACAGAGGAAGCCTGCTAATCCAGCTCAGAGGCCTGCTACTCTAGCCCAGACGCCTGCTTCTCCAGCCCAACAGCCTCCAACAACCACCGATCCTGAGCCAGTCGTTTACGACAAAGTCGACCCCCTTCCCCCGACATGGGCCGATGAGCCCCCGCACCTCCCCGACTATGAGCTAGCCAAAATCGAGACCAGCGTCGTGGTTGAGCCAGGTAAGAGACCCTCAGGACAAGAGACTGTCGCCGCGAGCTCTAACGAAAGTCCACACAGACCGCACGAAGCCCTGGCCCGAGGGCAAGGAGGCCCTCGCGTGGGACCAAGCCATCGCCGAGATCGTCGAGCTCATCCAGAAGTACTGCCACAAGGGCTGCCTCCTGCGCCCCACGCCTCTCGCGCGCCTCCGGGAGCTGACCGACGCGATCGAGGAGTACGTCGCCCGGCCCGGCCGCCCCGGCCCCCTGCTGTTCAAGGAGGGCCAGGACCTGCTGAGCGTGCGGTACGTGCGCGTCATCGAGGACGGCATCTGGGACGGCCAGTTCGCGCGCATCCCCGAGCGCGACTACGACACGTACAAGGCGACGGTTGACGAGGACAGGGAGAGGGTCGTGAGGGAGGCCTGGGAGAAGAGGGCGAGGGAGTACGCCGGCCCGTCGCTGGCTGAGGCGCAGAAGGAGATCTTCAAGTATTGAATGTCCCTGGATGTGGCAACGTACCTGCCTCGGGGGAGTCTGGCCGCGATGAGGAGGAGGCTGCTAGGGTTACCTGTACGGCCCGGATTCCTGGATCATCATGGCTCGCGCAGAGTTGTGCGTTGGGTATTCTACAGGACTTCCTGGTATAGTACCTTTAGTCTCTGCCGAACTTGCGTAGTTTGGGGACTAGACAGCATGGACTCCCAATACAGTCATTGAAATCACTCGTTCGGGCACAACCGCGTATGACATGTCAGACTCCTGCTCTTCGTTTGTGATTTAATGTAACTCTGACTCTGTCGGTCATGCCTTCATCTATGCTTGCTCTCTCAAATACGGCAGATCACCCAGCCTCCCCTTCGACACATCCACAGTCAGATCCCACAGCCGCTCCTGCAGTTCCTCGCTCCTGGCCTGGCTGCTCGGCTCTGTGACCTTGCAGTCTGGCACAACACACGCGCCGTCGATCTGCTCCTCGCCAACCCGCCTGCTCATCGCATCAAACAGCGCCGACCAACACCCCTCGTCCACAGGGTCCTTCGAAAAAGGACGGACCACCGTAACACCAGCCTCGACCATAGTCCCACACGCCTCGACAGCCTGCTCAGGCTGGTCCGCCGACACGTCCCCGGGGTGCGTCGCCAGGACCCACGGCGCCTCCCAGGCTGCGAGGCCTAGCCTCCCCGCTAGCTCCCGGCGGCGCGGCGCCCGCGCGAGGAGCATCTGCGCCAGCCTGGACCGGCTCTACGGCACCGCCGGCCCGGCGTCGGTGTTGACCTCGGCGAGGGTACGCAACCCCCACACACCACCCTCCCGTCATGTCTCGGTGGCAGCTCCGACGACAGCAGGACGAGGCGGCGTTGAGGCGTGGGCGCGCAATACGGGCCAGGAGCGTCATGGCCAGGTGGAAGTTGCGCCCACGCCGTTCACCTGCATGTTGGCGCTCGAACACGTTGGCGCCTCGTCTCGCCGAAATTTGCCCACGCCCCAGTTCCGCGTCGAGGACCAGGGCGTCGCGATGGGGGGGGGGGGGGAGGTCGGCGGCGAGTTTCCTCGCGGCGCAGCCGGTGGCTGCTAGGTCCTCGAGGCCGACATGCACGGGGCCGATGCGCTGTTGGATGCCGCCGTATTTCTGGAGAGCCTCGGTGGCTTCCGCTAGGTGCTCTTCCTCGTTGCCTGGGAGGTAGATGTGCTCCGGCTTGTGCTGGAGGAGGGATGCGCAGATGCAAAGCTGGACGAAGCCTTTGAATTGCTCGGTTGCCCCTCGGGGAAACAGCGAACGAACTCGCAGACAGAAACTCAATCTGCCCTGGGGCGCGACTTGACAGCCCTCCCCCGTCTTCGTTCCTTAAGGACTCATATGAACTTGTTAAAACATCCGCCCTGCCGAACTCAGAATGTCTCTTCCCTGAAAGATCTCGTCAGCAACTCATTTCTACTATAAATGCATATTCACGTGGTCGTGTCATGGTTTATGGTTTATGATACATTGAGGCCCCTCTCAGCCAAGTACTCGGTAGTAGAGTCGGTACTCTCTGCCCACCACAATGTTTGATATTCACCGGACCCGGTCCAAGCTGGTCTACGTATGTCATCGCATCATGCTTACAGTTCAATTGTGCATGAATCGTGTTACTTGCATTGGTCATTCATTTGATAACATGCTGCCCCACGCCCGCCCCGTGCAAAACCGACATTCAGATGCTCTAATTAGGCCAAGGGTTCACGGGCACAGCCGTGATCGTCTGCACCGCATGCGCGTCCGCCCTCGGAACATCATCCGTCCTCAATGTGATGAGTGGCGCGCCTTTGCCCTTCGCCGGGAAGTGCAGGAACTGCTGCTGTCCCCCAAAGCTCAGGGTCACCTCGCACGTCGCCGCGTCAATGGTCGTGACCACAAAGTCCTGGCTGTTCTCCGCGCGCTCCGGATGTTCTTCAAAGTAACTCTCCATGACAAAGTACATCGCGAGGGTGCCGTTGTTAAGAGGGAAAGCGAACCCATAGCGGGGAGGGCCGTCGATCGTGCCGGGGGGCAAGTCGATGTGGACGACTTCGAGGACTGTGTCGTTGGTCAGGACGTAGGTATCGCGTGAGTCGTAGGGGAAGATACGGCCTCGGCGACCGCTGGTGGTGTACCTCGTTCGATAACTTTTGACAATATTTGTTGAGTGAGTCTCTTTTACACTGCGCGTCGATGGCAGCCACCGTAGAAGTAGGCCATGAAGCTGAGAGTACCTACGGTGCAAGCCAGTATGTTGAATTGTCCTCAATTGTGAGCTGCAATGAAAATACACTTGGACAGCTGAATGAACAATGCTATTAGTACACCAGCTTGAACAGACACCTTGGCGGTGAGTGAGCCATGGAACACCTACTCTCGCTTGATTAGACCATGGGCGCCTTCATTCGGTGAAGCTATCGTTGCCATAGGCAGTAGACACGCTGCGATAGTGCTAAGTATGGAGGCCTTCATGGTGGCTGTACGTGCGTCTGCCCTTTCTTGTGCTTTGGGGTGAAACTTCGGGTCGATATTGATGATGGAGGACGACGGCGGCTTATTGTTGTGGCCATCGCGCCAATTTATATGCGAACGAGCCCATTCTCTCCGCCGTGGACCCTTTAGCCTATTAGGCGTTTGGAGTGGTATTGGCTCAACAAACTTACGCGATGGATTCGTATATGCAAGTACTCCTTCTCCGCCAAGAGCATCTGCACATTGCATCGTTCAATTTCTCGAGGGCTTTGCTAATATCAGGCAAGGTGCCAAGTTCCAAGCATTGGAATAAGCTAACTATGCTTAAGCGAATCCCACGCCATTCCCCTTTCCATCGGCTTAGACACGAACTGTTGATATATGTCTCGGAATCTTGCCTTAAGTACTGCCTAAAATGCTGCAAAAGAAATTCTTAAGTCTCTGGGGAACGCGAATAGTTCCCTAGGGACGTTCTCAAAGGCAATTGGCTGTGGCCATCAACCTGTGCTGGACAACTAATGTTGCATGTGTAGGACTGTAGCAAATATCTTAACACTAAATTCTATTACCTTTGTGACTGATGACAACAAGTCGTTCGCTTTAGTTATATATGTTTGGTGACGACGTATAGGATCTCGCAATAGTGAATAACGTTGCACCATACAAATTCAGGTAGTGACTGTTATTAACGCACCAGGGGCTGCATGTACCGCCCGGTCTTACGGTCCGCTTTTGCCGGCGCGAACCTCCGATTACTTTTGGTATGTGTCAAGATGCAGGAACGCAGCTACCATGGCAAGCCGCTCGATTTGGGGGCGGTCCTGAATGAGTAGGATGTGGCGAAGTATGCTAAGAGTCCAGGGCATTCTGCTGATTTTCTTGAGACTCTAGTTGCCAAGTTAAGCGCGCCGGATATGACCTTTCCATGGAACAATTTTTCTACATGTATAAGTCACTATGATGTACCAGAACACGGGTCTGAGTCTCAGAAGATATGCAGCACACTCTTCAACGATTTTCTTGGGGCGAGAGGACGGTCCGTATCCTCTATAGCACTCGAGTCACAACTTGTTAAAGGTCTCTACGCCGGTGGGGGCACGCAGGGTGATCAGGAAGGTCCTGTTACCCTATCAAGCCTCAGACCGGGTAAAACGAAGCACGGTGACGAGATATGGGCTCTTAAAGGTTCGAAGTGGCCATTTGTCCTGAGACATCGGTATCGGGAAGATGATGATGCGACAATCACTGGCAACAAATTCAGTAACATCAGGTCCCGCTGGTGGTGGCCATGGAATAGTGGCGTTACGGACCGCTCTCGACCTGCGGTATACGAGCTTCTAGGAGATTCTTATGTTCATGGACTTGTAAACGGTGAAATAATTGCTGATATAATTCAGAATCTAGAAGAGACTATTATTTCTTAAGCCCTAGAGCCCAAATGTATGAAGTCCTCGTCTGATAGCTATAAAGCTTTATCTTAGTAATATTTTTATATTTCGAAAAGATCTGACTCGATACAATCATGGCCACAAATCTTTACGATACTCGTTGCAAAGCACCTGGAGCATTCTACGGAAATCAATTTCTTTGATTTTATGCGAGGCCTCAATGGCCTCACTTGGGAGCGTGTTCCGGAGCTTCATCCGGAGCCGCTGAAACGAATCTCCCCTGCCCTCAATACCAAGTCCATAGAAGCAGAGGAGCCGTGTGAACCCGACATACCTACCGACTTGGATAACTCCAACATGCATGTGCAGTTGGCTTGGGCCGAGACATATGTAGTCGAGCATCGCTCCGGAGTCCCCTGATCAAGCCAGATCGGCAGAACGGATGACCAGTTGGCAATTCGCTCTTGACGCCGCTCACGGATCTCGTGGGAAGTCAGCTCTGGCAGGAAATTGTGTTCTATGTTAGGTATTCTTGTCATGCAGTGTGAACTTCTCTTCCGGGCATAACAGTACGGAGAATTCATGTGGGCCAAGCCGAGCTGGATAGGGAAGCGTAAATTGAGAATGAGATTCGGTAGTCGCAAGTGCATGTTTGCGGTACCAAAAGATACATCTGGGCATTGCAGAGATTTCCCGACTCACACACTCAGCTTCTCCTTGCTAAGGAGCAAGCAGCTTCGGTGGTGTCATCAGTGGCATACCACAGGATATGCACTAAGTCAATTATGCACTCTTACCAGTCCGCGGGCTTCATTGTGCTCAGGTCTACTTACTGCTGGAGGCTGGCTCAGGATTGGAAAACCGCATGAGGATCCAGGTATATAATCATGCACTGTCCAGTATGGCGTGCAGGTACGTTTATGGTATGAAACCGTCATTGTTGTATAGAATGACTTACAGATAAATACTATCTGAAATCTACATTTTCAACAGCGCCAGAAGTCATTCGCGGGCAGGAGACCGCGTTACGGCATGAATAAAGTCGGCAGCTTGGCGACCGGTCCGGCCCACCAGATCGTTCTTACGTTGAGGGTTCGGGCAAAGCCTGAAGCAACCCACTGTCTCTCCAGGGTCTCCCATTGGCTGCCAATGATGCCATTGCACCAAAGTTTGGTCTCTACGACACTGCAGCCTGTGTGCCCTTTACAAGACATAGACTCCCAAGTAAATGCTGCGTTTCTGTCAACGTCAATCATGACGGCTTCCCAAGACGTCGTTATCCGGTGCGCTTTTGATCACTGATGTTTTCCTCTCTCTTTCGACTTCTACCAACCACCTTTGCTGTCCGCCCACATGCATCTCTTATCTTGCCCGGCGGGATCGACCCTGGCAATCTTTTGACCAATTAATGGCGTTCCGCGTTTTCGTCCACTACCGGTCCCAGAGCTGCGGCGTTTGTCCTTATCACAACTCTCGGCGCTTGCCTAGGGGTTCATTTCTTCTTGCTTCCGTTCCAAGCTACGTTGCATTACTAACCGAAGTTCCAGGGTCCGGCTCCGGTTGGCAATGATGGCCGTTTTCCTCGAGCAGTGACAGTCCTGCGATTTGAAATCCACTCGCGTTGCCGGGGCTGGGTTGGTCAGCTCGCTGACGTTAACGACTCCAAGATACCAGCAGCGGAGCTGTGGCCCCTCCCTATCTCCAGAATATCAAAGAACCCGGCTCGCTCGTGTCCGTGCGGAAGAACTTGCCAATACTTACAAGTGCGGTGTGCTCAACTGCGCACAAATCGAGTGCTATGCTTCTTTACATAATGAGATCCCACGCCGTTTCACTTGTCCACGCTGATATGGAGTGGATATGACGTGGTTTTGTATGTTGAGATTGTGGCCCATGGTACATCGGCCAACAAATCAGTGTTCCGATTTCGAGTAACCAATTCTCTTGATTCGCTCGTCTCAATTCCTGCTGGCGATGTTGATGATACTCATAGCTTGAGGTAGTGTGCAGATAGCAGCCATAAGAGATGGGCAGCCTAGCAGCCGCCTGGTCTTCTCAAGAGTGTACACCTACACAATAATTCACATTCTCTCCTTACATCTCCAGCGCAGAGAGATGATGTTCTGCTGAATAAGTTTGTTGTCCAAGCAAATAGTCATAACGGCCGCTACTATTTTTTTGCCCTATCTTCCCATCTACACTGCTCCCACTCCACTGATAAGGTCCAGCATCCAATGACTCGAACCCTCTGGACTGGCCAAGTCTGCCCGAAGGCGTGTACACCGTCAGTCTGCATGCTGACCACATGGCAAGCTGCGAATTGCCCTTGATCCGCCTTTCTTATTCTGGCATGGCTGCCTATTCTGGTGAGAAAAAAGACTCAAAGGCGGGGAAAAGTCCTGATGGAGACCGGACTTCTCTACAGATGTTCCGGATCTCGCTGTTATGCCCCAACTGATATCCGACACCGCCAGCCGGATGCCACGCGAGTGCCGATGTTGTGAAGGCGGCCATTGATAAGATGGTTCATGGTATTGGTGTCGGTCGCGTTCTCCACCGGAATTGATATTGATTTGACCAAGTTCCGCATTACGGCCGGCGTCTTAATCGCGACCGGCTCACTGTAAAAGATGCCTCGATCATCTATAAGAATGCGTGGTCGCATGTCCGGCGAGGAAAGGAATATTCTCAGAAACTCGTGCCCATGCCAAGGTCCACTCTGCAGACTATAAGCGACCGTTTTCCTCCGCGATGTCTCGGTGGTTGCTTTCTTTAGTGGCCGGAAGCGCCCTCGTGGCGGCTTCAGGACTTCCCATGAAGCTCGAGCTACGAAGCCCAGTAACTTCGCGCGTGTCTAAATATTCACATTTCGCTGAAGGAGTCTATCGAAGAACCCATCACCTTCACATATGGATCATGCCAAGATTCCTCGGTGGACGCTTCTCATCACACCATCATCAAGTCGGAGGTGCGCGACTCTCAGCGACTCGTCTGGCTCCTCCCAGAGGATGCATTTTCCGATGGATGTGTTTCCGCGTGGAGCGTCTCTGGGGAGTTGAAGGGCCGAAGTGAGCCCCAGACGCTTCACCACAACTGGAAGCGTCGGGTGCAAGAGATGTTAGTTCCCTCGATGTGCCGTGATGCTGCTCCCCGCGTAAGCTTACATGTCGCAGCTATCCACATGGACAATGATACAGGCATCGATACGCTGGGCGCCTGGTTCGAGGGTGTCAACCTCCTGAAAAACAAGGAGCCCGTCGCCGTTGATGTTGACACTGCCAAGTCAAAGCACGTTGCCATTGTCGGCGCCGGCATGTCTGGTCTGATGAGCTTCCTCGTCCTTAGCCAAGCCGGTATGACAAACATCAGCATTATCGAAGCTGGTCAGCGTCTCGGAGGCCGCGTTCACACAGAGTACCTCAGTGGTGGTCCCTTCGACTATTCCTATCAGGAAATGGGCCCAATGCGCTTCCCTGAGCACTATGTCGACCCCGAAACCAACACAACCTACAACATCACAGACCACCAGCTCGTTTTCCAGCTTGCCGCCGAGATGAACGAGCTGAACGGCCACGACAAGAACCTTAGTGTCGATTTCATCCCCTGGATCCAGAGCAACCAGAACGGCCTTTCCTACAAGAACGGCTTCAAGCTTGCTAATGGCCTCCCTCCAACTCTGGCGCAGATTGCTGCCAATTCCTCTCTTGCTGCCGCTGCCACTGTCTACGATGACGCTACCAACAGCCTTGACGAGATGGTTGATGAGTATATGCCTGGCAGCGACTTCTCTGTTCGTATGGCGCAGAACATGTTCAAGGCCCACCGTGAGTTTCTTGACTCTGGTCTCCAAGGCCTCGGAGGAGATGTCTGGTCCGAGTACGCATTCATGGTGAACTACCTGAAGGGCTCACTCAACTCGACCGACGCACTCGGCAGCTACTCCACCACGTCTTTCTGGGAAAGTCTCTACTCGGGCATGTACTTCTCTGCAACATCATACAAGACTATTGACGGCGGTCTTTCCCGACTCCCGTTGGCCTTCCACCCTCTTGTCGACGACATTACCACGATGAACCGTAAGATCGAGCGCGTCCAATTTGACGCAGAGAACTCCAAGGTCAACCTACAATGGCGCGAGTCGTTCATGAACCAGACCTTTGAGACCGCCTCGTACGACTACGCCCTCCTCGCTGTGCCCTTCTCCATCATCCGCAAATGGCGCCTGCCTTCCTTGCCTCTGACCATCTCCAACGCCATCAAGGAGCTCCAGTACGGCAGCGCCTGCAAGGTGGCGCTCGAGTTCTCCGAGCGGTTCTGGGAGCACTACGAGAACCCCATCGTTGGCGGCTGCAGCACCACCTCCGACATTCCTGGCATCGGCTCCACGTGCTACCCCTCATACAATATCAAACGGCACCGGCCCCGCCACCATGTTGGCTTCGTACGCATCGGGAGACTGGGGCGTCCGTTGGGCCTCGGTCTCAGAGGAGGAGCACGTGCAGTACGTGCTAGACGCCATGATCGAGATCCACGGCGAGGACGCCCGAGAGCTGTATACGGGCAAATATAACCGCCGCTGCTGGGTCCTCGACCCGCTGGAGAGCGGTAGCTGGGCAGACCCCATCGCCGGCCAGCACCAGCTTTACATCCCCGAGTACTTCAAAACGTATGATAATGTAAGTGCTCACCTACCACTGCGACTCCATCAGGGGAAAAGGAATTCTGACGGTTGGGAAACAGATGATCTTCATTGGCGAGCACACTTCTTACACTCATGCTTGGATCGCCTCAGCTCTTGACTCGGGTATTCGTGGCGCTGTCCAGCTACTGCTTGAGCTTGGCCTGGTTGATGAAGCGAAGGCGGCTGTAAATAAGTGGATGGCGAGATGGATTGATATTTAAAAGAAATAACTAGATTCACACACCCTATACTAGAGGGATACGAACAGATTCTATTTACCCATCCAAGTCAAGTGATACCAGTAGGCTGTGAAGGCGTTTGTCTGATAATAGTGGACGATGTCACGCCCACTTCTGATTTTAGGGATCGAGATTCGGATCGAGCATACATAGGCGGCTCGCCTCCAAACTTGCGCCCACATTGGTCAGTAAAGATCGCTGGCAAGGAATCTAGGTTGAATACTTTCCGCAATTCTCGCTGTCCACTCCTATCTCTGCTGCTGTTTCTTTGACCCCCAAGACACGTTCTCATTCGGACTCGCTTCGCCGGCTACTTTCAGTATCGTAAATCTTGTCTCGAGACCTGCCACAAGTCATAAGGAGAGTTCCCCGACCTAGGCACGAGGTGATACAGCACAAATATCTCCCACAGGTGATGTTCTTGGTCGACCAGCCATTGTCTCATGGCACTGGTTCTTGCTTGGCTCACAGCCTCGCGCTGCACAGGGAGTCAGTCCAGTAGTGCAGCATTGGTAGTAGCATCCCTGTTAGTGACCGTGTCCGTACAGTCTGTAGACTGTACGCAAAACACTGTGCATGTTGAATTTTACGCAGCTAAAATTTCTGAACGACGCTCACTCACTCCTGCCCTGAGCGACGCCTTACATCCAACACACCCCTTCAGAGCAATATCCTCTCGTCATTCCCAACCAAGCGGGAACCTTCAGGACTTCTTCATCTCATCTCATACCGTACCCCACACACGCACCGCCACAGCTCCAAGTTTCCCAAACAGGCACCACGACTCCACAAAAATGGCACCCAAATTGAGCGAGGATGACATCGACGACCTCATCTATTTCGCACGGGCCGGCGAAGTCGCAGATCTCAACGAGTCACTAGCAACACTATCATCACGCGAGGGCGTGTCCCCAGCCGAGATCATAACAGCAGCCAAGGACGAGGGAAAGTCCACATGTCTCCACATGGCAACAGGCAACGGCAACATAGGTAGGCATACAGCACCTCGTCGCATCTACACATCCCACCCACACACTCCTCCTCCCTCACTCCTCCTCCTCTTGACATATACTACCCCGACTGACACATACCATCACAGAAATCGTCAAGATCATCCTCAGCCACTTCGCAGACCGGCCAAGGGAGGAGAAGCAAGGCCTGCTGGACGCCCAGAACGAGTTCGGCAACACGGGCCTGCACTGGGCCGCGCTGGGGGGCCACCTGGAGCTGGTGAAGCTGCTGGTCGCCGAGGGGGCGTCGCCCGCCGTCGCCAACGACAAGAACTACGTGCCGCTGGACTCGGCGAGCTTCGGCGAGAAGCACGACGTCGTGGACTTCTTCCTGGCGCAGATGGAGAAGCTCGAGACCAAGAACGCGGACGCGGGGCTCGACGAGGCTGCTGGGGGGCTCGAGGTGAGTGGGGGCGGTGGGGATGGGGAGGAGGAGGAGGAGTTTGTGATGAGGGCTGGGGTTACAGAGGACGGTAAGGGCGGCAGTGCTTCATGACGAACCCATCATGACGGATGAAGAAGCAGGAGATGAAGAGGGTTGCGGTGTAAAAGCGATTTTCTTTTTGTGGCGACAGGAAGTACGGCACAGAGGCCGAGGCGGCCGGACGAACTGGGAAAACATATCGAATACCCACGGTCCAATCCAACCCATCACGGATTCAGGAGTTCATGCGCATGATCGGAGTGGTTGGTCTATCGTCATTCATTAACAGTGGGCACTAAAAGCGCTACCTAGGTATGGTACACTGAACCACTTGTTCTGTGATATCCCCCCTGCAGCTGCTCGAACGAGGTTCTGGTCACCAGACAGGTGTAAAACGGGTGCTTGAGGGGAGAACTTTTTGGGGCTTCGCCATGGATACAGTTGAAAGAAAACATGAACGACTGACTTTGGCGGGGCTTTTCTCAAGGGCCATAATGTTCCGACCGACTCCGGTTTCCGTCCTTCCTTTGCTCTCTCTCTCCTTTTATGTGCCGATAACCTCGGTCAATGCGCAATCCTCGCCTGGACCGTGAACCACCAGAACAACCCTAAACGATGGGTGTGTTTCCAAGAGTCGCAAGAATGAGCAGAGCTGATGAAACTCGCAGTGCCCATAAATAAATTCATGTTGCCAGAGAGAGATGAAGCTTTTCCAATGTCAGCCCAGCCCCACAAGAGCTCACTTCCAGCGAGCAAAGTATTCCCGCGAGGGTGGCGAAATGGCAACAAGCGTCGGCCATCTCAACTCATCTCAGCATTCGAGGCCGATGACTCCCAGGCCCTAGTGCGTCAAATTTCTCCTCCAAACTTATGCATCGTCGCCGAATCAGACTAAGCAAAGGCTCGGAAATCTCAAAACCAGCGTTGTCACAGCAACTCATCCTCACAGTATGCTGGTGCTCTGTGTAATAGGGAAAATGCCACGAGGCAAAGCCGCGGGTGACTTGCTCAGAACGGATGAGCAGGGTCGTACTCGTCGCCCCGGCTGCGGGAGCCGTTTACCCGACGACGGCGAGACGAGTGGCCGTTGGTGGTAACATGACCGTTCAATGCGCCGCCCTGGCTGCTCTCCTGGCTTTCGTGGCTGTTCACCTGGTCGTTCTCTCGGCCGTTCTCCTGGCTCGTAGCACCGTTCGAAGTCGCGTCCTCGGTATCATCCTCCCCTCCTTGGGATTCGGTCGCTTGCGAATCGTCTTCAGGGCTAGCCTCGATTCGATTACGACGCCGCCAACCAGCATTAGGCTCGCTCAGTCGGGACCGTCCGCTGGCCGTGAGGTCATGGCGCCGGGAGACTCGGTGGGACGGGCGTGCGACGCGGCGCGGGGGCGAGTCCGCATCCTCGTCGCTCGAGTCCGCCATCATTCGTTCCCTGTTGCCCTGGTGCCGGTCGACGATATTCCCGTCGTTGTCGATTTCGTAGTCGGATGGGCCTCTTGGGGTCGGTGGGTTTGGCTCGAAGGGACTGAGGCTTCGCGACTCCTGATAATCTTGTCCGCGCGCTTCGGAACCGTCAGATGTACCACCCTGACCTGTGTCTGGAACCGCGTTAGTGATGCGGCCGTGAAGCTCGGTGCGTGGTCTGGGGGGCCACTCGTCGTCGTCGGAGGAGGAGTGCATCCCCGCGGTGAGGTGGCGGTCCGCCATCAGGAGGGAGTGCTGACCTCGAAGGACCTCGGTGTCTCTATTGCGGGCTACGGCAGCCAATCTGTCGTCACCCTCCTGCGTCGCTCCGCCGGTGTTCATCTGGAGAGCCAGGCTGTTTAGGACGGCATCGGCGCCCTCAACTCCAGGCTCCCCCGGAGACTCGCCTACCATATCACACGCAGGCTCATGTGCAGACTCGCCTACCATGACGCTATCCTGGGGTGACGAGGAACGGTATCCGTCGAGGCTCGCATCGGCGTCGTACTGGACATCGTCTTCATTGTTCGTCTCGTCTCTTTCTCCGTCATGCTCGACTGACTGCTGCACAGGATTGTTGACTGACTGGTTCCAGTGCTCAACCATCTGGACGGGGTCGATGCCTTCGGCGAGCTGCCTCTCCGCCCTGGTAGGGCTGCCACCAGCTATCCCCGAGGACGTCTCCTCAGCATTGGCCTGCGACTTGTCCGGCTGCGAACGGCGAACATTGTCCATGTCCGATCCGGGGGGAAGGCTGGGGGTGTCGCTGAGGTCGGTCAGGTCGCTCTGCTCCTGCTCGGGCGTGCTGGCGCGGTCCATCTCGGCCTGCCTCTCTCGCTCCTCCTTCTCGGTGTCGGGTCCCCAGAACTTCAGCACCAGCTCCTCGGGCAGGGCCGGCTTGTTGATAACGGGCTTGAGGAGAGGACGAAGCAGACCTGCACCGGGTCGGCGATGAGGACGATGTTGCCGCCCATCTCGCGGGTCCGCTCCTGCAGGTGCTTCAGCAGACCCGCTAGACGGCGCAGGCTGTTCTGGTACCCGCGCTCGTACGAGGGGTACCACTGCCGGGAGTTGACGAGCGCGACTTCCTTGACGAGCAGGTCCGGGTAGCTGACCTGGCAGTCGACGACGAAGGGCGAGCGGGAGAACCACAGCTGCGGAAGGAGCGCCCGCATCCTGGCCTTGGGGTCCTGCCACACGTACCTGACGGACGCGACACCGGCCCCGGCCGGCTTGGTCCCCAGCCCCTGCCTCTTGACCGTCGTCCTCCAGACCTGCGCGACGTCGCCCTCCTCCCGCGGCATGAATTGGGGCTGCACGTCGCGCAGCGGGTCGGCGCCCGCGCGCCTCGAGTCCTTGCGGTGCTCGTACACGAAGTCCACCTTGACGCGCACGGCGAGCACGACGCTACCAAAGCGGTACCGCACGAGGCGGTAGTGGCCCCCGCTGTACGGCAGCCTCGCGGCGCGCGTGCCGGCGTGCCCGAGCACGCCGGCGGCCCAGTCCGGGACGGAGACCTTCGGGTCGTGGCGGGTCTTCTTGGGCGGCGGCCCCGCCTGGCTGCTGCCTGGCTTGTGGCTGGCGTGGACGAAGAGGGTGTTGCGCACGCTGGTGAGCTCGAGGCGGAAGGACTCCTTGACGCGGCGCGCGGACGAGGTGCCCATTATGAAGGACAGGAGCTGCGTCAGGGTCTCGGCGTCGGTGACGACGTCGATGTCCTTGAAGCTGGTGGCGTTCTGGGCCGACTCTAGGGCGCGGAAGGTGGGCTCGTAGGGGTATCGGGGCTGGCGGTTGAGGTTATCATCGCGGATTGTCTGGGAGGTGGTAGATCGGATGTCGTCCTGGTCGAGGCTTGTGTCGATCTTGAGACCTCGCCATGTACGGGCGTTGCCTGCAAAAGTCCTTGTTAGTACTCCCGTCACAAGAAAAGTGTCATATGAGATACACGCTGACACTCGAGATGTCGATACTTGCCTGGCACATAAATTGCGGGAAACCTCTCGTAGCTCTCCTGCTGGCTTGGGGTCACTTCGATCCAAGTGTACTCCCCCAAGACTTCGATCTTCATCTTGGAATGGACCTCTCTGGTGCAGAATGGAATGCCAGAGAGGTGGAGGTCCTCGACGTGCTCAGCGGTCCCCTTGACCATCCACCCATACGCAATGGGCAGCGGCTGCGGCTCGAAGATGGGCATTCCTGTGGTAAAGCGTGACTTGTAGTGGATGGGTATGCTCAGAGACCGTTGTCTCTTTGGAGGTGGCCCCTTTTCACTGAGTGCATCCTCTGTCATCTCGTCGGATTTGCGAACAGGGTAAACAGGTGCATAGCTGACAGCGGAGATGATGGAGTCGCTGTCGAAGTCATCATGGTAGGCGATGCCGTTTCCGTCCTCGCCCTCCAAAGTCTCTCCATGCCCTTCCATCTCAGAGTTCAACTCGACTTGGCCGTGCTGCAAAACATCATCCTGGTCATACTTCAAATGGTTTGTCAGCCAAGGAAAAAAGTATTGCTATAGGCAGAAAACAAACCTGAGAACTGCTTCCAAGGTCATCGCTGTCAGGAATCCCGTCATTAGTCTGCTGCAAATTCGTGTTCGTCTGATCATCGTCGCTGTCACCCGTCTCGCGATCGCTCGAGACGGGGGACACAATCAATGGTGGACGGCCGCGACGAGCACGGCGATCACGAGGGCCACCCATGTATCTTGCCATTGCGAAGGCGACACCCAAAAGCTTTGTGCTTGCGAGTCTGAGACGTGGGGTGACGGTCTGGTACACGTCGCGATGCTTTGTTGACTTTTGAGCGTTTTCGCACAAGGACAATTGTGCAGAGTGCAGGCAGGGATCAGAAAGGATCGATGGTGGGGGGTGTGCATGAAAGGTGAAACTGAGAAGTTTGCCAGGCTGCAGTCACTGTGTGGTAGTTGTGAAAGAATCAAGTGATGTCTAATTGTGAAGGGCGAGATCAGTCCTAAAAGCAACATTTCTGTGGGAAGGCTGCAGACTGGAAATCGCCCTAGGCTGTGTACCCTCGAGGGTGTGGATAGCCTCGTGGTTGTGGGGCTATGGACTTTCCGGGTACTTCCCCTGATTTCTTTTTTCCCGGATCCTTGGGGACTGACTGAGATGTCTCTTTCTGCAGTTGGACGGGTTGATGGGGAGATTGCTGAGGCAGCACCCACCATTCTTCCTTCCTTTATGCACCACCCTGAATGTAATTGAGACTCTGCAATCAAACTTGGTCAGACATCTTCAAGTTCTCATCCAACATCAGATGAATTTGTGAGTTTTCTATCTGATTTTGTTCTCCAGTGCCACTGAAGTTACGACATGCACAGAAATACACATTCACAGAAATCCACATTCGTAGTGATACTGTCACACTTGAGCTGACAACATTGATTACAACTTAATTGCAAGGTCCATGAGGAAACACCAGAATTCATACAAATCAAGGAATCCTCAAAGCATGGGGCTGATTATCTTTTCCTTTGATTATCGGCCTGGTCAACTTCACTTGCTACATTGAATGTCACAGCAAGTGATGGTCATGTTGTTGGCAATGTGGGTTGGAGGCTTGAACCGCGAGTAGGAGTGAATTTGATACTGAGGGCCCTTGATACTGAGGGCCCTATGAACAGCCCGTATAACACAGCTCTCCAACTGAGGTTCCTGGAAACCGTCAGTGAGACATTTGAGCTAGTTATACGTGAGGCCTCAAATGCAACTTCCACAATGTTGAACGTTATGGTCGAAGACGCGGGTTCTGCTGTGGTATTCTGGCAAGAATCTTTGCTTCGAACGCTTTGCACCTACCTCCTCTTCCAGGAAGAGGCCTTAAAATATCAGCATTTCGTAGGTTTGCGTTGCTGCTCAGCTATGTGACCGGCATCAGAAGTTGCTTTGTGAGGCTCAGGGGCTGCCCTGCCTGAATCTCCAGGACCTGGTCAAGGACGTATTCCTTCTCTGCTCACTGTCCCTGTTGCCGCATGACATAGACATGACTTCTAGTCGCTGCGTGGGGAACTACAGCGTCTTACAGTGTCTCAGACAGTCCCCAGGCAGCTTTCCGCACGGAAACAACAATTCATACAAATCCGTACAAAGTCAAATGGTGTACTTAGTTTATGTGTACATAAGTGTTGGCAAAAGAAATAGAGATTACAACCAATCCAAGGTTTATTCAAGCTGTGGGTCGACTCCAGCATTCCTCAACCCAGTGTCTGACACACTTTGCAAAAAGTCCTGCCCACACATGCTGATCTGCCTCCCACGGTGATACCATAGATCTCTTGGTGATAGCCAGGGCTGGCTCGCTTAATGCTGGGCGACCCTCTACCTCAGACCTCCCGTACCGTCCCCGGAAGAAGTCTAGCAACTTCCTCGGGGGATTTCTGGTAATATCCGGGTCCGACTCCTCCAAACGCCGCAGCCACTCACGCTGCGGCACCAACTCGCACGAGATGCCGTACCGGGCAAGGACCTCCTTGACAGCCGGCGCGAAATCGCTGTTCCACCTCATCGGCACCGCGCTACTCACATTGAAATAAGTTACCGGTCCCGAGGGATCATCCCGCCCGTCTCCGTCATCACACAGCGCCGCGTCCGCAATTGCAGCCCCCACGACGTCGACGGGCAGCCAGAAGTGCTCGTCGTGGACTACGCCGTCGCTCGCCGCGGCCTCGATGAGGGGCAGCGCGCCGACCGTCAGCGCGCTCTGCGCGACGGCCGGGTACGCCTCGCTCGCCTTCCAGCGCCCGAGCCTCGTGTCGCCCACGACCTGGCCGAGGCGCGCCACGCGGGCGGACCCGAGGCCTTGGTCCCTCGCAGTCGCGGCGGCAAGTATCTGCTCCGCCACCCACTTGCTCTGGCCGTAGCCCATGGGGCCCACGCTCTCCCACGCGTACGGCGTCTCCAGGACCTCGGGGCCCGGCGCGTTGAGCACGGTGGAGACGCTCGAGACGAAGGTGAAGGTCGGCTTGGGCCGGAGGTTCGACCTCAGGGCGAGGCTGATGAGTTGGTGGGTCGGCCGGATCGCCTGGGCTTCGAAGCTCTGGAAGCCGAGGTTGAAGTTGACAGGCCATGCGTTGTGGATGATTGTCGTCACGGTGTTGAGGATCCGCGAGTAGTCGCTGGGGGAAAAGCAATTGCTTGGGTCAGATAAATCCCCTGGGCATGCCACGATTTTCTCGAGCTGCGTCGCAGAGAGGTGGGCCAGAAGTCCTGCCTCTCTCAGGGCTGTGTGCAGTCGTGCAAGGCCGTCCTGGCTGTTCTGCGCGCGGACGAGGCACAAGACGCTCTTTACATCGGGGCGCGACAGCAAGGAGAACAAGAGGTGGGCACCAACTTGGCCCGTGGCACCTGTGAGGAGCTACGGAAAAGCGTGTCAGCGGGCTTTAGTCGTTGCTCGCTTGCATGTAAGGTAAATGAGGGAGGCGGGTCGTCAAGTTCTACTTACCACGGTCTTCGCTTTGGTTGGAGAATTCATGACTTCTGCGCCAGGCTCAGTTGACGGGAAGTTGCTGTAGGTCTCTACCATCACCCGAGCCAGTTTTTCAGGATCGGTTGTCTCTGAGTGCACATTGTTACCAAGGTGCAATTGCATGACATGGTCACCAAGAAGTGCGACCGTTGGATAGTCAAAAACGACGTTCGTCGCTAGCGATACGCCGCGCAGATCAATTTCTCTTTGAATCCGGCTGCGAATATTGCTGGCTTGCAACGAGTCCACGCCGAGATTGAAAAGATCTGCGTCGATGGGTAAGTCGTCAAAGTTTTTTGTCTCATCAACAGCTCTTGGTTCCGACGTTGAGTTGTCATGTGCATGTTTTAATCGGAGCTCATCCTTCACGATCTCTGAAATCATGGCAAGCACCTCACCATGCGACATTGGCACCCCCGTGCTGGTGCTTTTGAGTTTTGAGGCCGACCTGTCTGCATACAGTCTCTCGATATCTCCGTTCATTTCTTTCAAGAACGCCGAGCGGATGACAGTGCCTTTATCCGTCGCCGGGAACGGTGTACCTGACTCCTTGACAATGATCATATCCCTTGCTATCCGGGCATATTCTGGGACTCGTGAATTCCCCAAGTCGATACTGGAGCTGATGGCCTTCAGGAACTCTTCATCAGGGAGAATGGCAGATGAATGAGACCTGATCACCACCAGACCGAGGGCCTCATGTCCGGCTCCGAAAGCAACGGCAGTGGCAACCTCTGGATTGACTTTTACAGCGTCCTCGACAGGGATTGGGTCGGCTTTCTCCCCATTGAGCATGACAATGATGTCGTCCTTCCGGGCGGCAAATTTCCAAAGGTCTGGTATGGTTGAGTGACGCTGGAACAAGTCCTTGGTACCGTACGAACCATCCGGTCGGTCCGAGAGAACTTTTTGTTTCAGTCCCGGTTTGATGACCAGGTGATATAGATCCTGCGACGCGCCGCTACTCTCAGGTTCAAACTGGAGATACGGCCTGGCATGCGGCAAAGGCGTGACCCAGCTCCACAGCCACTTGTCAGACGGCGGCTCCATCAGCGCGCCGCACTCGGTCTGTCCGTACAGATGGAAGATATTCCCGCCGGCTGTGACGACTTTGTCCCCCAGGTCGTCCGGTATTGCTGACCCGGCATTTATGACTTGTCTCAAGGCACCGAGTCTCTCCAGGCCGCCATCCGCCTCGACCAGGAACTTCAAGATGTACGGAACCGTAACCAGGGCCTCGGCACTCGTGTTATTTAGGCACTTGATCACGTTGGACGCGGTCACGGGCCGAGACGCGTTGAGGAGACTCAGACGGGTGCCACCAACGAGTCCGCGAAGCAAGGTGGCGAGGCCAAAGCTGTGAAAAAGTGGCAGCGTCGAAAGTGTGTCGACTCTTGGGATGCGCCTCACAATATCACTGGCCTGAGCGAGCCAAGCAGAGGCAGCGAGAGGCACAGGCTTGGGGAGCCCTGTCGTTCCGCCGCTGTGGATGATGAAACCAGGCGCCGTGTTGAAGCACAACGGCCTGAAGTCGGAGCTGTCGATGGTATCGCAATCCCGGTCCAAGAATTGAGCGTCGATCATGGGTAGAAGAGTGAAAGACTCTGGGAGCGAGCCATTCTTCCGCAGCCTTTCGAGAGTGGTGAAAGATGTACCACTGGCAACGGCGATGTCACATCTGGTCTCCTTGAGTAGGTGGATGTACCCAGGATCCGCTAGCCGTGGAGAAATGAAGACGGTAGTGATTCCCAGACGTTGCAGAGCAAGGAATGTCAGGTAATACTCGAAACTCGAGATGCCAACAATTGCCACCACCAATTTCCTTTGGTCTAGCCCATCACCGTGTTTCAGGCCCAGTTCACCAAGCGCTTGTGCAGCATGAACGGCTACTCGCCGGGTAAGGTGGTCCAGCTCAGCACCGGTGTAGTCGATAAGATCTGTCTCATTCTTTGGATAGGAGATGAGTGTTCGATCTGGGTGCGTCAGGGCCCTTGTTTCGAGGACATCGTTCAGAGTTGTGAACAATTCCAAGCCCTCGTGGGGAGGTGGCTCTACCTGGGGGGCACTGAGACTTCCCATGTCGTTTATGTGATGGCAGATACTTGAGATTATTCTCTAATCAAGACTGCGAATACTCCAGTAGACAGTTAAGCAGCCACACCTCTAGTTATCTAAGGTAATGGGGTGATATGAAGTGACGTTGCAGTATCTAAGACGACTTGCTGACGGCGGATCAAATTGGATCCATTCTTGGCTCGAAGGTCGAGTAATTCTCCCATGATTCGGAGATAACCATCTGCCCTTGATTACAAGCATGGGTTGTCGACATTCGAATCGCCCGCCACCTGCAACGCAGATGCCGCGATGCCGTCCCGATTTAGCTACAGACTTCTCCCAAAGTAACGCACTCGTAATATCAATCGGTGGTGGATCTTCCGGTGCGCGCGCTCTCCCTGTTTGAGCAGTTTCTCAAAGCATGCATGTGCACTCCACCACGGTATGCAGCCCCCTTGCGTGCGCACCGCTCCACAAGGATATGCATTCTTGCACGCGAGCTTCCTTGGATCGCAAAGCTGCAGTATCCATCCCTCAGGATATGAAAGTTGTATTCTGACCTGTGCTCGTAAAACACAGCATGTGCAGGAAAATAAGGCAAAGGCGTGCTGTTCACAGACTCCAGGGCAGCTTGTAACGAACGGCCCGCCACTCTCAGGACGGGGCTTCACGCGCAGCGCTGTAGAACCTACTACATATGCCCTCACGGAAATATAGCCTACATAGGTCCCAAGTTCCATATAATCCTGGTCGCGCTAGCAAGGAAGAAGCCCACTATCACCGCGAATAAGCTTCCCTGTGCACATCAGTGGAATCAGGGACCCATCAACAGATAGAGGGGACCCCAATTTTATCTCCTCGCAGACCGCTCTGGTGAAGTCTGGACCACACCTACCATGAATGCAGCGGGGACCATGATATAAGAGATCCACAATTAAAACTTAATGAACTTTCATAGAAAATCTGTATATATATCAAGCCCTTTAAAAATTGTACCACTCATGTTTTATCATTGGGAGTTCAAAATTTTAAGTACTAATTCTTCAATAAAAATCCACAATATTCCTTTTATCGCAAAGCTGTGTTGGAAAGAATAAAGAAATAAGGGAAGTTTTCCAAGCTGTCTTAGTCAGAGTGCTCAATGAATTGCCAGAACCACGGCCCTTGTATCGCTGAGGGGTCCTCCAATTTATACGTATTATAAAGTCCGAGGGATGGCTTGGCCCAGACTGTTGCACTCTGTTGCAGGCTATGCCCTTACCTGTGATCTTTCCATGACCTGAAATCTTCGTGCTCGCCCAAGATGGAGTTTTCATATACGTGTGAGCCCGTAGTCCGCTCTTCCGCCCGGAGGCGCCGTGTTCTCTTGCTGGGCAAGACACTGCATGACGGCGGAGAGTCTTTGCGCAACTCGGACAGCTTTGAGATACACGTGAGTCCCACACCCGCAGCATTGAGCGCTCCCGAAATACTGCGTTGCAGGGCACTGACACGGCTGAAGACTCTTGACGCTGAAGACCGAGGCCAACTTCTCGCGAAGATACCCAAATACATCGCCAGATATGGACCCTTCGAGGCCCTCGTGACCCGTCTCAGCCCCAAGCCATACGAGCCATTCGACGCAGAACTCCTGTCGCCTTTTCTGCCGGACTTGCGTATCGTCGTGTCAGCGCAATGCGGATACAATGACTTTGACATTGACTGGATGACAAAGCAGGGACTATGGTTCTGCAACTCCAGAACCGCCACATGTGAGGCCACGGCCGACATGGCCCTGTTCCTGGTCCTCGGCGTCCTGAGAAACACCTCTCTTGCCGAGCAGAACTTGCGGAACGGGCTCTGGCGCGCAGGCCTGGGGCTCGGACAGGACCCGTGCGGCATGACGCTCGGGATCGTGGGCATGGGCAAGACCGGCTCGCTGCTGGCTCGGAAGGCCAGCATGGCGTTTGGAATGCGGGTGGCATATTGGAACCGCAGCGGACGACCTGTTTCTGCCCCGCCCTGGTTCTTCCTACAGGCGATGCGACACCTTGGACGACCTTTTCAAGTGTTCCGACGTTGTGTCCTTGCATTGTCCTCTCACGGAGAGTACAAGAGGTCTCATGTCGCGCGACGAATTCAGCAAGATGAGAGATGGTTCATATTTCATCAACGCCTCGCGGGGCGCACTCGTCGATGACGAGGCCTTGGTGGAGAGTTTGGAGACGGGGAAAATCCGACGCGCAGGCCTTGATGTGTTTGACAACGAGCCTACTGGGATCCATCCATACTTCCGCTCACGACCAGACAAAGTCATCGTCCAGCCTCACATGGGCGGCTTGACCGAGGCTTCATTTGCCAAAGCAGCGGCGGAATGTTTTGGTAACCTTCGGAGTTATTTTGAGACTGGACGGCCGCGGGCTGCTCTCAACGAGGTCTCGTCTCTGGACTTGCGGACGGTGTCGGAGCGGAGGACATCAGGGGTGGTTGAGGACAGCGTCCCGTTGAAGCTGGGGACGGACATGGAGCCCAGGAAGGCCGACCGGTGTGAGAGACTCCGCATAGCAATCATGTAACTCCACTACGGGATAAGCTCATAATTGATTCCCCATTACATCTTTAAGCTCATATAGAAGTCAATGCTTATCTAGCTATAATATTATGATAAATAAATTCTTTTGAGTACTATGGAAAGTTTTATTATATTCTCAAGCTTCATTTTTATACTATTAACATTTTCATAACAAATAATTCATTATAAAAAACATTTATTTAATTTAAAATTTTATTCAATATCTAACTCAGTGCTTTTTGATGTAAAATGTAGTTGATCACAGTTACTGAGGTTTGTAATGACCCGGGCTTTATACAATCTTATTACGCATTTTTATCGTATATTTCAAAAACGGTGGCTCGCTGCCCGTGAATACCCGCACATGGCGTGATCATTCGCCAGCCCAGTTAAAATATTCTAATCTCCGATGTTCCTGATCCTGGATGGAACCGGGGTACAACAATGGCCCAAAACCGGGACGACATCAAGCTCTGGTAAATTGTGCCCACATTGTGTGAGTGGGGAAGGTCTCGCCAAAGGACCGCTGTACGGAGCTCGCGGAGGACCATGACACGGAACGAAAATACTGCTTTTCGGGGCGTCCAAAGCTTGATTTGCCCCTGTGCTTTTTCCATTGGCAGGTTTGGACCCACAGGGAACCACTCCGCCTGGCCTGGCAGCTGGTGTAGACTGATTTTGGGTGGAGCAGTCAATAAATAACAATGGAGATTCCTGAGGAGGTATAGAAACGTCATGAGAGACACTATAAGAAGCTGGAAGACTGTATGATGGTCTAGATTTCCTCAACGTGGCACTTCGCACCAAGGCTGTGATCATCTCGACTGGTCATCTGCACAAGTCTTGCAACTACATTTGGTCAAGATGAAGTGGTGCAGCCTCATCGGTGCGTGTTTGGGCTTTGCGGCCACCGCCCAAGCCGCTACGGCCTGGCAACAGCGCAATGAAACATTTGCGGTTGCGGACGCTCCTATTGGAGTCTTTTCCAATTTCACAAGCAAGGCAGATGCAGTGGCCGGTCTCGAGCTAGCGCTGAACTCGTCCAAGATCTCTCGCCAAGGAGATTTTCGCTACGGGCAGACCATTGCGAGAATTTGGACTGAGCAGCGCAAGATCTGGCCTGAGTTGATACTCTACCCGGAAAACACAGCCGACGTCAGTGTCATCATGCAATTCTACTCTGCGGCCCACACTTTCTGGGGTGATAATGGATTTGCAATCAGTACGTGTTTTCTGTCACAATCATTCTCAACCTTTGTCACTTCTGGTACTGGGATTGACTTTGGCATTTGCAGTGGGCGGCGGTCACGCAGACTTCGGAGGAGCACAGTCTCCCAGTGTCATAATCGACCTGTAAGTAGTCTCTCCTGCCGATCCAGTTAATGCGAAGAGGGCCGTGGTTGTTAATTCGAAATTTAAGCCACAAATTTGGTGAAACCGATTTTGTCAGCAGTGCCAACGTGAGCGCCACCGCCCCCAGCACTTCTTGGCCGATCTTGAAGGTGGGCGGCGGTAATGACGCCGGCGACGTCTACAGCATACTCGAGGGAACCGGCTGGGCCTTTTTGGGTCCCCGTGCTGCCTCCATCGGTGTCGGCGGTTTCCTGCTTGGTGGAGGTATCGCATTCCAGACCAACAAGTACGGTATCGCCAACGACAATCTAGTTGGTCTGGAAGTGGTTCTGCTCAACGGAGAAGTCATCTACGCCAACCCTTACAATGAGTACTCGGACCTCTTCTGGGCCTGCACTGGAGCCGGCTGGATGGGCGTTGGCGTCATCACCCACTTCTACATTCAAGCGTGAGTTTGCCCAATTTTTGCGATATCTATGTCTAGCGTTCCAGAATTGTTTCCAGATCATGAATACTGATGCAAGACAATCAAGTTACCCCGACCCTGGCGTTGTATACACTGTTACGATCGACTGGGCGGAGGATCAAGCTCCGCATGTCTTCGAGCAGACAACGAAATTTTTTGAGAACAACGAGGATCCTGACGCATTCCCGGCGCTGTTGTATTATTACAAAGATCCCGCGGAGCCAAACGCCGTTGTACCACTTCGCGAGCGTCAATTCGTCTTCCAACTCAACGCGGTGTACTTCGGAGGCAACGAGACCATACTCAAAAGCACATTTAGCTCGTTCTACGAAGGCGCCTCTTCCATCGGTATTCAAGAATGGACGCTAAAGAGCCTGGACCAGTATCTCCTCACCAACTATCCCTACGGCTACCAGCGCATTTTCTACGGCAAGAGCCACACCCACTCGACCGTTGACTTCTACAACCAGACATTTGCCATCTACAAGGACACCATCAACGGGCTGATTGCCCGTGGTGAAGATCCCGGCCACACCATCTGGGTGGACGAGTGTAAGTGAACCAATGCCCCTAACCTGCCAGCCTGTCTCGTGACCTGGAAAGCTGACTCGACGCGCATCAAGACCTCCTGCCCGGCCTCAACGGCAACCTGCCCGCCAGCGACAGCGACACGGCCTGGCCGCACTCGACGAGCGCGCACATCACCCTCACGTCGGCCGAGTGGACCAACCACACCAACCAGGCCTTCGTGTACGACCGCGAGGAGAACCACATGATGGCCTACCTGCGCGACTTCGAGAAGACCTCGGGCGAGCCCGCCATCTACGACTACCCCAACTACGTCGCGCCCTTCAGCGTCGCGGGCGAGGTCTGGGGCGAGGACAACTTTGGCCGCCTGCTGGAGATCAAGTCCAAGTATGACCCCCAGTGTCTGTTTAACCGGGGCCGTGTCTTTGCTACGACTGCCTGTGTGGATAAGGGGCTGGCGACGACGTGGGTTGACAAGTCCACTGGGGGCTTCGTTGAGTAATTATTCTCCATTGTATCAAGACATAATAGCCCTAAATTCATTGAAAAGCGAGTGGGTGATCTGGGGAGGGTTGTTTATTCCTCAGAGTTTATGTGAGCCTGCCTCACTGTCGGGCTCGCCCGATATAATGGCTGTAATGTCTCACCAGCAGAGCTTAGATACGTTTGCAATAATCGTCTTTGGTTTCTTTCTTACAAGCCATTGAATAGCTATGTAAATCTTAAGTTATATATTGCCTTTCAAACTTGTATCATACTGGTGTTACTGACTTCAGTAATTACTATAAATTGTGTATCATAATGTATCTCTTTGTTCAGGACACAAATTCCTTGTTTGATTAATGAGGATTTCTTATTTACTATCCTCTTGTATAAATATCTTCTCCCTCTGCCGAATCCTCGCACTCTGGACCCTCTTAGACATTGCGGAATTTTGCCCGGAGCCACTCCAGGACGCGAAGTCTGCTGCGTCTCGTCCCCAGCGTCCGTCCAGCGGTACCGCCACGAGATGTTGTGCCCTAGACGACTGTGCCAGTGGCATTGAGCTTCACCGGGCCGCGAAGCCGTGTGCAAAGTCCCATTTCGGAGGCGCGGAGTAGAATCTATAGATCTGGACCGGCTCGTGGTGCTGCCTAGCAAGGCCTCACTTGCAGCTGGATCGGCAGCAACACATCGAGACGACGCCGTCGGGGCAGTGCCACAATAGACCACGAACGGGGCCTTGGCAATTTCGCGTAGGTGTCACCACACTAGTTCATGATTCTCCCCAGGTCGACCATGCTAACAGCCAGGTAATGCCAATGCGGTGGCAGGGTGTTCCACTTGGGACACGACCCCTCGCTTTCAGCCGGCCAGATGATCTCGCCAAAGCCGCCTCAGACAGGTTGGCTGGGCTTGTGTAACAGACAAAATCCTCCCAGCCATATGCGGAGGCTGCAGCGTGGATCCGACTCTGGGATCTGGGCGAGTGACCTAAGTCCTTGGGCTGGTTCAGCATCAACCTGCAATAGTGCGCAACATGGATTTGTTAGGCATGCACGCGCCCAATGGCTATCCCGTCTTAAGCGGGATGGAGGGCGGCGGCCACTTAGTAGGATGAATCTCTTCAAAGCCTTCGACTGAGCTAGGTCGGTGGATCTTTTCATGGGGTGTAACACGTCGAGAAATTGAGGAGCCCAAGATTAATGCTATGAGGCTGGGATTCTGCCAATGCAATGGTCCATATACTCTCGTCATTGCAGTCGAAGGTGCCAGCCTTCACATTCGAGGCGTCAGGCCCGATCGTAGTCTCGCCACTTCGGGACGCTTGGAACGTTGGGATTGACGCTTTTGCCAGCAGCGCGGTCAGTCTCCGTTGCCGGTGCCACCATTGAGTAGTACTGCCTTTCAGGAATTCATGATAGTGGTTCAGATTGTAACACGACAGTGCTCTGTTTGTCAAGACGTGCTACTCGAGGTACGATCGTGGCTCAATTTATATTGTGATCGGGAGGCTCCTAAAATGACTCCTCCGACTTTCCAGCGACCCGTCGCTCAATTTTCTCAGATGTGACGGGCGCCGAGGAACATTGTCAAATCCATTTAGTCACTTTATCATATAAGGGCCAAACTATATTGCAGAGGTAGGGGCGTGTCCATTTTCCTCTGTAGTCAAATGCGCCCTCGGCGTCCAAAGTCTGACCATGAGCCCCGTGGGTAAGGGTAGTACGGCTGGATGGTCCGGAGTTTTGCCGAGAATCATTTGCGAAGTATGGCTGCCCCCCGCATCTTTTTGTTCCTGTTGTCCCTCTCCAACTCACCTCCCGCTACCACTTTCTACCACACAGTGCCAGGACAGTGTCAAAAACCAAATTCGCACTCACACCGACTTACACGCCTGTATAAAATGGACGATAATGGATTTTCCCACCACAGCAACCACAGAATTCTTTCTTCTTGTAGATTGCAACGTCCCAGAGGTCTCTATTCTCCGCGCTTCTCACAGTATGGAAACGCTCTGGTGGTTTTTCAAGTTAAACTTTCCTGTCCTTACAGCCCCCTTTGTTCGCGTAAACCTCATATCTGAATCGATCCGTCTCATCGGCACGACGGTGCTCAATACCTCGAATCTTCAACTTGACCATGGAGCCTAAATTTAAGCAGGAGATTCAGCAGGTTAGTAGGCACATAATTTCATTGGATTTCCGCCGTTGTCTTCCGCTCAACGACCACCTGGTTGGCTTATGGCGTTCCATCTCTTTTTTCCATGCAGTTTGTTTCTGCCCTCTTTGTTTCCAATCTTTGAAGCCTCCTTCTCAACGATGTCCGGCAGCGAAGCTGGATCGCTATGCACTGACGCTCCTCGAATTCCTCAGATGATGTACATCGCAGGAGAAACGCAAGACGTCTCCACGCCGACCATTAAGCTCATCGAGGATATCATCCGAGACCAAGTCGTCCACATAGTACCTCTCTGGAACTGGTCCTTACTCCCAATACGTTTTCTCTGACACGCAATTAGCTTGTGACGGCAAATGACCTCGCGGCCCGCCGCGGGTCTCGCGTCATGTCCAACAACGACATCATATTCCAAGTCCGGCACGACGTCGCGCGCACCGAGCGCATCCGCACCTTCCTCACCTGGAAATCAATCAGGAAGACCGTCAAAGACTCGGACGACAAAGAAGGCTTCGTCGACGAAGCCGACTTGGACGATGACGCCGTCGCTGGTCCGGCAGACGACGCACCAGCCAACAGGGCGACCAAGCTCCCCACTGTCACCTTTCCGTGGGACATATCATCTTTCTTCGCCGAACATGTCGCCCATATTACCCCCGATGATCTCGTGGATATCACCAGCAGCGTGACCGCGCTTGAGAAATTGCTCAAGAACGACGAGCGGACCCGGGACATGACTGTTGCCGAGTATGCCACCTGGTCCGAGTACCGTCATGCGTCCCTGACGTACCGCAAGGCGAAGCGTTTCAGGGACTGGTGTGGGCTGGGCGTCATTGCGGAGAACAGACCTAACGATGATGTGATGGATATTCTGGGCTTCCTGACCAGTGAGATGGTACAGAACCTCACGGCTGAGGCATTGGGGGTACAAGGGCAAGAGTTGGGCCGTGCTGGGCAGGGTGCCGTAACTGGTTCTGAAATGAGTCAGAAAGCGAAAGGGGGCTTGTTCGCTGAGCCCGAGGGAGTTAGGAAGGCTATCGACGAGAAACATATCCGCGTGGCATTCCACTGCTTACAAAATCGGCCAAAGGAGTGCAGGGCTTTCTTGACTGGTGCCAGACCTTCACTATCTCTTTCCTTACTATAAGTCACCTGCCTAATATGCCAGACGTGTCTGATTCAAATACAAAGATTCCATCAACTGCGAATGGCCGCCAGTATATCACCACCATGTTTTCCCGCCAAAACCCCCCCTAGCGAAATCATGAAACGGTACCTCTAAGGACGGCGTTTGAGTGTTGTTGGTTTTCATACCTCAACTATGTATGTGAACCAGCAATTTTTGTTGTGCATTTTACAACTATGGATTCAACAGACCAGACAGTTCTGTGAAGTCTGTTCATAGCCACATTAATATCTCCTATTAACTATTGGGTAAAGTCCGCTCTGCAACGCTTTGTTCCTCGTCTGGCTCTTCAACTGATCTAAGGAAGGCAAGTGACGACTTGAGTCCAATGCCGCGAATTCAAATACTACCTCCAGCACCTCAAATACTTGCTGCCACAATGCCCTGCCGTCTGGAATCCCAGCCCAAGATTCCAAGGGGTTGTGAAGCATCCACTCAATTCCCCGGAATTGCATATTCTCTGCCGGTAATTGGAATCCCGTGCGTAAGTAACTGATCCAGTCATCTGTAGGAGCATTTGCAAACACTGCCAAGTCAGGTGCTACCTGACCATTCAACATCTCAGTCAATGCTCCTGTCTGGCAGATGGAAACCTGTTGGCAAATGTGAATATCATTAAATCTTGAGAACGGACATTCGCACAGAAAGAAACGGATGGTACACAGATACATGCAACCTCTAGCGCACCAAATCACATGTACCAATTCCCACCACAACGCCGAATTCGCACGCCCAATTTGTACACAAAGTTCACACACACAGAGCCATTTGCACACCTAAGGCCGACTCATATACCCAGGGCTAATACGCATGCTATTGGTCGTGTGAATTAGGCTTGGATGTGCGAATCAGGCACGAGATGATCTGGTTGGCTGCAGCTTTGGCGCTGGGGAGGTATCTGTGTACCACTTGGTTTCTTCTGTGCGAATATCCGGTTCTCTATTAGAAACCATGTTATATTCGATCTTTCTCAACAGGGCGATCTAACTGGGCTCGAGACTGTCTGGGGAGCTTTTTGACACTGTGACCCGAACATCATCACTCGATCTTTTCTTTTCTTTGGCACAAGATAACTGTCACACTGTCATGGCTGAAGAATATAAGAGCCTGACCATGGGCTTGTTTCTGCTGTCTGCCTTCTCGAATATCAGTGACATGAGGCCAAGAAGTGTTTGAGTGGGCACAGTCATGTCATCATTTCTCACAAATACCTGACGAATGGAAATCCTGGCCTTTCTGACCGGTGTAGGTCACAGAAACATTAGTGCTTAGTGAGACTCATCTTACAACTTGCTGGGCCGCATCATGTGGTTTCCTCTCTGACGGCAACAACTACATCGATGGAGACAGAGAATGAAATCTTGAGCAGAAATTCGGCTTTCAACGGCTCCCAACGGCTTCCAGCGGCTTTCTGCTCGTCAATTATGTCCAAGAGTCAGGCGGCTGTACGTCCCATTCGTGCTCCCTTCTAAGCCAAGTCTGTGACCAAAGGAGCATCCACTAGGCTTGCGAGGCTCACATCTAACGCCGAAGGGCCGGAGCACCATGTAGCTGAGCTGATATACCTCCAACTACTCGCTGAGATGAATCAACTTTCGTCATGGTAAATCTAACTTCAAGACTTTCGAGTCACGCGTGAGGCAACCTGATATCGCGCGTCATTTGGCCTCCCTCCTCCGCTTCTTGGCTTTTTCATGTCATCATATTTTGATGACAAGGCCTGATCTGTGGCTCAGCCTCTGCTTTCTTCGATCTTATCATCGAAGAAGGCAGAGATCAGCCTTTCATGGACCTCCCAGCTTCTAAGATGCATGGCAAATGGACCTTTCGTCATTTAAAACACGCAGATATTCAGTGTCATTGCGTAAAGTCGATGATGAATACCATCTGCATAAGAACGAATCCGCGACACCTCAATGCATTGTTCAATCCGGCATTGCGTATGGTGTTAAGGCAGCTTTGAAGCAAAAGATCTCTCCACGCTCCAAGATCCGTCCCCGGTCAATTCTCTGCGAGTAGTAAACGCGGATCTTTATCGAATGGAGCCTGCCGTACCGTATTACGGGACCGAAGGACTTTGTCCAAGCTTCCCCTTACTTACGGTGTGACTCGGCACGTTGACTCGCAACCAATGCTATCTTGCTGGCTACCCTTGTGCTGGTCAAGTGGGTGGAACCAGCCCCGCCACACCGACGACTTAGAATCAGGTGCAAGAATGAGACACATCACCTGCAGAATGTCAAGGATTGGGATCAGAATGAGTAAGTTCCGCGGGAATTTTGCAAAAGCACACATAAGCTCTTTGGTGACGAGGATCTCTTCTCAAGTATTGCATTTCCTTTATTTTACGCTGCCCACGCCTGCTCGCATCCACTCAAACTTACCTCTAGGAAAGCTGTTCCGTTAGCCTCTTCAGGATGTCTATCAACAACCAGGTAAAGCGAGAAGTTTTCCACCTTCACCCAACCGGGTGGGAACTAGATCCCGAAGAGGAGAAGTTCAAGCTTTCAACTCTTGACTACCTTGTTTCTTGTGTCTACGTCAGCTATGCCATTTTCTTCAAGATTGACGACGATGAGGGAAAGCCCAAGGTGGTTGAATTGTTGAAACAAGGTCTTGAAAAGACTTTGAGCCAGACTCGGCACCTGTGCGGCAATATCGAGAAAGACCCCGACGGAGGCCACTCCTTCGTCAAGAAGCGCGACAGCACCGTCCAGTTCGTGACGAAATGGCTGGACCAGGCTGAGCACGAGGGCATTTACCCCCCTCGTTTGCAGATCTCGAGAAAGCCAAGTTTGTTTCGAAGGCGTTGGGTGATATCACAGATTTCAGTGTGTCTCCCATGACATACGGTGAGAAGTCTGCGGCCTTCCTGGGTACCCAACCCAAGGCGGCGGCTTTCCAGGCCACCTTTATTCGGGGCGGCCTTGTGTTTATGATGCATCATCATATGGGGAACGACGTGATGGGATGGGCAGGGGAGTTCCACCAACTTGCCGAAAATTGTGCCGCCATCTGGAACAAAACAGCGTTTCCTCCCTGGGATCGCGCATGTCTGGATGTTTCCCCCTTCACCAAGAAGGATTATCCCACGGATCAACAAGTGGAGGGGCCTGCACCACCGCAAAAGCACCCAGGCCACAAGAAGGCACAATGGCTTCTCTTCCATCTCCCCAAGAGCAAGGTGAGACCCCCCCCCAATCAGCACTTGACGTACTAATTTCTTATACTAATCACTCCTCATGGCGTCAAGGCTGCCGAACTGAAAAAGCTGGCATCTCCAGCCGACGGTTCATACTGGATCTCGACCTACGACGCCTTCAACGCCTTCGCCTGGAGAACGCTCTCACGCCTTCGCGCCAAAGTGTACAAGCCAGACCCGTCATCAACGCCCCTCTGGGGAGAGGCAGTCGACATGCGGAAGCGCTGCACCAACCCCCGAGTCCCAGCCCGCATCCAGCACAACGTCGTCGCCGTCGCGCTCTCCACCCAGGCCCCCGCGCCGCAGCTGACCGCCGCCGAGATCATCTCGGACGCGCCCCTGAGCAGGCTCGCCTGGTTCATCCGGCAGCTCACCAACAGCACGACGCAGGGGAGCCTGGACAGGACCCTCGACGCCGTCGCGCCCGTGCGCGACAAGTCGTCGCTCTTCCTGCGCTGCGACTCGTTCGAGCCCATGTACAGCTTCACGACCGACTGGCGGGACACGAACGTCGCCGGGGCGGACTTTGGGTTTGCCAAGCCGTATGCGTTCCGCTTTCCTATGAACTATGTCACGCCTGGGCTGCAGATTGTGTACCCGCCGCGGAGCGACGACCCTGGGTCTGATGAGGGGCCGGAGCTTTGTATTGGGTTCGAGAAGGAGTTGACCCAGGAGCTTCTTGAGGACCCTGAATGGTCCAAGTACTTTGAGTTCAGGGGTATTGATGCTGAAGAAGAGGATTAAGCGGAACTGATCAACCTCAATACTTCGGCCCTTTCACTACATTTCATTTGGTTCTTCAATAATGTAGTGACATGGAACTCAAGCAGGTCAAATACATGATGAGAGTACAAAGAAATGTTTCCAATACTCAATTAAGTGTATTGTGACGGGTCACTGCACATTAATCCATTTCACCAATGCCTTTCTCCTGAAAGTCTACTCCGCCTGCATCTCTTCTGTTTCTCCATCAACCAACTCTCTCAGTCTTTCCCGGACCACCATCAAGCTCTTGCCCAGCTGGTTTCTCCCCCATGAATTTTTACACAGGTGAGGTCCTTGCTTGATGTTGTATCGGACAAGTTACCACAGTATCTGTCCCTTCCAGCAGCCTCCACTAACTGCCGTTCTCCCGTTGCAAGCAACTTCCTTCCCAAGTCGTTGAGGGCCTTCGTCCTGTCCTCCCTCGTGCTGATTGTAGACCGTGCGGGACTCACTCCAGAGTCTTCCAGTACCATCTCAAGCTGTGCACCTCCAAACTCCCACCAGATTGCTTCTTCCATTACTCAATCCTTGAGGTTATGTTTCTCCCACACCTTGTCGCTGTAACCTCTGACGGAACGGCCGGCGGCCTTGCATTCCGTCGCGGTGTCTGCGCTCATTATCCTCCTCGCCGCGTCTTCGTCGCCGAAGTAAATTGCTTTACAGTACATCTAGTATTGTCCGGAAGGGTGGAATACCACAGTGTCTGGTCCTTCGTCTCCAGCGTGGGCCTTGTCACTGGCGACAGCACTTGGAACTGTTCCGGATTGCTTGAATAGCCACGTCGATGGATGAGGCGCTCTAAATGTGGTTTTGTAAAAGTTCGACATGAAGCCGTAGTCTTCATTTTCATTGTGGAAGAATGTTGGGCCGTACTCTTCGAGATCGGGATTTTGGTCGCCCTGTGCTGGTGACAATGCCGGTGCGGCCCTGTGTTTTTGCTTTCGATTCTGCTTCGGTACCATTCTACTAGGGAACAATGTTCGGAAACCGTTTGCAGGTTACTTGATTTTCAAGACGTGATCCTCGGTATCCTTTAGATGAAGATATGACTTTGTGGCGCACAAGCAGCGCGTTGCAGTTGTGGTTATCTGGCGCCGGTCTACGTCTAGAGCCTCACGGGGTGCATATGTTGACTCATTCGGTAAGTCAAAAGCGTCTGAGCCGGACACAAATCGTTCCTGCCCAAGTAAAATAGCGTATTTGAGTGGCGCCTCACGCACACGCCATGCTGTCCTGGCGCCGCGCATGAGCGCTTCACATGTAGATTCGCCGACGTGACACAGTATTCTCATTTCATTGCACCAGCCATTGCCATCGATCGAGCATTCCAGATTCGGCCTCGTTGGCTCTTTCTTTTTGGTGCGAAGTCATTAATTCATATCGGAAAGGGGAGGCAGAGAAGCCCCTACGTGGAAAATCAACAGCGATAAGACACCCTGTGACGTCGGATGTAGTAGCCTGTCGCGAGACATCAAAGGAGCTGCCTTCTCTTCTGAGCAGCACATCCTCGTCTGGTTGAAAGGACTGGAATGGAACGAAGAAACCGGGTATTCAAGTGTCTGACAATGATATTCTTATCCGAGAGAGACTACTCAGTCTCGTTTATATACGACAAGAAGCTGCTGACTGGCCATCCATTTGCCGCGTTATACTCTGCCAGATCCGTTGTCCCGTGGAGGACTTCATAACTAGTCATGCTTCCATTGAGATCACCTGCATTCCCTTGAATCGATGCGGCAACCCGCATGCCTACTTCACGACCTTCAAACCAAGCCCCGTGTAGGAATCCGAAGTATTGCGCTGAGTTGGCTTCGCCCGCAAACCAGAGATTCTCAACATTAGCCCTCAAATTTTGATGCCTCTCAAGCGTGGCACCAGTGGGCCAATTGCTATATGAACCAAATGACCATCTCAAACGCCCATCAGGTCAGCCTCAGGGTCATTCAGACGTTACCTACCAGGGGGAGGGGGGGTTTTCATTAACATCGCACTACTATATTAATGGCATAGCGACATAATAGTAACATACAATTAAGGTTTTAATATGCTTTTTTTATACATATATTGCATTATTTACATATTACTAATATATAATCGTTCTTAATATGCTATGACATTATATTAATTCTTTAATATAAGGGTAAAAAAAAACCTCTTTTTTTTCTTTATCCCTAACTTAATTATTTATTTATTCTTTATTAACTTAACTATTTATTATAAAAGAATCTATAGAATTATGAAAATATTTAAAAATAGAATAAATTTAAAGTTAATAAGATTTAAATTAAAGCTTTTAATATAAAATTATAATAACATTAGCTAACATATAATTAATATTAACATAAAGTTAATATTAACATAATTTAAAGCTTTAATATAATTTTATTTTAATAATATTTTAATAACCTTTTATTAGCATTTCACTAAAATTATGAAATTTCAATTAAATATCAAAACATAAGTGTATTACGTGACCCAGTCAGAAACCCCCCTCCCCCCTGGTAGGTAGCGACAGGGCAGACTCACTCCTCTTGGCTCCATCTTGGATACGTGAACGCAACGGGTTCTGGAATCTCTTTGTCGGGAAACATAGCCCGAAGCACTTCAAGAGCATCGGCCTTGGTCTCCTCATCAGACTGCTGTTCGACCTGGTATGATTGAGACCCCACTACTGTAGCAAATATTATGTTCGAGCCCGGCATAAATCCGGGCGTTGAAAGTGACTGCCAGACAGGGTAACGGCCGCGCTCGTCGGGATCCGCATAAAGGAAAAATTGCGTGTCAGGATCCCAGAACGTCTCGTTGAATTGAAAGAAAATCTTTGTGTAGGTTCCCATCTGGAATGACTCGATGGCTTCCGATTTCCAGGTCGGCAGAGGCGGGTCAAAGTTGACGATTTCGTTCTGCAAGACTCCGAGTGAAAATGTGCAGACTGCGTGCTCTGCTTCCATGCATTCGTCTCCGTCATCGAGTTGAACAGTGACGCCTTGTTCGGAGTATGCCACACTTGTGACGACTCTCTCGAGAAGCAGCCTCGTATCATCAGCAGTTAAGAATTCGTTGGCCTCGCCGATCACGAATTTGTTGAAACCTTGCTGGTCCGTGACGAGGTTGTTCTCATCGCTGAACTGGTTGAACGTGAGGTTGTTCCCGGCAACTTCAAAGACGAAGCTGCTCTGCTCTGGGGGTGCTGATGTCTCCCAGTCCCAGCTCCACCACTCCACCGCCTGGGCTCGCATATCCTTCTTCGGCTTCCAGCCCGCCATGCTCAAGCCGGTACGAGCACTGAGATCCTGAAGGTTCCCGCTGAGTGCAGCACCGGCATTAGCCTCCGCCACTGCGTAAGTTTCTTCCCATGTGTCAAGAACGGACGAGTAGTCGTTCGCCCCAGTCTCATCGTACGTCAGGATCGAGCTGTAGTTCGAGTATGTGTTCGAGAGGTTGTACTTCTTGCCGAATGTCCAGATCGGATTTTTAGGTCCGCCTGGTGACCCCAGTCCCTGGATCCAGTTGGCACCGAGCTCAACGATGTAAGGACCTGACCCGTCGGGCTTGGAGCCAAAAGTGGTGTGGGCAACACGTCCACCAATGTAGTTGTTGCGCTCGACGATGATGAAGTCTGTGACTGATGCATTGGATAATGCCTGTGTGGCTGTCACTCCTGCTACGCCAGCACCGAGTATCACCACTTTCGTCTTTCGGCAGGTAGTCTCGTTGCGGCGAGTCACTGGTGAGCCCGCTGCCTGAGGAAAAGCAAGACACAGGCCGAACAAGGTGGCGAGCAATCGTGGGGTTGAGAAACGCATGGTGTACAATTTAGGTGCACATTTTAGGTGCCCCCTCTGAAAAGCGACTGGTGGGAATATCGAGGAAATACTCAATCCATTCTACCTGAGGAAGGAAAGATATAGAGCTGGAAGAGCTGGCCTTCCCGTATCATTCAAGTCAGTTCACAGGCTCTGGAAATCTATGTACCCACCGACAAACATTGAGACCCCTCCAATTGAAGATAAGCCGAAATCATGTACGCAGGAATACCTTCACGGATGAGCGGTCTAAGATAAGTCTTGTCCGTGGTGCTGCACCTAGTACCGACCCGTGCGCTCAACTGTCGTCGACGCGCCGGCACCCTTCGGCTCCACTGATCATTTCCAATCCTACGAAATGCAAGGTTTGATCTAGTGAGATTGATAGTTTACGCGCGCATATGGTGTTGTGTCGGCGGCACACCCATGTTAGAAATGTAATTCTCCAATCCTAATCTATAGTCAACTGTGGTCAAATTTATTGCCTATTCTGGCGACTGGCTTGGCAACAGGACCCACCGCATCCCGTCGGCGGCCCGCTTGGACTTGGCAAAATAGGTATCGCGCTGCAATCAGGCAAGCCACCCTGCCGAGTCACCGTCACACCGAGTAGATACATAATACTTGCCGGGATTTTTGGATGGACACCTGAGTGCATGAGAAGGCGCCGCGCCCCTCAATTCGAGTATGGCCATCGACAGGATCGACTTGGTATAAGTCAGCTCTTGGACACCTTGCGGAGTTTTGATTGCCCGCAAGCAGAGACCCTTCAGCTATAATGTAAGTTTGTAAGTGCGAGATAAGCTTTCGGGCCTTACTAAGAGTATCTCCTAAAGCCCAGCGGGGGTTTGAGGTTTCATTGGCAAGCTCATACCATCTCATCTAAACTTTGGGTCGGGATGTGGGATGAACTAATTGCACCAGGTTAGAGTTGACGTTAAGTGAGCATACAATTCTTGTTACCTACTAGTATATAAAAAAGCGGAAAAGTGCCCCTATAATTTGCGGGGTAGAACACATGTGGGGTGGTATCGAATCTTACGAAGTTTCCAAAGGTTAACCATGCGTATTCGACATTGTATTTTTTTTTAACGCTGGGTGTTTTAGCATTTATTACTGTATGAAGGGACTGGATGCATATTGCTTAAGAAGCATATGTATACAGATTAAAAACGAGACCACTTAATCATGCGTATGTGACGAGGCCAGCAACTAGCAGTTTGGGAGTCGCTTTCTCGTACCTACGTAGCCGGGACTCAGGCAAGACAAAGCTTGGGCTTGTGCTTACCAGGTAATCTTGTTTTTGAACCGTCCCTAGTCTTGATTCCATTTGAAGTTAAACTTGAGGTATTACATGTAGCCTTCCCGATGATTGGCAGCTTCAAAATTATAGGCACATAGGAGAGTTTCCTGTTCTTTTCGGCTCCAACCTATCGATGCTGGTTATGCCCACAATACTGTAAGTTTGACTTCTATGAATCTGTGTGGTTATTCATAATGCTTTTTCTGATATTGAAAACTTTAAGAATGTTAATTTTTAGGCAGGAAACGCTTTCCCCGAGGACCCGTGTTCCCAGAAAAATGGCGGATGTCGACATAAAACCTGTCGCTTCAGGCGGCGCTGTTGTTGCTGGTGGCCAGGTAAGAACGGGGTCATTTGCGTATCAGGCTTAGTTAATCCTCATAACTCACCTAGTCATTTCGCGTCATCTATGTTGTTAATTCCAGACGCTTTAGGACATCTCATTCACAATCAGCCCCTCGCCTTGACTCTCACCTTCGCACACCATTATTGGCCACCAGTTGGCAGCCCAGGCAGGCTGCGGGTTTACTTGCTTCTGTAGCAGTATTGTGATGGGCTTCTCCGTCCTTTGTGCGGCCTCAGCCGGTACCGTCTTGCCTAGGGCCGCTGAGCTGGCGAGCTTGAGGCTCCAGTGGTCGGGATGCTTGTAGTACCATTCTTATGCTATCTTTACAGTAACCCAAAGCTTGTTCAAGATGGCCCAGTGTGATTTTCGTTTCTTTCCTTGGGGGGGGGGGGGGAGATGAGCCAAGTGGCGACATGATCCTCGTCCTGAACTGTGTCCTTTCCCCGTGAACGAACAACATTGGAGCTTTGGAGCCGCTGTCGATATCAACAGTGTTCAAGTGATTGCCATTTCAACTCTCGTCTTCCCCAGAGACTCATATAGCTATCTAGTTAAGTCGGCTGTGGCAATATTTGAAATCGAACCCTGTAGCCTGCCAACGGGCTTGTAAATTGTTGTGTATTGAGCGACGAGGGCTTCGATGATGGCCCCCTACCCATCTTCAAATCAGATATGATCTATCGCCTGTTCGCATCATAAACCCAACTGAGGCATTCATGGTCCCAGTAGCCTCCCTTGTGGGTATCCCAAGTCCATTCGCACCAGTTCATAAGATCTCTGAACTTGGAGCGACAGTCATCGCCATCAATGGTGACTGGTCTGTCGCACAGGTTACGGACGTAGTAATCAATCTTGCGCACAGGGCCGATGATCTTCTCCCAGTGAAATTCGTCGCCCTTGCCGTCCAGGGTCTTGCCAGCCGCATCCCCACATGCTCCATTGAAGCCTTCCCAGACGTTGCCGCGGCCCGCCATGCCGCCAGTGCACCAGCAATACTTCTCATCGTAGACTTGGTTGCAATTGGCTGAGGTCCCTTCGCCGTTGCGCCTTTCTAGGTCTTCGGCAGCTTTGAAACCAGAAGCACAGAAACGATATCAGCTTTTTGAGATATCACACTTGGGGAAAGGTAGGTGAGTCTGATAAGACATATAACACCCCTCGTGGACAGGTAAACAGTCCACCAACTCCGATTGCGAACAGCAATCACACACCTCTCGAGGACACTTTTAAATATCTATTCAGCTCTTAACTAAACACCCATTTAGCTTTAAACTAAATATTAAATATCTTTTCTTAGGAATTTATTTATATAATATAGGAAGAAAGCTCTTTATAAGGCTTTATCTCTTTATCTCCTTTCTTATTTATTTTTATGAAATAAGAGATTTAAAGTATTTTGGTCTTTAGTTAAGAACTAAACTCTATAGCTCTTAAGGTTAGGGTAGCCAAAGGTGCGCGCCGAAGCATATATTTAGCTCTTGGCTATCCATATGTGTGTCCACCGGTGTGTCCACAACCGGTGCGGGGGTGTGATATCCTCTACATACCATGTGGGGAAGGAGAGCCCAACACAGTTCCGAGGAGAAGGGAAAGACCGCCGGCGCCGAGGAACTTCATACTGGCGTTAATAGAATTGGCACAACGTTCTGAATTGAGCTGATTGGTATGAAATGTACGGGACAAAGGAATGAAAACTGTTTGTCCTAAGGATTAGTGGTGATCGATTGATGTTTTTGAAGCCTGATCAAATGGCCAACAGAACCCTCCCTTTTATATTTACAACTTGAGGTATCGCCGTGCTATACTTGCAGACGTTTCTAAGAAGTGGAGACTCACTGCCTCTCATAACAGCAAAGGCCAAGAAAAAGTTCGGCTCCACCGATGGTCGTCTTATTTCCGTCAAGCAAGCTGGAGAAGACAGTAAAGATCAACCTCCGTAACAGTCAGCGCCGAGACTCATGGGATTCCTCTCATGGTAAAGAGTGCACTTGGTTTCATCATGGCCTTCAGGCTTACCCAGCCTCTTTCTTTCACAACGGGACTTGCCACTCAAGATTTGAGATTTCAGCGCTACCATCTGCCTTGCACAGCACAAGCACATGCTTTACTATCCGATGTGCACATTTAGTGGAGACAAAGGAGGCTTACCTCAGACGATAAGCAGCACTATTGAGCCTCGCTTACTGATTTGACTGTTGCCCTTACATTGAGTCGAGTAGATCATTCTCATTTGAGTCAAATCTCACGCCGCTTCACTCTACGAGACTGGCAGATCAAAGTGTCTTTATTACCAGATCTACAATCTCCCAATGGCTTATTCCATCCATTGAGCGTAGCAGCAGACTTGTAAGCTCTAAGGTTGCGGTCTTGTGTTATGGTCGACACTTTGGTAATACCGAGATCTCTCCGTTCGCTGCTCTTCTGCTGGCAATATCTGACATCCGTCTGTTCGCGGCAAGTGGACTGAGCCAGGAAGGATTCCCTGATGATCACGTCTTTCCCGATGCCGAAGGAGAAGATCGACGTTGAACTCCTTCCAAACAAGGGTATTAATGAAGTGGGGAGCAATCTCTCAAACAACAATCAAGGCATCAACATGGCCAAAGCGGCCTTGAGAACGGCGAGCACTGAGACCAGGAATGGCGGCAAACACCCGTCGAAGCTCAAGTCTCTTTTCAGTGCAGAACAGCATTATGAATTCTCCGAACGGTAGACCGAACCACGTCGCACTCGTCGCATATTGATTTTATCCTTTGCACGACGCAGTAGATATTTCCGGAGAATCAAGGCCGTCATTCATGCATAAATGCATCTCTACCTCCTCTCCCCGGGATCCTCCACAGAAGTAGTTCAAGATGCCCTCGACAGCAGAATGAATCAAGCTCAAATTCAGGGAGACATAAATCCCGCTTGATCATGTAGCCCACAGTTCGGTGGCCATCAAACATAACCATTTGGCCACATTGAAAAATTATGGTAAATTCCATACCGATCAGCTCTCGATCCATGCCGAAGGATCCAGCCCAGTCTCTTTCTTCACCACGGCATGTCCGAAATAAAGACCTTCTGCTGTTAATCATAGCCAACTCTGACATGGCTGCGCCTGGTCCCCCCTCCTCTGTACAAACGTACATTGTTCGTGACCGACCACTCACACGCCGATGTATCAACTTCAGTCCCCGTTGGGCTCTGAGGCATGCTTGCCTCGAAGTAGCAGCTTGTGGGCATTGAGCTTCACGTTGGCATTGGATTACGGCCGCGGCCTCATCTAAGAGCCTCGGACCAGGCATGGCTCACTGCAAAGGGCCCGCTTGAACCGGCACGGCCGTCTGCTGTCCGTCCTTGCGGTTCTGGTAGCCCGGCCCATAAGGCTAGCTGTAGGTGCAAGAATTCAAGGTCTGATCTCGCATGGGACTTTATTGTAGTTACTGCTCTGAGGAGCCTTTCCAGAGACCTGATAATGACCACTTACTTCACCAGAACAGCAGGAAACGGTTTTGTGCTGGAGCTTGCCGTGGAGGATTTGGAAGTGACCCGCGCTGGGGATGTGGGATGCTAATAACATCTGGTCATGCGCCGCAATCTCTCAATAGAAATCATACCACTGGCTAACCTCAGCTGTCCTCTATTTGTGATAGTGCAGAGCAATACCTGGTAGTAGTGAGTGTGTTTTTCGGCTGAAGATTCTGTCAAACCAGACCTTATTCTACATGGGCACAGAATACGTAGCAAGCCTTGCCCAAGGACCATGCCTCCGAACTTCTAGAACCTCTGGGAAATCATGCACGCTTATGAAAATCCCCTCATGCATCACAGTGGGATCATACACTGCCGCATGTCGAAATCCGGGTCCGTGTTCACTGTCCCCGCCATCACAACGCCCTAATCTTATATCCCATCTGCGGTGTGTATCTGAGTGACTGGCTTGAACTCGACTGCAAGACAGTGACTCAGAGGGTGTGTCTAAAGAAAGTGACTGAGCTATTGTAGCCAGTGAACTACAAGAGAGCGTCGGATGGAGGCGCTCACCCGCTCCGTGGCTTCGAGGGTGAGTTCCTCAGTTGATGCTACCAGTCATGTTGTGCACGCCCGTCTCTTTATGACACCCTTTGGCTCTTTTATCAGCCCTTGAGAGTTCAGTGATTGGTAAAAGGAACTGAATTTGATTGCCTTCAAAGAGCAAGGTTAGCAGTCTTCTGGGGTCAGTCCCAGAAGTCATAGTTAGATGCTGGCCAGCATGATATGTTTAAGCATGTGATTGACAGTCATATTTCAATATATTTAAAGACGTCTTGACAGCTTATTTCAACAATAATCTCGGCACTCTCCATCAAGACACCCACAATCCACTTAAGAAAATTGAACCAGGCAATGTAAGTTCGTGGCATGAGACAAGAAAACACCCTTGATGCCTGAAAGTGTATTCCTTCCCACCAAACAGAAGAAGGGCTTGTACTTCATCTTGCTTATGGAAGACATCTCCATACGCACAGTGCATGCGAAAGAAGCCAGCTTCATCTCTAACTTCCTTCTGCAATAGCTCATGAGATTAATACGAGACACACATACGATCCGCAAGCCTTCGTAAAAGGTAAACTGCAAAAGCCCTTCTCCATGCCCAGATCAGTTCAACTGACCCCTTGCAGAGTCCTTTGGCATCCCTCGAAGTCTGTCCTGAGCAACGCATTCATTTCACAATGGCCGACTCTAGCAAACCTCAGACGTGCAGCTCATGCAAGGGGGAGGGAAACCAGGACTGCCACAACCCGTACTGTGTCAATGGCCAGGATGAAAACTTGAAGAAGAAATGCCCGATCTGTTACGGCACAAAGAAAGCCACGTGCACAGATTGTAACGGGACTGGAAAGCGCTAAGACAAGAGTCCCACATCGACGCCCATTTTCCGACCAAAAGTTTTATCAAGTTTCGCTGCTGGTTGGTGAATGGGTTCGTTGGGGGGGGGGGGTTCTCCCTGTTTGCGGCGATAAGTCACGGATGGCAAAGGGTTAGCGGGTGACAGCGCGAGGGCAAAAATAGTTCTCACTACGTTGCAGAGGTAATACAGCCTTTGCCACAGGTCTTCTTCAACAAGTCTTTGCTTCTTTCTTTTGCTTTCTGACATCACTCCTTCCGTAGCACTGTTTTACACTGTCTTGTTCATATGTGATACGGTTTCTTGATTACCAATGCAGGCACGCATAGACATGCCGTACCTACTGTCAGCAATGTTGTGCGCCTTCGAATTTATGCTTTTTGCCGCTGTACGAGGAGTTCAACAATAGTGTCACTGTAGTTAGATGAGAAACCTGGCTTGAAAATACATCTGAGTATCGATGTCGCTCACCACAGGTCTCATTTTGACTGGGCCGGCCGTTTGGGGAAACGTAATGCTGCTGTCGTAGCTTGACCAGTTAGGAAAAGCCGTCGAAATACTGCTTTCTGGATTAGCAAGGGTGATTGGCTCGCTACTTTAGGATCTAAAGGCGAGGGAAGATCAGCCCAATTTAGTGTGGATATGAGACAATTGCCAAGTCCCCTGACTACAGGTAAAGGATTAGCTTCCACTAATGCTTCAAGTAGTCTCCCATAGACTCAAGAGGATGAAGCGGAGAAAGTCAGACGATGTAGTCGGGCAGAAATTCATGGGTGACGGAAGTACTCACCACGTTATAATGTCGATTAGTGCGAACCACGGTTTCAGCAACAAACAAGGCCTCATAGAGCAGACACTAACCACATCCAGCTCGACACAGGCTTTTTCTACACTTCAACACGCTGCTCAGTTGACATGAGCACATTTCAGCTCGTCCCGAAAGTAAGGTTCACATTAGAAAGGACATTCTGAATATGCGATATGTATTCCCATTCTAGATGTCGTATGTACGCCCCCGGCCTGACGACTTTGCTTATTTTCCGTGCAAGCCGCGGCCCAATTCGCATCCCGTAGCTATATGAAAACGCCCGACTTCAAATCACCTTAGCAATAGAAGGCTATAGTTGACCAGCCTAATAAAGACCAACGAGGATGTCACCCCTGACACGGGCCGAGAGATGGACCTCAGCCTCCAAGTCGAGCTTGATACCGACGGTCAGAGCGGCAGCCTTCAGGTTGCCGTTGTCGTCGACTGGGCCCTTGAGCAGGTTGCCTGTAGAACATCGTAAGCAATTGCTCCCTGGGTAATGGGCGAGGTCACCGGGTGAGGTGTGATGAGGACTTACCGACTGGGCCGTTGGCCACGCCGGAGAGGCCGGGGAGCGGGAGGCTGTTGCCGACTTGGCCCTTCATCTGACCGTTCTGCATGGACAGGTCGAACCCACGTGGCTGGTTGGGGTTCTGGCCGGGGTTGGGGCCGACGACGCCGGTCCTCTGGGGCTCGCTGGGAAACAATGAAGTGAGTGGGTATTTCACTAATGTGGAAGACTGGACGCGTTGAGATTACTTACGGGCTGCTGGAGGAAGACATTTTCTGAGGAGCTGGGGTGATGGTCCTAGGAGCCGGTGCGGTAGTTTTAGGAGCCGGTGTGGTGTTGGTGGTGGGAGCAGGTGTTGGCTGCTTCGGGGGCGACTTGGGAGTCTGGGCTGCTGGAGGTGCTGGCGCTGGCGCTGGCTTAGGAGCGTCGGCGGGCCTTGGAGAAATATCCTTTGGCTTATCGGACACTTTCAAGGTCTCAGTTGATGCTGGGCCCTTCTCGTAAGGAGGAGGTGGGGGGCTTGCGACTCTTGGTGACGGTCTGGGGCTCTTGCGGAGCTCCTCGGCCTTGTCCTCGTCTAGCTGCGAGAGGTAGAGATTCCTGGTGCGCCGTTTGCTGTCCGACGCCTTGTTATCCGTTTTGGGGTCTGAGGAGAGACTTAAAGAGCGTCTCCGGGCCTGGGGGCTTGAGTCTGAGGTGCCAAAGGACGGCTGTGTGGATACTCTGACCGGAAGCCGGAATTTCCGTGGAGCTGCAGAGGCGGTATCTGACAAGGGGGATGGGACGTCGGTGGGAGATGTATTAGAAGCTGAGGACCAGGAGCTGCGATTAGATGACCTGCGAACTAGTCGTTGCTCGGGGGAGGTGTTGATGAAGGATCTTCGATTAGATGTGCTGTCCCGTCTAGGAATTGAAGAGTCGTTGTCCGCCGGCGGAGGAGAAGATATAGATAATGGTCGAAGTTGAGTTAGAGTTGTTGCCATTGTGAGTCTGGAGCTGTCCGCCATTTATGCCCAAGTCATGGCGGTACACTTAATATGCGGGCTGGCACAGGATCCCTCCCCGGGTCCCCAGCCGAGCATCTTCGCGTGTCAAAGCCGCGTGCGGGTGCATCAATGCTGTGCGGCTCCATCAGCCAATACGGCGCTGTCGGTCGAAACGATGCAGCCGTGGCAGAGGGCAATCGAACGGTCTGGTTGCTCGCTGCGACTGAAATCGTCCCATGATCTTTGCAAATCGAACAACTTTGTTTGTAGGGATCCTGGTATTGAGACCCGGCGAGCTTAGTGAAACTGACTATGAGCGATGCATGCGGTCCGCCGTGTGGTGGGTCCAGGGACCGCTGACAGGAGTTGTACCAGAGAATTGCGGCCGCTGACTACTACTACTACGGTATGCATGAAATACGCCAGCTGGCGGGAGACCAGAGGCTATCGCCAAAGAGGACATGTTTGATAGCCGCAAAAGGGTCAAAGCTCCTCGTACGAATATCCCTGGGCGCGTCCAGCCTCCTGGAGTCGGATGGACCCGGGCGAGCTCTTGATCGGATGGTTTTGTCGAGGTTGCATGGGTCCTGATACAGCTATACCAAATCCCCCGGGATTTCGAGCCCTGAATCGTACGTCGTATGTTTCCGCGATTCGTAGAAGCGAGTTTCGCATCCCGTTTCAGTGGGGTCCACAGCTGCACGCCCTCCCCCAGCACACAGACCGTGTCAAGATGTTTGCCACTCGGCGTCGGCCAGGCTGGGCAAGGGCAGCGTCCGGGTGTCGAGATGGACATTTGACATTTTAGTCGAACGATGCGTTGAAGGAAATCATCAAATTGCTTGACACGCGCAACCATGGTTCTGTCAGTTCTCGTCGCTTTTGGCGCCGTCACCGGCGCATCGGAAGGGATCAAGGCCTCTCAAGCAAAGGCCAGGAGAGAAGAGCACCGGAGCAGGAAGAACAATCTCATCGTCCACGTCCCAAAGTCGTCCGAATACAGCCAGACCCTCGAAGGCCGGCGGGTGGTCCTATCAGGCAACAAGGTAATTTTCTTCGAGCCTGCAGCAGACAGGATCACATGTAAACTGGACAGAAAATGTTGTTGACACTCACCGCAGCTCTATGTCGACACCGGGCTGGACAACGATGTGCCCTTCGGCCATCCCTTCGAGGGATACTTTCTGGGATACCCGGAGCTCAACCACCCCGGCCTTGTATCTACCATCAGCGACGAGGCGCCCATCATGAACTGGATCTACATGGACGTGCAGACCTTCGAGCTGAAATTCGGCACGCGACAGTTCTCAGAAGGAAACTTGACGGGGCCATTCGACTGCACCAGGCAAGATCGGAGGCTGACGTTGCACGGCTACGAGAACTTCGTGGCCGTACAAAACGGACCTTTCTGGTCGCTCTACTTCGACTGGGACGGTGACCACCTGGAGGGAAGAGTGCCTCCTGGGACGGCGGTCGTTGAGATAGATCTCGTGAGGAGGGAATTGCGAAATCGAAAACCGAGACGCAAACCTGGCGAGCAGAACCCTCTGGCGCAGGACCCTCAAGCAGCAACAAATCCGGCAACAAATGGCGCCGCACCAGAAACAGGCGCACCTGCGAATCCTGTACCGCAGACATGATGCAAAGTCTGAGGAAGAACTGAGCGTTCTAATGCAGCACTCCGACTCGGCCCGGATTGAAGGATTGATCTGGAGGCACCGCGGAAGTGCTTAGGAGGCTTGAACAAAAGCCATCGTTTCTAATATTGTATATATACACTAATATTATCCTAAAAGATCCAGGAAAATTTATATATCAAGAATAGCCACTTCTCGCCTAAGGAATCGCCTTGAGGACCTGCTTCGCCTTGACATTAACAGGCTGGGACATCTCACGCCTGCCGATCTTCGTAGGGTGGCGCTGGATCGGACGCGCGACGCGCCCTCCAGCAATGTCACCAGCATCCCTCGTCTTGGGCGAAGAGGAGGAGGACGAGATGCCGCCATAGGCGCATGCGGCCCCATTCCACGCCGAGTCAGCGACGGCCTTCCACACCGCCGTGATGTCCGTGACCATGGGCAGGGTCCAGTACAGCCTGCAGTCGGCCTCCTCAGCAATGAACTGCGCGGGGACGCCGTCCTCGACGTTGTCGCGCAGGATCTGGTCGCGCCCGTTGATGGCGGCCGCGGTGCTGCGGTTGACGGCGAGGTCCGTGTAGCGCGACAGGGCGGCCTTCTGGCCGGCGTCGGTGATGTTGGCGCCGAACTGCAGCGCGTACTGGTTGTAGGACAGCACGGTGCTCCAGTCCAGGACCTGGGCGCCCTTGACGCCGCCGACGCCCTGGATGGGGCCCTCCTGCGGGCGCCCGCCCATGGCGACGGACTTGACGCCGCCCTGGATGCGGAGCATCTCCGACGCGAGGGTGCAGGTGCTGGCGCAGACGCCGTCGTACAGCATGATTATGTTCTCGGCCGCGAAGGGCTGCGTGAGGTTGGCCAGGGTGCCGTAGCCTGCGATCTCGATGCCGAGGCCGAAGGTCTGATTCGTCGTGGTGAGGTTGTCGTTGAGGTTCCACCGCATGATCTCGGTGTAGTTCGTGTCCTGGTATACAACGGGGCCGAACTTGTCCTCGAAGGACTGGAACGGGTCAAGGGTGAGGTTGAGATCGTAGCGCCAGTTGAACCAGCTCTCGTAGAAACTGATCAGGTCCGCGTCGTCGGATGTGTACGGGTCAACCTTGGCGGCGAGGTCGGAGACGACGTCAGAGATGGCCAGGAACGAGTCGCTGGCCTTCCAGCGCGAGAACCCGTCCTCCTGTACGCTGGGGAACAGCTGCCGGAAGAAGTCGTATCCCTGCAGGATGTAGCCGCCGCCATTTCCTTGGAAGTCAATGACCAGCTTGGTCTTACCAGCGGCCACGGCATCCGCGAAGAACTGCGAGGCCACGGACTGAAACTCGGCTGGAGACTCGCTCTCGAAGGCCAAGAGCACGATGACTGCGACGTCCTCGTAACCCTCGCCGTCGAGGTAGAATCCGGCGACGACGGCGTCCTGGGTGATGATCACGGGCGTGGGATAGCCCGCGACGCTCGCCGCGGCGGCCGAGGTACCATTGGTAGGAGAACTGGTGGTCGCGCTGCTGTCGTAGCCGTTGGGGTTGCAAAACTTCTCATACATAGACTCCCCGTCTGTGATGCCAGTCAGGGGCACCTTGATGCGAGCGTAGTTCTCCAGGGTGACCTCGGTGCCGTTGGCGAAGGTGATGTTTGTGCTGGCACCGTGGTAGATGTACCGGATACGGCCGCCGCCTTGGAAGTATCCCACGCCCAGGCCCGCAGCAGGGGCAGACAGCTCGAAGAACATCGAGTTGTAGGCAGAGTCAACGTCCTGGTTCCAACCAGCCTGGTTGATGGTGTCTTCAAGATACGTAGCTGCGTCGATCCCATTGATCAGGGTCACGCTTGAGGCGGTGCTTGGAGACGAGATGACCTCCTCATAGATCTTGATCTCTGGCAGCGAGGACTGGTCCTCGCTGATGGACACCAGCGACAGGGGCCGGTTCCAATCGAAGACGAGAGTCAAGAGGTCAGGGTAGTACACAAAGTGACCGTCGTGGGCTGGACCGAAGACAGTGTTGTACAGGTCTGCCTGGAACTCATACTCGCCGGCGTACCCGTCACTCTCGAGCTTAGACCGGATGGTAGCCAGATTGGCGAACATGTCGTAGGCCGGGTAGAAGTAATCCTCCGGCGGGTCTGCCAGATAGCCCGAGTCTGGAAGTTGTTAGCCACGAGGTTCCAGCTGTTATAGCAAGAGAGGGTCATGCGTACCGGATTGCCATTCCAGATATGGCTCAATGGAGTCAACGAGCTCGATGGCCGCCTCCTTTCCCAGCGGCACAGAGAGCAGGCAGTCATGAGCAATGGCTGCAGCAATTGTGGGAGTGGCCGAGGGGGATGCGGCAATCTGCGACGCATATGCAGCGCTGGCAACAGCGCATGGCTCCGTCGGGCTGGGAACAGCAGAGGTTGTGGTGTTCACGGCGGCGGCGTGAGCCATACCCGAGAGGACACTGGCCACGACCAAGACGTTGGACTTCATGCTGACTGTCTCGGCCTCGGTTCACGAGCTTCTGCAGTAACGAATGGACTGACGAGAAGGAGGTGAAGCGCAGAAGAAAAGGGGAGCACATCGTCTTCCCCCTTCCTGACAACAGGCGACCGCCTCTCCTTTGTAGTCGTCAACCATTTCCGCCATGAGCTGCATCTGCTGGGTCTAGTTCGTGCCTGTGGATGCGCCGTCAGCCTGTGTGGATCACATACCGCATGCGCCATGTTGAACTGCAGATGGCTACGAGGGCATTGGCCTATCATTGCTTCGTTTTCTCCCTATCCATGGCGCGGGTTGTGGGTAGCCTCGTGAAGCTTATCTGCGCCGGGCAGGGGTTCGGCTGCTCACCTGCCTAAAGAGGGAGCTGGTTGCCGATCTGTACGAGCGAGTCCTGTTCCTGGAGCATGGGTTCCTCGTTCACGCGGGCTATCCGTCAGGCACACATCTCCCCACGAAATGCGAGAGAAGCTAATCCTTGCTTATTATTTGTCTGCAGTATTGCATAGGACCTCATTTGCGTTCTGGCGCTCGGTTCCCTTTGATGAGCAACGGCGGTTACGCTCAGACGTAGTAAGCAATCCTACTCTTTTCGTTGTGCAAAAAGTAATCATAGCCATAGGTGACCACAGCTTCCTACAACAATAACGGTTCAATTTTACTTGAGCATAAATGCGTGGATTTTGCATCCAAATTCATACGGTGCCTGGACTCGGGGGGGAGTGCTAAACTTAGACCTTACCAGCCCCGACCGACTCAAGAAGGGTCCCATCCAGCGCGCCGAAAGTGCGAGGTCGGATTGTAAGCAGTGGGCAAAATGCTGCGTCGGAAATTGCGCAGGCACTGACTCACCAATAGGTATCTCTCAGACTCTACTGACCAGTCAGAAATCAGTCTCACAGGGCTACAAGAAACAAAGGAAACAAGTGCGACGCCAAGTATTTCTGACGTATGCACTGCACTGCACCTGTCACCATATCATCCTGTCTCAAATTGGAGAGAAAACTAGGACTTCTCAGCTCCTGGATAACTTTCTTCAGCCATGTCTCGGGTTTCACTCATGTAAAGTGACTCAACCGGCCAAGGTTTGAGAGAGTAAGACTCGTTAAATTCAGGAACTACAGTAAACCAGGTACACAGTAAGCAAGACTACATGCCGTTAGTAAGCCATATCGGAAAGCCCGTCGTCGTCTGGATGTCGTAGTCAAAGCCCAGCAATAGACTATATCAACAGCGACATGCCATATTCTCACAATGTCTGAAATGATGTTGTTTGCTAAGTCGTCAATCACCCGAGCCGCGTCACTGGGCCCTGAATACTATCTACCTTGTGGGTTCCCGGCTGCAACCCCAGCACACCCAATCACTCGGGACCTGAAACATCAGACGACAACCCCCATCAGATAAGGAAAGGACCACCACCATGCCATCGCCGACGCTCAGACTGCGCCCGGGCGGCCCAGCAGACGTCGAGGACATGTGCGAGGCGGTCCTCGACGCCTTCTCGGGCAACACGGTCGGCCGCACGTTCTTCCCCCGCAACTCAGCGTCCGCGCGCAGGTTCTGGCTGGACGCGCTGGCGGAGGAGGTCCACGACCCGAACGCGCGCTTCGTCGTCGTCGAGGACACGGTCGCATCGCCCCCGGCCCTGGTCGCATTCGCCAAGTGGAACGCGCCGCTGCCGCCTGGCACGCCGCAGCCTCCACTTCCCGGGTGCTGGCCGGCGGACGAGGACCCGGCGCTCGCGGGGGTCTTCTTCGGGAGGCTGGCGGGTATGCACGAGGGGATCATGGGGGATAGGCCGCATTGGTACCTGGAGATGATTGTGACGAGGGGGATGTACCAGGGGCAAGGTGCTGGTAGCATGTTGATGCGGTGGGGTGTCGAGAGGGCCGATGAGGAGGGTGTTGAGTGTTACTTGGATGCCACACCCGAGGGGAAGCACCTGTATGAGAGATTCGGCTTCAAGGATGAAGCAACGTTGTGTTTCTTCAACGAGACGTATCGGCACTCTTTCATGGTTAGAGGGGTGACGAGAAAGACTCCCAGAGTTGAGACTGCCTAGTGCTGTAGTCAAGAGCATTTATGTCTGTGTCCTCCCCGCTCGCAAGCAGCGACAATTCCATGTAACACACTATATTTCCTGTAGCTCTTCTATCGTCATTGAGAGGGCTACAAGGCTCTCTCGGCATTCTATGCTACAGCCAATCGTCAACCTCACTGTCAGGCACTCCACATTCCTTCGCGAAGACTCGGACGAGAGCCTGCGCCGATCGAAAAGGTTGATGTCAGCTCTGCTCCTGTCCAGCGATCCGAAGCAATCGGGTGTGAAGAGAAATACTTACTTCGATGTTCGCATTTCTCATTGAACGGAAAACTGGTGACTTTTCCAGGTTCCGATACCGCACCCGCCGAGAATAGATGCCAGCGGCTACACGAGCCAAGAATTTCGGGTGGTCACGGTCGGGAATGAATTCCAAAACGGCTCTTACCTTCTTGGGGTCGATGTCCTCTTCATGGTGGTCAGGATGCAATACTAATGGCTTTCCTGTTCTGCACCAATCGCACCGCTCACAACGTGTTCGGCCACCAGGGAGCGCTGTGCCCAAATGCTCGGCGAGCCCAACAGAGACGCATCGGTTTTCCGTGAAGAGCTCAACAATTTCCCGTCTGCGCTGTATCCAGGCTTCCATACTCTGCTGGCAATCTTCAAAGACCAATTTTCCAGCGTCCTCCATGCTGTCTGTGCCGCGACCGGAACCTGGGCGTCGCAATATGCGTATTGGTGTCATCTGGTCGTTTCCATAGAGCCTTATGTGACCACCATCAGCCAGCTCCCTCAGCCTGGCGATCACTAGCAAGTAATCGAAGCCTGTTGCTTCCATTCCTGCCCCGCGTAACTGAAGGTTGTACGATCTACCTGATATGGTTGAGTGGGTGGCTATCACCTTGTCGATCTGAGAGGTATTCTTCGTCATATCAAGTCGTTTCCCATGAATGTACTCGTATCGGCAACTAGTGAAGGTGTGCTCCTCTACCCTAATGAGCCCTAAATGGTCTTTAAGTACTAGGAGCATACGTTTAACGTATCGGGGGTCCATGTCGAGGTCAAAACACAAATCCTCCAGCCTGAGAAAGGTGGTTGAGTTGGTGTTCTCGCTGTTGAAGACATGATTAAGTAGGACGTTGACGTCACGTCTGCAAGGTATATTGCAAATCTTTTGTGCCCATTGCTGCTGCATTCCTACTGCATCCAGGATGAAGAATGCCTTACTCCATTGGCCGTCCTGCCCTGCAATTCTAAGCTGGCGGTCGAGCATCGAGACACTCGTCGGGATGGCGTTGAGCACAACATTTCGTATGTCTACGAGGACAGCCAAATTAGCTGATCATAATAGAAAATAATATGACTCACGGCAGACAAAATGGGGTCAGTCTCATGAGCGAGGTGTATATTTGTGACTTCAAGTTGACCACCGACACTGGGAGGACAAGGGGTACACTTGACAGGGGCATATCGAAGGCGTGAGAAATAAATGCTGTCAAGGTGCTTACGAGGATTATTGAGGAGTCGTAAAGCACTGCTGGTAGTGAAAAGCTAAATTGACAGAGGATGATTAGTTACAACAGCCTGAGACATCAAAACAGCTCTGATCATAGTAACTTAACACTCACCACCTGGAACTCGGACACTTCGAAATTGGACAGAACCTTCCTCGCATGAATGGTCCCAACATCTCCGCCTGTCGATCTTGCACTCAAGCCTGCCTTATGCAACATGGCTGCGACATCTGACGCCATCTTTTTCAGGTCAGGAAATTCGGGCCGTGGCGCGAAGAACTCATGGTAACGTACCTTCCGAGCACCCGTAAATATTACCGTCTGACCTGGTCGCTTCCTCATCAATTGAAAAAGGAATGCAGAGGAGGCCTCATTGCTAGGGCTAGAGTGTGCGTGCAGTTCGAGACTGAGAATGATAGGGTTAACAGATCGAAGCTCGAGCTATGCGCCTAAGTGGCCAGTGTATCGAGTATGGACGAACTTGGGTGGAAGCAGTGGCGGAATTCTATGGACTGAGGATCGCGGCAGGTTAAAGGCTTGTTGAATCTCTTGCACGGCATCTGGGTGGAGGTTGTTGGTGAGGAATACCGCGCTTTTTGGCCTGGTGGCCTGAATGAACCTCGCTACTGTAAGTAGATTAGATTGATATAATCAGGTATCGTGTGCGGTTGTGTATCTTACCCGTCTCATTTACACCAGCTGTTTGCGACTCCTGCAATTGTGTGAGTTGTGGTGCGCTATTGAGGATAGATGAAGGAATTTCCTAACCTGAGGCGAACTTACGCCGAAGTCCGCAATGACAAGACGATTCACACCGCCTGGGGAGGACTTTACGGCGTGGATTACGTCACTATCGGCTAGATATGGTGCATACACGTATAAGACACGGCTTTTGCGTTGACGTATACGGTCGATATCACGTCTTCGGAACATGGCAAAGTCTCCACGCGTTTCAGCCGGAGAAGTCAGACCGGTGGGAATCCCTAAGCCAGTAAGATAATCTACCCGATGTCTGGCGAATGGAACGGAGTTAGTGACCACGACGGTAATCCCGTGGTCCATAGACTCGCAGCTTTGCAGCACAGCCGGAACCTGAGATAGCCATCAGCATTCGGTAGTATTGACATGACCTTTAAGCCATCGGGGAGGTCCCGTCGAACCAAGTAACAAATACTGCTTCCGCTTCGCGAGGGCCAAGACAGCACCATGCTTTCCCCGGCCAGCAGCCGAGATATCACCTCCTCTTGCCCCGGTCTGAACGTCTTGTGGCCAAAAGTCTTCCGTAGGACGCGGCCAGCCGGCTCGAGGTCAACGACGCGCTGGCCGCGCTCGAATTCAGGCTGTGGCAGGGATGAAGTTGAGGACGCAGAGCGAAACGAAACTGCGCATCGGCTCATTGGATTGACAACTGATCTTTCATGTTGAGAATGGCGGACCAAGGGCACCCTGCTGGCACGCAGATGCGTGAAAGCAGCACGTCGGAGCCACGTTGCGCCTATGCTGGGCGCTCGATGATGCGGGGAGGTCCAGATGTCGGGGTCGAAATGTTGTTGTTCCACCAAGCTGCGCCAACTTGCATGCCCGTTGGTTGCTGGCACGTGGGCGGGCGCAATATGTTATTCCCGGGTTCTGAACAAAAGAAAAAGCAATTCGAATGAAGGCGGAATACTTCCGCCGGGGAGAATTGCTCAACTTGTCATCTGTATGGATCAAATGAACTGTTGTAAGCATCTTGACTGTAGTCTTTCGCAACCGGGGAGTCAGGTTATCGCTCGAGAACCGCTTTATTAAGAGAAACGTTCTTGTACCGCCGCCACCCACCCGCTGGTACCCAGTGCATCATAAGGACCTCAGGAGAAGTGACAATGACATAGAAAGAACGAAACACTTAATGGTCCCATTGTGTTAACGGCGTCTCTGCAACCTGCACTAGGCCGTTCTCACCCTTGTCTCCAATCTATTCCTTTAGGACACATCGCGAGGCCCAGGCCATGCTGGTTCTGCGCGATTATAAGCTAAACGGGATTGGACGACACGCAAGTGACGGAGCTCCATGCACCAATTCGAGCATGGAGCTCATCAAGCGAAGGATGATCATGCAACGTGCGAGGCTAGAATAGTCTGGTGGCTGTCTTAAGATAAAACGATGTAAATTGGGAGGACATTTGCGAGATGGTTAACACATTCCAATCCAGCACAAGACATATAAGTGCTTCAACGGTACCTAGGCATGCTGTGTAACTGAAATAATCCTCATCGCTATGCTTATGGTACGAACAAAACTTGTTCCAGATCATTTCTTCGGGGCCCCGATCTCATAATGATTATGGAGAACTGGTACGGATGATTCTGCAATGTGTCCAATCAGAGATTCACCAAGCGGTGCGTAGATGCGATTGTATGTTTCTTGAAATTTGGCAACGCTCCCACAACTGAAGGTCTGTGTCGTGGCGAGCATACGCCTCACTTGTCGTCAGAGATCCTGAAGACATACTTAATCGCGTTCGCCTTCCCAGCCTTGAGGTTCTCCAGCCCCTTCTGGATCCCATCAAGCCCGCCGGGAACGATCTCCTGAGGCTGCGGCTTGAACCAGCCCTCCTGCAGCCCCTTGGAGAAGTACCGCATGTACACGAACCCGAGGTCCTTCTCATCCTGGTGGACCGAGCCAACCATGGTGCGGTTCACGGAGACGCCGCCGCGCACGTCCTCCTCCTTCACCGGCAGCACGGTGGTGATCTTGGCGCCGTCCGCGAGCGCCTTGCCGAGGTTGACGTAGCTGTTCTTCTCGGAGACGGCGTCGTACGCGTGCAGGAGCCTCGCGCCCTTGGCGGCCTTCTTGATGCCCTCGACCACGGCGTCGTCCCCGTCCCGGTAGTCGACGACGGTGTCGCCCTTGGAGGCGTCGAGGAACGACTTGACGTGGTCCTGCGACTTGCCGGCGATGCAGATGAGCGGGTGGATGTTGGCCCGCAGCGCGAGCTGCACCGTGTAGATGCCCACGGCCGAGGCCGCGCCGTAGATGACCAGCGGGGTCGGCTCGCTCGCGGGCTGCCACGGCGCCGGGAGGCCGAGCTTCGTGTTCAGCCCGCAGGCGGCCGTCAGCGCGGCCAGGGGGATCGCGGCGGCCTCCTCGAAGGTGGTGGTCTTGGGGATGTGAGCCGTGGTGTGCGCCCATGCGAGGGCGAACTCGGCGTAGCTACCGCCCGGGGTCATCATCTCGTGGAAGGCCATGACGCGGTCGCCGGGCTTGAACTCGGTGACATTGGCGCCGACCTCGTGCACGATGCCGGCGATGTCGTCGCCCTGGTTGATGACCTTGCCCGCAATCCACTCTGGAACCTTCCAGTCCTTTGGGTTGGACCCGCTGACCGCCACCTTGATGACGACCTGGTCATCGTTTGGCACTGGGACTGACGATTCTATTATCTTGACCGCCGGTCCTGGAATTGTTAATATCAATTGGCCGTAGTCCTGCGACCATGATCATGAGACTTACCAACATCGACAATTGCTTCCTTCATGGTGTGTATTTTGAAAGTGCGGTGCTATCGTCAGTGGAAAATCAAGTCGAGCAAGATTTGGTGAAGTATGATGCGGATGGACGATGATCTTAAAGCTGTTGCGTTAGACGACGAAGATCCAATTATATCAGAAGCGCAAAGACACTATGATATAACCACATGCACAATGTGACGATTTGTAACAGGATTCCCCGACGGACGATTTGTAAGAATCGTCCTAACTCCGATCGCAGCGAAAGGTGCGATTGATCCAGCAATGATGTTTGCGAGTCAATCAGATCTACCCGCGCCGGGCCATGCGGGCCCAAATGGATCCCGAGGTCGATGTGTCTTCCCCGCCCACAGGCGTACGGTAGTTATTAGGCATTGCACAAGGTTACACAGGCCATTTCATCATCATTTTGAATTCGCCCGGCCATTCGGCCGAACATGGAGAGGTACGATATCCAATTATGTACCTGCAGCTAGCTCTACCCTCAATTCGTCTGGCTCGTTGTAGATTTAGCATTCGACTGAGTTGCCAGTAGACGGGGATGCATATCGGTCTCGTATTCTTAATCGCGAGTCGGCGCTAGTACAAACGCCGTAGTAGAAAAACAGACTTACTGCACACCGTACTCTGATCGCGCCCCGCAATTATTGATCCACATTGAAGCTTTGCCTCACCAGGAATTCAGGAGAGCTTTTAGAAGACACGTTTTACTGTTCGGCGATAGGGCTTCAATTGAGGATTTCTAAGCGTCTGATGGTTATGCCCATCATCGCAGGAGCTGCCCTGAAGTCTAGGTCACTTGGTCGGGAAATACAGGAGCATGCTTGAGACCTGCACCTGTATTCAACATATCTGCCCATTGGACTGGAGTTTTCTGGTTTGACAAACATGTCATCACACAGGCGGCTGTTCCAGACAATTGTGTTCTCATCATCTTTGCCGCTATATCGCAACGTCTTCATTGAAATTTCGTCTCCAGTATTGCTATTAGCACTAAGAGGACCCACGTACAATCGCGACTTGCTGCAAGTTGCGCCTTTTGCTCATGATACAAGTACCAGAGATTACAGAAACAGCGCAGTTTCTGGGATCTACGGCCACCGTGCCTTAAGCTAAGGCCGTCGGAGCAGCCTGCCCCATGGACGGCAACATGAAGGCAAATAATCATACATTGGGGCACTGTTCTTGTCTATGAGAAACAATCACCAGGGGTACATACTGAGATCAACTGCCAAAAAGAAAGAAAGAAGGAAACCTATCGTGCGGCCCGTGTGAAGAAAAGTGATCACGAAATAGATTGCGGCTGGTGTCAGGAACTGGGAGGAAGCTCGAGCCTTGTGACGAAGCCAATGGTAAGAACAGTTTCTATCAAAAATTGCTGCCAAGTCGGTTTCCAGAAGTCAAAGCGGATAAAGCCTGAGACGACGGGTTGGCAACTAGTTGATGATAGAATGTGCCTGCATTGCGCGTTGCGCGTACCAGTTTCAGGACATCAAACGGAGCCTTTGTCGGAAATGCCACGGAGCTGGGGGGTCGGAGCAACAATTCTCCGAGGGACCCCGCCAACCTCCAACTCTCAAGGTGCCGTCGGGCGGTCGTCTGTATGCAGGATATCTCGGACAGGCCATGACGTACCAGCCGACTTTGCAGTACTCCAGAAATGTGCCAGGTGCCAACTCTGGACAGCGTCTGAGCTTTTCGATTTGCAGCCAAAAGCTGTAGGCAGCAAGTGGAGGCCCGTTGCAGACCTCTAGCAACCCAACAGGCTGGTGTCGCCCTCTCGTCACGAAAGGTCCACCATGAGTGTTTTGACAAGCCGCCAAGCCGAAGAGCTGTATGTTTACGCCCGCCAGCCCATCGACCCGACTGTCCACGCCCTGATCGTGTCATACCAACGACGCTAATCGTGCTCGTACCCAGGCACAAGTCCATGATTGCTTACCTGGCCGCGAACAACCTGCCATCCGCCGCCGCCGCTCTCAGGACAGAGCTGAACCTCGAGGAAAATGAATTCGACGCCGCCACAGCCAAGAAATACGAGAACCTACTCGAGAGAAAATGGACCAGTATCGTGCGGTTACAGAAGAAGGCATGCGCGGGTCCCGCCTCCACACGCTGACGCGCAATGCCTGACTGATGCCTCGTCCTAGATCATGGATCTCGAATCCCGGAACACCGCCCTGCAGTCCGAACTCGACAGCATAACCCCCGCCTCGCTGTCGATGAAAAACAAAGACCCCGCGTCCTGGTTGCCCAAACCACCACCCCGATACACCCTCGAATCACACCGCAACACCATCAACTGCATCGCCTTCCACCCAGTCTTCTCCCTGCTCGCCACCGGCTCCGATGATTATACGATCAAAATATGGGACTGGGACGTCGGCGAGCTGGAGAACACTATCAAAGGCCACACGAGAGCCATCCTCGATGTCGACTACGGTGGCCCGAAAGGAAACGTCCTCCTGGCATCCTGCAGCTCCGACCTGACCATCAAGCTGTGGGATCCGGCTGCGGATTACACGAACATCCGGACGTTGGCAGGCCACGATCACAGTGTGAGCGCTGTGCGTTTCATACCAGCCTCAGCAAACTTGCTGGTCAGTGCTAGCAGGGACAAGACACTGAGGATATGGGACGTCAGCACAGGATTTTGTGTGAGGACACTGAATGGCCACAGTGGGTGGGTTCGGGACGTGTACCCATCTTTCGACGGTCGCTACCTGGTCTCTGCTGGCGACGACATGACCGCCCGGCTGTGGGACATCTCCGAGGCCAACAGTACAGAAAGCAAAGTGGCCATGACAGGCCACGAACACTACATCGAGTGCTGCGCCCTCGCCCCGCCCGCCGCATATCAGTACCTCGCACCACTGGCCGGCCGGACAAAACCTCCTCCAAGCAGCAGCTCAGCCGAATTTATGGCGACTGGCTCCAGGGACAAGGCAATACGACTGTGGGATGCGCGTGGAATATGCATCAAGACCTTGATTGGCCACGACAATTGGGTACGCGCGCTCGTCTTCCATCCTGGTGGCAAATATCTCTTGTCGGTGGCGGACGACAAGACATTGAGGTGCTGGGACCTCACCCAGGAGTGTCGCTGCGTCAAGGTCATTGGCGAGCCGCACGAGCGGTTCATCACCTCGCTACGCTGGGCACCGAGCATCGTACGCAGCGTCGAGGGGTCTGCTGCGGGCAATGGTACCCCGACTCGGCCACAAGACGGAGAAAAGAATGGAACGACGCCGAAGTCCCAAGACGTGCAAATTCGCTGCGTGGTTGCCACCGGGGGCGTGGATTGCAAGCTCAGGATCTTTACGACATGACGAAATGCCAATGTCTCCAAAGTCTCCAAGCTTCATTTCTTTCTACTAGAATATCGTAATATCCTGGGGGAAGGGAAGGGGACCCTACTCACATCGGTGTGGCCTTGGCGGTGGGCCAATCTTCCTTTTCCCGGCTTCAATACCCTCCACCCCTGGCAGTTTGTCTGGCCAACACCCAATCTTCCATCTCATGCTTCTGGCGCGTGGTTTTTGTCAGGCTGTGTTCCATTAGAATCCAGCTACCCCGGTGAGGCTTAGATCGAGCGGTGCCTTATCAATGCGGTTTGCCTCTGCTGCATAGGACGGCGTTGGTGGACTACCCAGCTATGACAACATTAAATCTCGTGTCCTGTCGTTTCATAAAATTGGAATACACTCAATCTCCAACCAAAAGTCTCATCGCTTGTTGAATGCCGTAGTGTCATCGGTTCTTTCTCTAGCTGAGTGCATGCAGGCCAGCTGTGCTCACGCTTTTTAAAGTGAGGTTTTTATGTCTGAGGTGAGAAACCCCACAAATCTTACTCGGGGCATTCACTTTGAGTAGACTATCGTTTTGAATAACATTGTATGCCCAGTTGGTAAGCAGTAGCGGATCCTTCGCGCATCCAGCGCCATGCCTGTTGGTTCGGGGAGCTGGCCCCCTTCACCAACAATAAATACCCTCAACACGCCTGCTCCCATGTTCTTCCCTCCTTTCAGAGGTCTTCCTTTCTCCCAGCACATACAGCACCACGTAAATCATACTGCATTCCTGTCTCAACAACAACAACAGGATGAACCATGTCGGTCCCGCCCCAGGAAGAGACAAGCGGATTCACGCTCATTGTCACTGTCACCATTCAACCTGACAAGTACGATGAGTGGCTCAGGCACTCATGGACAATTTTCAAACATGTCACCGCCGAGCCGGACTGCCTGAGCTTCGAGATGTTCACCGTCCCGGGGGAGGCAAACAAAGTCAAATGGGTAGAATCGTGGAGCAAGAGCCTGGAGTCGGTCAAGGCTGTAAGAATTTCCCCCGTCTTAGTCGTTCCCCTCAGGCACAACCCGGCCCGACTTCAACTTCCCCAATCGACCCATTAGGCAGATTCCTCAGTATCGTCGAAGTTGAAAACAAACTTTACAAGTAGCATCAAGACGAGCTAACTGCCACTGCAGGAACAAAACAACAAGGAGTACATGAAATCTTACAAGGAGATTACCAAGCCCATGCTCATCGGAGAGCCACAATGGGAGCTCATGAAACGATTTGGGGGTGAGTGGGCGAGGGCACAAGAAGGTGTTTTTCAGAAGCCTTGATTAGCTGTTGGTTATTCTCGCAGCAGCAACCACGATTGACTAACTACGTTCCTCGATACCGGGATGTGATGTGGCATGCTACAGCTCGATTTGTGTTCCTGGGTGTACACGCCTAGGGGATACGATTTGGACTATCTTCTTGGGCAAGACTGAGCTCGTCCAAACACATCTATTGGTTCGAGAGTAAATTTCGCTCATGTCCACACATCGTGGCAACTACCGTCCTCCACCGTGAACCAGCTAACACGCTCTTCGTGCCATCTTACCAAAGCCCCCTGTCCGGCTTGTATGTACACCTTGTTTTATACAAGTGGATCTCCCATATATCGAGTGAGCTAGTATTCCGCTTAAAAACAGCTGGAGGATCGCGCTTTGTGGGCCAAGACTGAGGGACATGTTGCGGGGCACTCAACTCGTCCTGAAGTCAGCCGAGATGTAGAAGAGGGGTAAAAGCCAAAGTGAATAAAACCTCGCCGACTTAGCCGGTCGCCCATCTGAAGAAACTCAATGATGCCTTTATCGCCCCGCGTCGATTTACAAGATATCTTCCAAATCGCCGCGGAGAGACCGATTTCTACATTATATTCAGAATGGCCGCTCAATATGACGATATTGGCTCCAAATACGAAAGCTTCAAGACGCTTCCCACTTCGTTGATAGAGGAGGCGAGCCTCAAAGACACAGTTGAGCCATGGCTTGCTAAGTTCCCCAGCGCCAGAGTGCTGGACCTCGCATGTGGCACCGGATATTATTCAAAGAAACTGCTTGACTGGGGAGCAGGCTATGTCCTGGGCGTTGACTCCTCCAGTGGCATGGTGGACGCGGCCGGGGAAGCATTGCGGAAGGACGCAACGCATACTGGCAAGGTCAACTTCCGAATCGGCAACGCCCTCGACCTGGGGCAAGTCGGGCTCGAGGAACCATTCCACATCATCGTCGGGGTCTGGCTGCTCAACTATGCCAGCGACCCGGAGGAGATGACAAGCATGTATCGCACCGTCTCAGCAAACCTGAAGGACGGCGGGGTGTTCATCGCCCTAACCCCACCGCCGGCGGAGGACGTGGACGAACGCGCCGAGAGCTGGGCAGGAATGACGGCTCAGTATTTGGAGGCCATGCCTACTCGTGTGGACTATTACGAAAGGCTCCAGTCTGGACTGGGCTGGAAGACGGAGATCACCAGCCTCATAGAGGGTGCCCAGTTCAGCTTCAGGAACTTCCACCTCCGGAAGAGTGTTTACGAGGAAGCGGCCAGGAGCGGCGGCCTGAACGGAAAGTTGGAGTGGAAGGAACCAACTATCCCGGAACGAGTTGCGACGGCTACGGACGAGTTCAGCAAGATGTGTGTTAAAATTAAACGCGTGGGAATTCTCGTCGTCGAGAAATAAATTGCCTACTTAAGTACTAGTATGAGTGTGGATTGATGAGCTCTGACTCTTTTTCTCACACATTTCCCGGCATCATATCCATCTGTAGGAGAGGACGAGAACAGGACTGCAATACCCGGGCCGAGTCGGCGGTAGGCTTTCGATGGACCAGGATTTCATCCTGCAATATGCAGTTCATAAGGAACAAGGCCATGTATATTTGAGTGTTAGTCAACGAACTGCCTCGAGCAAGGCATACAGACGAGCACGGTGCTTGGCATCGGAAATCATGTCTGGGGGCTATCGGCACTTGTATGGCAGCCACACAAAGTACGCAGATGGCTCACTCCTCGCTGTTCCTGAGACAGGGGCAATAGTAACAGTCTGCTTACACAGTATTCCAAATTTGAAGCAAACCTGCTGCCAACCGTCGCCCTGGTCGCCTGCGATGACCGGAAAAGTCCAGACACCTGGATGCCGTCTCAGAACCAACAGGCCCCCCGCCGGGGAAGACGTGGACTGCATTCGAAAGACTGAAGATAGTGTTCATCAATCTGGGAAGCTTCCAGACTAGAAAACTAATAACTTGCTCTATGACCTTGACAGCCCACTGTGCTCCTTCAAACGGCCGTGGCTCGCAGGCCGAGGCCCTAAACCGTTAGTGGCGCCCGGGCCGTGCTGCAACGATGATCTCCACACTCCTCCCGGTTCTAACTGCCAGGCTTGCTTCTGACAGGCTTCTGTCTTCTAGCTTTCGAGGCTAGAAGATCGCCAGCAGCATCCGCTGTCTGGATTTACTTGCTCTTCATGGGCGGCCCTGCGGCATGATCTGCCATAATACACGTGTATGTTTCGCTGTGGCGATGCATGAGAAGGCCCCCACCAAATATCTGGCAGGTCTGCCATCCAGAGGCACCCTGGGAAAGCATATGTTGATTGGTGAGATGAACAGCACCGAGGTAATGAACTGATCCATCGGTTGAACGCCTCACCCTGTCATATGCTTAGCGTGATTGGCTGAACTCTAATTCTTGCTGCAGCTTTTCAGTCCCTGATGAGCCCTGCCGGAGATTGCAAGTGCTCGGGAAGAGCTGCCTGGTCCTGTAGCGAACTGCCTGGGCTGCCTGACTGCCTCATGGGGCGTCGATCAATATGCTTTCCAGATACTTTGATCGAGAGCCCCGTGCGAATGAGCGATGCCGAAGGCCAAGTAGCCGGGGTGGCCTCAATCTGAAAGCTCGCGCAGCACGATCACTGGTCAATTGTCAAAAAGGCTGTGGAAATCCCGCTTTCCCCATGAGTCATCGCCATCCGGGTATCACATCCGGAGCCCCAGCTTTGATGTGTTCAAGCTCTCGGCTATCTTGCCCGCGCTCGGTGGGTCGCCACTTGAGCCTTGGCCGGGCGGACACGAGAATCAACAAGAGGTCTCTGAAAATGTGATCTGTTGTACATACTATGGTACTATTCCTACTGTCGATCATAAAATTCAGAACGAGGAGGACAAAGCATCAAGGAGCATGAAGCGATGAACGTCAACTCGATCAGACTACTACGGCCACAATGGGCAAGACGTGCCGTGCCGTCTCTGACCTAGTCTATATGGGGGACCCGACCTGCTGGCTGAGACCTTCCAGAACTCAGACGGCTATTTGTAGCAATTCCTCTCGCATGAATGTACGAAGGGGCAAAAAAAGGGGGCCAAGTCGCGCACTACCGCCTAGGCGGGGTCCCTGCCCGTAATGCGAGAGGGCATTGTAAGGAGATCCCTGGCCTCGCCGCCACTGTTTTGAAGACAACCAAAGCTTCAGCCCACGCCCGCAGGGCCGGCCGAAAGCCAGGCGCGCTGTGCGCTAACTTAAGCCTCCACCTTTGTTTTCGGGGAATTCCACTCGCAGAGATGGCCGTGCGCCCACCCGCATGTGCCCATACTTTTTTGTACACAGAATACAACAGCCTACCGGCGGCTTGACCAGCCTCGCGGCTGCAAAGAAATGACTGATGACTGATGGGTCAGGGTCCAGGAGGCCGGTGCAACTTCGACTCATGATGCTACAGATACAATACCACACATCTAATCTGAGGCACCGAACGCGCGTGTCTCCGAAATCAAGGCCTTTTGGGGCATGGAAGTTGGCCGGTGCAGGATCATCCGATCGTCGTCAACAGTCGGAATAATCTGCGCAGGGTTCCCTGCCGAGGCTCTATCGCCTGCCAGCCAGGCCTTGCGCTCATTCCCTCCCCCCGGCACGCGCAATGTCGAATCAACTCTAGAAAACAAGGAAGCCCGATCTCTCGGGCGGCGAGCCAGCTCGAAGGCGGACCCCTGGGAAGCCCTGGCCAGCACTGCGTGCCGTTCCCCACTTCGGGCGGGAAGCAGTTGCATCCGCGTTTGCAAATATCCAGATGCCCATGCAAGGCGCCGCAGGATCGAACATGAACTGAGTCGTGCATGATGCCGTCCGAGACGCTCTCACTGGGCGGGACATTCCTCGGACACAGCTAGGCCGTAAACGTCATCCCAGCGCTGCTCTCTCTCTCTCTCTCTCTCTCCCGCGCTCGTGGCCCATGTGACATCCTGTGTAGTGCGTCCCCAGTCTTTTTCCTGGCCTGACTAAAATATGGGTGGCCCCCGTTCGAGCGCCGGCGATAGTTGCGTGGACTGCTCAAGCTTTCTTGTTTCCCCATAGCCAAGCATTGCCATGCCCGTACGGCCGAACACAAGCTCGACATAAAACATCCCGAGCCGGCTTGGGGGCGTCCTCTATGATCACCTGCGCCGTCACACCACTGAATACTAGGGGCAGATAACGACGGAGGATCCCCCGCTTACTGCGAGATAATACTGCCATCGAAGGCAAAATGGACAGAATGGAGATGGAGATGGCGATGAGACGGGCAATACCCACCCCGGGCGTATCTGGCGGAGGATAGGAGTTACCAGCTGGTGGGCATCTCGATCGCCTTCGCCGTCCTCACCACGGTTATCTTGGGCCTGCGATTTTATGCGAAACGATTCCAAGGGGGCGGCATCTGCGCCGATGACATGTTCCTATCTGCGGCTTATGTCGTTAACCTGGGAATGTGTGCTGTTGGGATAAGTAAGTGGTTGGATTTGCGGACACAATTCGTCTCACATGACTGGATTTACCTTTGAGAGATCTGTGGAGGGACGGTTTTACTCATACTCGGCTACAGTCATGACCAAAATCGGCGGCGTCGGTCGACACGTCGAATTCGTCGAGGAGGAGCACCCGAAACAGCTCACGGGCTGGGCGCAGTCGATCCTCGCCTTCGAGCTCATCTACTTCACCTCGGTGGCGCTGCCGAAGCTGGGCATCATCTGCCTCTACCTGCGCATTTTCAACTGGAAGGGCGCGACCCGCACCGCCGCGTGGACCCTCTTCACCCTCACCGCCATGACGTCCGTCTCGCTCGTCGTGGCCGCCTGCTTCCAGTGCACGCCGATCGCGTTTTGGTGGGACAGGACGATCCCGGGGGGACGCTGCTTCGACGTGCAGGCCTTCTTCCACGCGCAGGCTCTGCCTGGTTTCGTGCTGGACTTGGCGATCATGGCTTTGCCGATGCCGACTATCTGGCATCTTAAGATGCCGGTGGTCAAAAGGATGGCGCTGGTTGCTGTGTTTCTTGTCGCCAGTTTGTAAGCGCATGCAAATTATGACACGAAAGTGAGATATTCTCAGCTGACCATTCCGCAGCGGCATCATCGCATCCATAATCCGCGCCAGGGTTTTCTTCAGCACAGCGGCCTTCGGCGACCGCACCTTCGCATCAGTCGACCTGGTCGGCTGGTCCATCATCGAGACGAGCGTCTACATCATCACGGGGTGCCTCCCGCACCTGCGCGCGCTCGTGTCGCACTACACGCCCGCGTCGATCAAGCAGGCCATCAGGAACACGCTCAGCTCCGCGACCACGCGGTACGGCAAGTCGAAGGGCGGCACCTCGGGCTTCTCGGGCTCCAAGTCGTACACGCAGAGCAAGAAGGGCAACACGGTCCAGGTGCACGCGCTCGACGACGACGCCATCGAGCTCACGCGGCAGAACAACAACTGGAACCGGCTGTCGGGCGGCGAAGAGGACCTCGAGCGCGGCGGCGGCGGCGGGCCCCCCAGGACGGGGATGAGCGTGCGCAGCGGCGACACGTGGCTGCAGGACGCGTCGCCGACTGTGAACGTGCGGAGCTCGCAGGATGTGTTCCAGTCGCGGGATCGGCTTGGGACCCCGAACGATGGCCAGATCACCGTGACGACGGAGGTGAGGCTGACGAGGGATTAGAGAGCCTCGTGTTACGCAGGACAGCCGAAGAGTTTAAATTTATTTCTTCGCCATAGCAGATACAAATCCGTTAATTTGAGATACCACTTTGTTCGTACAATATCTCTTCTATTGTGTGACTGTCTTGCACCAGTGGAAAACACTTTTTGTGCCTCTAATTGGCATAGACTACATGCATCTTTGAGTTCCTCTGTTAGTATGCCGAAACGACTTATGACTGATACTGTCGCAACCTAATATCTTCGAAAACCGTTGAGTGACAGACTTGCTGAACCTCTTCCATATCCAGGTCCTTCTCCAATTTCGTTGAACTTGTCCATTGCATTTCAATTGACCAATGACACGGACCAGAAAAGAGGGTGGTCAAGTGATGAGGCCGGCGAGCAGCATTTTACATCCGTGGAGTATTCACAACCCAGTAAGGTTTCCAATTACCATCTTCAGCCATTAATTGCTTACATTACTACTTACGACATTTTGGAATCCTGCGGTCAAATATTCCGCCGGATTTGCAGTCCTCCGCGACGGCTCCGTCCTCGGAGGCGCAAGGGCGCGTCGACAAAACGCGGACTATGACATTGCCGGCCCACTCCCAGGCTTATTAGTACAAGCGCCTGGGCGCCAAAGGACCAACGACGCCGAATCCAGACAAGACGTCCTTCCGTGCAGAGCACCAGCCCAATCTATTGACATTTTTAACTGTTTTGAACAAACGCATTTTATCAAGAGCCTCGAAGAACAAAAGCAACAGCCACATGGCGCAAAACGACCCCAACTGGCGCCCCAAGGCCATCGTCTTCGACCTCCTCACAGCACTCCTCGACTCGTGGAGCCTCTGGGACGCCTCGACCCCGTCAAAGACGCCCGAGGAGGGCCGCCGCTGGCGCAAGCAGTACCTCGAGCTGACCTTTGGCGCCGGCGCCTACGGCGCGTCGCCGTCGGCCGCGTACGAGAGCCTCGTGGAGCAGTCGGCCCGCGACGCCGGGGTCCCGGACCCGGCGCCGGCCGCCCTCCTCCGGGACTGGGGGAACCTGCAGGCGTGGCCCGAGGTCGCGCGGGTGCTGGGGGGGCTGCGGGGGGAGGGGTACAGGCTGGGAGTGGTGACGAACTGCTCGGCGGAGCTGGGGCGTGCCGCCGTGCGGAGGGCGGAGGGGTGTGTGGGCGGCGGGTTCGAGTTTGATGCTGCTGTCACGGCGGAGGAGAGTGGGTTTTATAAGCCCGTCAGGGCGGCGTACGAGGCTGTCCTTCCCAAGCTTGGTGTCACTGCGGATGAGGTCCTTTTTGTTGCGGGTAGTGCCGGGGATGTTCAAGGTGCTACGGACGCTGGGATGAGGGTTGTCTGGCATAATCGGGTTGGATTGGCTAGGAAGGGTGATGCGATTGCGGTGAGGGAGGGCAAGACGTTGGATGAAGCTCTGCGTGGGTTTTTGTAATGAGCACTAGATCCGATAGTGGCAATCTCATGCTTGTCTGTCTTTCGTTTCAATGTTTCTGTCTAGAGTACCCACTATCGGGCGCCTATGGAGGCACGGAGCGCGTAGAGCGCATCTTCGTCCTTGCGTCGGGCCTCCTCGCAGCGCTGATATCCATCCTCAAAGTCGTTGACAAGGGCGTCCTTGAAGTCCCGCTCGACCCAAGGGGAAGACCCCAGGGCTGCCTGGAAGTGGACATACTGGAGCACACATTCTCGCCTCTGACTCATACCAACCCCGTCTTTGATGATGTCCTGGCCGTGTTTATGGAGGTCGTCTATAGAAACCTTGTCATAGTTTAGGTGCATGGTATCCTCATTCCGGTGCTTCGCCAGCATATACGCGCCGTCGACCACCCGAGTGCGAGACGCCGTCTGCGCCATTGCCACATCCGTGCTGAGCTCTCCGAGCCAGTCACCGTTGCCCATTTTGAAGACTTTCAAAGACGGCATCTCTTGGCGCCATTGTTGCAGGACAGTGCTCCATCGGAGGTCAACGTCGACAGTAACGGGATCCCCGTTGATAGAGGGAGGGCTTCCATCCTCCGCCGCGATGGCCTCTTTGTGCGGGAACCCTTCGCCGTCTACTGGACCAAAGACGCGCGCGCGCCACATTATCGGGCAATTATCCAGGTAGAGTTCCTCGAGGCCACCTCTGCCATTGTCTGAGCCAAGCTGTGCTACCCAGTCGACTTGCCACTGGTGGCTGAAGACGAATGTCCCAAGGGCCAGCGTCCTGAGGTTGGAAAATCCTCCGGCGCCAGAAATCCCCTTGCTCAGCACTCTGAAGTCCATCTTGGGACTCCAGCCCCAGTAGTCATTGGCGAACAGAGATAGCGTGCGCAAGCGGTCGGCAATCGGAGGTGACAGCCAGGTCGAAGGCAAATTCTCGAAGAAGCCGTATCTGTTGTGTATTGTGAAAGGAACCATGGATTCGCCGTCGTACTTCACGGAATTGGTTAAAAGCTGCAGTTTTGACAATGATTGGGTTTCAAGGAAACGCGTCATCGCAGCAGAAGACATCAAGTACTCAGAGTCTTTTTCCGAGAGGTTAGATATCGTCAAGGTCGTGAGATTGATAGCCTTCTTAGGAAAGCTTTGCACTGTGTCGAAGAACTCCGGCTCACCTTGGAGGCTGGTGGCCAACGAGAGATTTGCCAGAGCCTCCGCCCTGGGCTCCGACCATCTGTGCCAGCGACGCTCCCATAGACCTTGGGCCTCCTTTGTCCAGGACCCAGAGATACATCGCAGCACAGTCTCCGTGTATATGGTTGTGAACAGAATCGGGAGAAAGCGTCGGTCTCTCACCACTCCAGCATCATCAACCCTCCCGAGCCCTGAATATCCATCATGGCCCTTTGTGCACCGGCCGTACCTCAAGTTCAACGTTCTCAGCCCGCTGAAATGCCTCACGAGCGGAAGCGCCATGAGTGTCCGTCGGTGTTGCTTGAGCCGGGCGCCATATTCGGCCGCATCGCTTGTTGGAAGTTTTCCTTGCGAAAAGTCCAATGTGAGCTCTCGTACGAAAGGTCTCAGCCTCTCGGACCTGGCGACGTTTAGGAACGGGTCGACATCGCAGCCGCGCTCGAGACGCACAGATCGGAAAGCGAGCGCCCTTGCCAGGGGTTCGACCTCTCGGCCGAGGAAGCGGCATTGAACAAGCGTTTCCTGCGGGAGGAATGAGAAGATATGGCGGAGGACATCGTCCGGGACGTCGGCCATGTTGAGGGTGATGATTCTGCGTAGCTAATTGAGGGGAAAGATCGTATGGCGAATACTCCCGCTCGTGAAGAGGAATGCGTGCGCCTTCACAGTCAATTGATGTGATGATGGAACGGTATCACACCTAGCCGAGAATTCGTTTGCTGAGGTGCAGCTGTGAGGTGGAGCATAGAAGAGGCAGCAGCAGCTGAGGCTCAGTGAGTGGGTTTAGGCAGAACCGTTTGGGGGGGAATCTTACGTCACCTCATGTAGACTTACTTTCACAACTGCATTTTCCCAATTCGGATCCAGTTGAAAAAGTGATCAGATATTTGCATCGCCCAATATTGGTCGAGTCGTATTATGGCATCAATTATGTTACAATCTCTCCGGCGGCCGTTGCGATTGCCTCCGACTATGTACCTCCTTTACCTCTTCCGGGTGCCACCACCGAACAAACGGAGCGTCCGGGTTTCCTTGCGTATACCTAGCCGGGTAGACGACAACTTCCTGTGGTATTTCCTTCACTTGGGCAAGTGTATGTGTCGTGCCCGAGCCCGAGCCCGAGCCCGAGCCCGAGCCCGAACCAGTGCCCACGCGCGTGCCTGAGCTATTCTTCTCGGCGGTTTGGGGCCCAATTTTGTTTCCGTCGTGATATTCATCGTCGCTCTTCATGTCCCCCACCGTGCCAAACACCCTGTCCAGCGTGTCGTCCCACTCCTTCTGGGCTTCAGGCGTCAGCGTGAATGTGCCGTGTCTGTGCCGGGCTTTCACGAAGTCAACGAGCTGTGTGAGGATGCTTGCTTCGATCTTTAGCTTGACGCTGTAGGCGAAGGGCTTGTAGCTGATCTGGAACAGAAACAGACCAGTATACTGCAAGCCGATGATTGTGACGTCGAGGGCGATGACTATGATGTTGACGATGAGCAAGTGAATGAACATCTTCTGCACGTCACGCCGGCCCCTGTCGCTGCTGAAGCCTGTCTCATTCCCTTCGCGGGCCACGAGAAATTTAAAACACCTCCACAGGTACAGTGAGCTGAGGACGACTTCCTGTACAAAGAACACAACGACCTGTATCCTTTCGATGATCTGATAGGGCCTGACCCATGCGTGTTGGTCGGGATGGCTGGTCTGGCTGCCGACGGTGAGAGTCAAAGTGGGAATTTGGAGAAACACAATCGTAAAGATGATTTCGGCAAGGATCCATTTCCTCAGCGTCCTCGACAGGCGAAGTAGATGAAGCCGGCTGAAGAGAACCAGGCTTTGTCCGCTGACCATTGGCACCCAGCCGAAAGCCGCCATGAAGGCCGGTGGGAATTTGTTGTCCACGCCGATGTCGAAGATGAGAAAGAGAAAGCCGATAGCGGAAAAGATGACACCCAGCGTGGAAAACACCATGCTCCAGAAGTACAGCCCGGAGTATCGTTTGAAGGTCAGCAGGACGATGGGCACCATCTCGAGGCTGTTCCACAGCGCGCAGCCCAGCAGTGCCACCATTGTGTACCGCTGCGCGGGGTCGATGGCCTCGATGTTGATGGCGCCGCTGCCGACGCCCTGGTCGCGGGTTGCGAGGACGCGCACATCTTGCGATAGGAGGAAGGATGTTGGATTCATTGTGCCATCGCGGCGGCTTTGGGTCGTGTTACCACCTCGTTGCCAGCGGTTGTGCAGCGGGTGTCGCTGCTGCTTCGGCTTTGCGTGGAGTTGGCTCAGCAGTGGTGTGACAGGCTACCACGAGCGGATAAGTGATGAGAAACGAGGGCCCAATCCGTGTGTCTGGCAATGGTATTTGCTAGCAACTGCGTGCTATGCTAAAACATACCACGCAGTGAAGAAGTGGTGGATGTAAAGGATGGCTGTCATGTCGGAAGCCGTTCTTGATTCTGGACCCCTCTGCTGCACGACATGAGCGGTTCACCCGGCAGAAGAATCTGCCTGAGCATCTGCCACCACTGTTGCATTCTCTGCCTCCGGCGTTAACCTGCCCTGGGCATAAATGTTACTTGACACAGTGCTAGCAGGGTTAAGGGGAGGGGGCTGGCACCAGGAAGTCGCCGGATATTACCACGCTGTGGTATTCCAGGGGATGGGTACCCAATTAGATGTTTTTAGTCATTCACCAGTACTACAGTATCAGAATAAGCTTTCGCTTCTGGGCAGGGCCTCCCAAGGTGCGCCAATGTCCAGCCTTTCCAAAATGCCGGACACGTTGTGATGAACGTAACAACGCGGCTTACTGCAGCCGATTCAGCTGAAACCTTGTTTGTGTCATGCTCTTCCTGCAAGAAGCTCGATACGACCACACAAGACTGACTCTATATTGCACCTAAAAGCCGACAAGGCAAACTTCTCCCTGAAAAGCCGGCCAAATCAGAGGCGACTTTGATATTGAATTGCAAATGGCTATTTCGAGACCACAGTTCGGCATGCAATAATCCACAGTGCACATGCTTTGCCACACAGGTCGTCTGTTTGCGCTCAAACATACGTGGCTAAAAGCACGCTGAACTCCAGGAAGGATCTGCGGCTAAGACGCTGGACAGAACATATGAACCACGTTAGGTTGCAGAAATGGCCGAACGCAACATCGATTACAGTCCAGACGGTTCGATACCGATTCGATTCACCGAGCTATGCGACCTAAGCACGCGATAGCTCAGCCGTTCTACCCAATTAGCGGCCCAGCAGGAAGCCGACCATCTAATGCATTTTAACGCTCTCATTCGCCCGCAGATTCGGAGGCGTTCCTACCACTACGTTCTAGTGTTCTAGAAATCCCCAGCACAAGCGGAGATGGCTGGCCCCAACCCCGCCCACGACCCGTTGCGGGCGGGCCAGAGAAGCGGTCTGGTTGTTTCGCACGGGTCGGCTCACAGGTGGCACCCGCGGCACACGGAAACCTTATTTTGACGGTTGCCGAAAGCAAACAACGCGCAATACGCAAACACGCAAGACACACGCGGGCACATTACTCGCATTTCACGAGGCGGCCCACAGCCCGGCAGCCTTTTTCACAACCCAATTTGAGGACTAATTTGGGAGTCGCGGCGAGGCCATGGCGCACGCTGATGCGAGATCCGTGGTCGATGGAGAGGTCGACTCTCAGCTCGAACATCTCCGCTTCATCAATGACGAGGTGGGTCCTCCTCCTGCCGCCACCTCCTCACCAGGCACTCTGAGGTAATGCCTGGTCACTGCGTCAACGAGCAGGTCTATTAGAAGCGCCAGAGTATCGTATGAAAATGCCATGAGCTTACAGACTGCCCGTAGATTCATTCAAACCCAGAGTTGGCCTACGAGGAACATAAGGCCCACGACACCTTCGTCAAGCTCCTGAACAAGCTTGGCTACACCGTTGTTCCACGCGCATTCGGCCTCGAGACGGCCTTCTCAGCCGAATACGGCTCAGGCGGGAGACTCGTCATCTTCAACGCCGAATATGACGCCCTGCCGGGAATCGGCCACGCCTGCGGGCACAACCTGATCTCCTCCTCCAGCCTGGCCGCCTTCCTCGGCACAGCCGCCGCACTGCGGGACTCCAAGTCCCCAGGGCGAGTCCGGCTGCTCGGCACGCCGGCGGAGGAAGGCGGCGGCGGCAAGCTGAAGCTGATCGAGGCGGGCGCGTACAAAGACTGCGCCGCCAGCCTGATGGTCCACCCGGGCCCGGGCTACCGGCTCACCTCCCCGGTCCGCGGCGTCTCGTACGTGCCGATGCTCGCCAACATCAAGAAGGTGGTCCACTTCACCGGCAGGGAGTCACACGCCGCCATGGCGCCCTGGGAGGGCGCCAACGCCCTCGACGCAGTGTGCCTCTCGTACAACGCCATCGCCATGCTGCGGCAGCAGATCCGGCCGTCCGAGCGCATCCACGGCGTCTTCCGGCGGGCGGGCGACAGGCCCAACGTCATCCCCGCGCACTGCACCGTCGAGTACTACGTGCGCAGCGACACCAGGGTGCACGCGGAGGCGCTGTGGCTGCGGGTGCTGCGGTGCTTCGAGGGGGCGGCGCATGCGACGGGCTGCGGATACGAGGTCGAGACGCTCAACTCGTACGCCGACGTGAGGGCGAGCAGGAGGCTGTGCGAGGCGTACGTGGAGGCTATGCCTTCGGGCACCGTCCACCCTAGCGAGCCGAGCGATTTCCTTGCTGGCAGCACGGATATGGGTGATGTCTGCTATGAGTGCCCGGGGTTCCACGGGGCGTTTGGGATAAATACCAGGGTGGGTGAGGGGAACCACACGAAGGGCTTTGCCGCTGCGGCCGGGACACAGGAGTCGTTTGACAGGGCTGTGGAGTGTGGGAAGGGGATGGCTCTCGTTGGGTGGAGGATTTTGAGTGATGACGTTTTCGCCAATGATGTCCTTAAGCAATGGAAAGAGGACATGAAGAACGCAGCCGAGGGCAACTGATAAACTGGTTCAGTTATCGTAGCTGTCTCGCCACGCAAAGTACGTGTTGGTCTCGCAGTTTCCAGCACAACTTGTAATTCAAAGTTGACCAAATCGAGGAGTAACGGCATGTAACAATCATCTTTGCTTTCTAACAATCTTTCAAAAGCGTTCACAGGTAACCCCTGCACTCGTCCTCGACGCACTTCTTCAGTTTCTGATACAGCGTTTGCTCTATCTTAAGCTCATCGAAGTCTTCCATCTAGACGCGCTCCGACGGCGAGAACAGGTGCAGCCTGCCTTCGAAGCTGCCAGGATTAGTCTCTCCGAAGAATTGCTCATCAATATGACTTCCAAAACAAGGGATTGAATGCCCGTCCCTTGCGAGCAGCGTAGTTAATACAATGCCTCCCGTCCCTCCAGTTCTTCCTCATCCGATGCGACCGCTTGGGCGTTGCCTTTGGCCGGTTAGGTCTCGTTCCTATGCATAGTTACGGATATAAGTCAGTATTGTCAGAACAAAGTGAATACAGCTAGGCTCATTTGTCCACATCAGTACGGGTTGTCAGGATGCGTTGTCAGAGGCGAAGAATGGCATTGCTCAACTCTCAGCTGAGAGTGACTTAAACATGGGGAGCCTGAGGAGACCAACAATGGACTCAACCCTGATTTGGTGGTCAAATCATTTGGCACCGTGCGCTTATATTTCGCATCTCAAATTTGTCACTCATTTGCTTTCTCATGTGATAAAATACTTTCAAGTTTCCATCAGGAAGAATCTCATCACATCATTTGCTATCAACAGGCCATATCTCCCTAGCCCAAGCCTGGCTATGAACCCACCAAAGCTTTCATTGAGCTCAATGATGATCATGATTGCAACCATAACCAAACGCAGCTCTGGCAAGCTTCGCCTTGCTCAAGGGCCTCGGTGCCGGCAGAGGCTTCTTCTCATTCCTCCTGACAACATCTCCGGTCTCGAGATCCCGCTTCTTAACACTGGCATCATAGATCAGGTTCAACCAGTTCCCCAGGCGATAACCGCCCTTGGCAATCTGAAGCTCGATGGTGGGGATGACCGAGTCGTAGTATGTAGGGTACAGATCACTCATAGCCGTCAGGGCCGCAGCGCCGTCGGGCATCACGACGGTGCAGACGTAGGCGTTGGCATCGGTGGCCCAGGCTGTTGCAGTGTCTATCGCCGCGCTCACGCTGTCGCCCGAGGTCCAGCTTGCCGCCTGGGACTTGTAGACGCCCGAGTTGATCTCCGCGGTGAGGTTGGTGGCCCAGGTCTTGGCATACGTGAGGCCGGACCCGCCGACGAGCGTCTGGGGCAGGTACGTGTCCCAGTCGGCGTGCAGGTTGTCCGTGTAGCCCTGGTACTTGACGGAGACGCCGTTGGCCCCCCTTTCGTACGCCTCGTCGTGCAGGGGCTGCGTGATGTCCCCGGTGAAGTGGACCAGGAACTTGAGGGCCTCGGCGACGTTCGCGGCGGAGAGGCGGCCGTCGCCGACCCGCTGGGTGTAGTTGGCGATGGCGGAGACGGAGCAGCCCGTCGAGCCGCAGTCCCGGTCGTAGTCCACGTTGCAGGAGCTGGGCGGGTTGTCCTCTGCGTCGATGAAGTGCAGAGGGGCGGACCACGCGCCGGCGTTCGTTGCGCGGTAGCTGTCGGCCCAGGAGGCGACGTTGGCCAGGTACGAATCCGAGGTGTCAGCGAGCACACCTTGAGCCCTGTAAAAACAGTATAGGGTTAGTTGGAATACTGCCGCGAAGGTATGGCCTTTTCATAATTGGACGTACCAAGACGCTACTTCGTCAGTAACATAGTTCTGGGCGATGTAGGCGATCGTAGCATGCCCAAGCGCACCCCACGCCCTCACGCCTTGCAAGGCTGCGAGGGTGAGAAGTATGGTTGAGGCCATCCTGGAAGAATTTGTAGGCTACTGCTGCGGCTCAGGGCCAGCGTGGGATCAAGAAGGCCAAGACGGGTGCGGGTAGAACCGTGATGATTGCCGTGGTTGACGGACAGGTTGCATGTCTTGGCAGGGCAAGTGGATTATCTATATAGATTTTTACTGACAGTACTTTCGTTACCACTCGTGCCACTGTCCTTATCACGTCCATCACGGGTGAGATTGAATGGACAGAAGCATAATGCCGGGGTGGATGCCCCAGTCACAGTCACCTACCCGATATGGACAGCGGCTAGCAAGCACTTCCTTGCCACGCGCCTAGCTGTCCGCTAGTCAAGTGGAGATTCAGGGGAGGGTATGCCCGAAATGTGGACTGCACAGATAACCGCGCAGCAGAGATATTGGGGTCCCGCGAATGAATTGTCCACGTGCCGATAGTTGATGGGCATGCAACCCCGAACGGAGATTCCAGGAGCGGGATTCGGTGAGGAGATTGGGCAGGCTTAAAATTCATCGCACCCTCTCAGCATCATGCGGCCGATGTGTGCCAGTTACAATCCTATCTACGAGAGCGGTACCAGAACTGTTGGAGCTGTCCTCTTGAACCAACCCTGTGTACGACATCCACGCGCTAGCGGGAGGCATGAAAAACGGCCGATCGCTCATGACGAGCCATGTCAATCGAATCCACGCAGAGCGTTATTGCTGATTTGACAGTCCCGTGAGCTGAATCCGGAACGGCAAGCTTTTGAAGTGAACCTCAACTCACTAGGAGTCACAAATAACAGGCGACTAGTAATTCCAAAGACACGCCCAGCAATGCATCTATGCCCCGCTTCAGTGCCCCTGCCACATTAGTGGCGATAAGACAGGAGTATATTAGCACCTATCTAGCTAAGTGGTCAGGAAGAGGTAGTCACGCAATTGATCAATGACGGGACAGCCCGCCTGCAAAGAAAACTATGTTGTTCACTTATATCAGTTGAGTGTTTGTACATGCAATCAGTTATCACAGCTGATACATGATTGGTCCACGCGGTGTGAAATCTCTATGAGCCGACCAAAGACCCCCCCCCCATTCTCTCCGTCTTTCTCAATCACTTCAAGCTGCCCCGGAAGTCTTCCTCTCTTTCTCCGCCTTCTCTTTCATGGCTCTCTGGCAGGCGTCTAGGCTGGAAGGTATGCTCCAATTGAAGCAAAGCTTGACGTTCTTTGGGTGATACCTCAACTTCCCAACCAGCTGCTCGAGGAAGATGGCGATGCTTGGAGCTGGGTGGCCACGCAGCCCAAAGCCGATGATAACCCCGTCCACATGTTCCGCCTCGTCGAGCTTGTCAAGGGTTGCGCTGCAGCCCAGCCTCGGGGAGACCAAAGTCACTTGAAGACCGTCAGTTAGTCCATACCAGAAAATGAAATCTGCAATTCCCTTCTTGAGGACATACAATCAAAGTCAAAGCCGTTATCGTTGAGAGATTTCTGCAATCTTTTCGATCCCCTCGCGAGCTTCTTCCGCCTCCATATGGAATACCTGCTTAATCTCGAAGTCTCGCTGGGCCATGCCATCAGCTGGCAGAGCAGAGATGATAAAGTAGGGCCTGCGACCGGTCGACATGTTTGAGATTGGCTCTGGGAAATTGAATCTTCGCTTTCTTATAGGGAAATTTGCTGCAGAGCTTAACTATTTGTCTGCGCTGAGCGCATCCAACCTACTTCTTTTGTATCTTACCTAGAAATGTTCGGCCCCACCTGGGATCGCAGCGAAGTTATAGGAGGAAATGTAGTGCTTCCGCCGACCTGACCTAGCGCCAGTTCCGTAGACCCAGCTCGGTGAAGATCACTGTCCGTAGGCTCAAACTGATCCGTCGTTGTGGTTCATTCGAATTGTTTTGATTCTGTTCGCATGTGCTTAGAGACGACGGCAGTCCAAAAAGCAAGCGAGCTTGACGACTTCAGCGTACGTTTCCACATTTGGGCTCTCGGGTGTAATGAGGAATGGTTGCGACCATGGCAAAAGGCTGCAATACGTACGTCCAAATGATGGCGATCAGGACGATCAACCAGCTCAAACCGCAATACGTATTCTGACAATATCGCGAGATGCCCATGAAAGTGATGATAACAACCACAAACCAGAAAAGAATCTCCATTGTATTCAGAATCTGGTACGCCTTGAGACTTTGCCAACGCCGAAACTTGGCGAAATGAGTTGTCGTGAGTTGGTACGTGAGTACCACAAAGTTTTGATGCCCTATCACAATTACATCAGCCCTTCGCCGGTGGTACCTGTGGGAGAGCGCGGAGGTCCAACATACCATCACTATCCCGAGCGTGTCGGATCTTGTCACAGGCATACCACTTGGCTTGATAGCGACACGTGCACCAGTGAGGCTGATCACGACGACGACCAGTATCATTTGAATGAAGTGCATCTTGTGCTTGAAAGATGGGTTGAATAACGCACTGTGAAAAAAGTCCGAAATTCTTTGAAGATAACTGCGGAGGCGATCCATGATGTTGTTGTGTGTTGAATGTTTAGTCGGGCTTGCAAAGTAGCGTGGAGACGCTGGCTCTGGCGTTTTGCTGGAAATATAAGGAATGATGGGCAGGAACGGTTGATATTTGCAAGACAGCAAGAACTTTTAAAACAATTCTCACAGCCACGATTGTGAATAAACACTAGTGAGCTGCTTACAAGCCATTCAATGTGTGCGGTGTTATTCTCAACTTGTCACAAGAAAGTTGCTGCAGGCCGCTTATACGAGTTAATACGAGACACCCTTTCATCGAGCTTTGTACTGAGCTTTTCATAAGGGGGAGCGGCCACTAGCCAATTAGAGACGAGCTAATACGAGATGCGGGTACCCAGCCGCTCAGCCGCTGTGCAAAGGCTTTCCGACTTTGTCCAAGGGGAGTATCCCCCAGCCAATCACGACCGAGTCAATACGGCAACACATGTGCACCATCGAGCCAAGCCACAACTTGCGTGCGCTTGCTTATAAGCCATCGGGCTCTTGCCGGTCGATATTTAGGGGTCGAGACGTATATCTTGACCTCCGCGAGACGTCTCTAAAGCAATAAATTTGTACTCCAGGCCTTCAGGATCGCTTTATTCATGTCAGCCAAAACCATGGACGATCGGCAATCGGCGGGGGAGTCTCATATCGACCCGCCGCCTTCCTACCTTTATGCCCTCGAGCAAGGGGAGCGGAATGGCGAAACTTGTACAGGTACGGGCTGCACTTGAAGAACTTATTGTAATTTGCTCACATTATATCAGATGGTAGGGTCAACGTTGATCCAGGTTCACGCCTCGTCAAGTCTCTTTCGTTATTTGTACCAGACTGGAAATTTCCCGAAGGACCTGAAGCATCTCAATCAGCCGCTTCGGGCTCGGAAGAGCCGCCAGCATACAGCCCACTTGCTCCCACACCAAGTGCCGCGAACGCGAAAGAAGGATGGTCATTTCCTCTGAACATCGTGATACAGGTTGTCGGTAGTCGTGGCGACGTACAACCTTTTATTGCGCTTGGGAACGAGCTTCAAAGATATGGCCACCGCGTTCGGCTTGCTACGCATAATGTGTTTGAGGCATTTGTGACCAGCTGCAATCTCGAGTTCTTCCCCATTGGAGGCGACCCGGCAGAGCTAATGGCTTATATGGTCAGTAACCACTCCCCGAGGCTGTGTGACGACGGAGCTTGGCAGTGAAGCTGTTTACTAAATCTGCCACCACAGGTCAAGAACCCAGGGCTTCTCCCAGGCATGAAGACTTTACTCTCCGGGGAGATTGGTACAAAGCGGGACATGGTTGCAAGTATTCTCGACGGCTGCTGGAAATCATGCATAGAACCTGACGGGAAAACCGGACGGCCTTTCGTTGCAGACGCCATTATCGCCAACCCGCAGATCAGCGAGGATACGCGACAAAATCTAAACTGGGTGTCGTTTGCGTTTGTCGAGTGGATGACTTGGCAAGGGTTGGTTCAGTTATTCAGCATCGTGTTTCCATATTGCCCCTGCTGACATTGTTCTGACTAGTATCGGGGACCTTGTCAATGATTGGCGACGCACCCTTGATCTCGAACCGGTGCCGTTCACAGAGGGCCCGTTACTTGCTGAGAAACTCCGCATTCCGACAACCTACTGCTGGTCGCCAGCCTTGATACCAACACCTGTCAACTGGCCAGACTTCATGGGTTCGTCTGCAAGCTCATATATACTCTCTTTTCATGGAAACTTGCACTCTTTCAGACGTCTGTGGATTCTTCTTCCGCGAAAAACCACAAGATGCTCCTCCCCCTGAGCTTGCAAAGTTTCTCGATGACGGGTCCCCTCCCATCTACGTCGGATGTGGCAGCATTGTCATTGATGACCCAGAAAGGCTGACCGAGATGATCCTCGGGGCGGCGGAGGCGATCGGCGCACGACTCATAGTCTCCCGGGGCTGGAGCAAACCAGGAGCTTCTCGTGACAGCAATGACCGTGTGATTTTCATCGACGGCTGCCCTCATGAGTGGCTCTTCCAGCACGTGGCTGCAGTGGTTCACCATGGTGGTGCTGGCACTGCGGCATGTGGCCTTCGCTTTGCCAAGCCGACTTTCATCGTGCCATTCTTTGGGGAGTACGTATGCGTTGAAAACCTTGTTTAGATACAGAGTGCTGATGTCTCACTGCCGTGTAGCCAATTCTTCTGGGGTGAAATAGTTGCGCGTGCGCGCGCCGTGCCGAATGCTATTCGGCACAAAGACCTGAACTTAGAGAAACTTGACCGAGGCCTTGAGCTATTGTATGTCTCCTGAGGCATTGAGAGCGGCTCTCGCCATATCAGACAAGATGAAAGGTGATTCCGGTGTGAAGGCAGCTGCACGCAGCTTTCACAGACACCTCCCAGCGGAAAAGATGCGATGTCAGGCTGCCGACGATAAGGTAACTACGTGGGCCTACTTCAAACATGGCAAGCGAGTGCTTCTGTCCAACTTCGCTGCAGAGATACTAGCACGCCATTTAAGAATTAACAAGAAAAAGCTGAAGCAGTAAGTACCTGTTGTCTCATAAGTTAGGGTCTGCACATTCGGCCCACCCCCTAATTCAGCCCACCAAAATGATCCTCCTTGCTACATCACCCCTTTAATTAAAGTTACTTTAAATTATTATTACCACCTATAATAATGCATTCCTCTGCATTTATAATATCTTTAAAAGCATTTATTTTTGCTAAGTTATTCTTAATTACGTTAACGTTAATTTATACCTTATATATATGCTTAATTTTAATAAATATAAAATTTAAGCTTATTTTAACCTTTCTTTTTTTTTAAGGTATTATAATTGCTAATTTATCTTTAAAAATTTATTTTTTTTATAAAAGCATTATTAATTATTAATTTTTTTTATTATATTTTTTTTAAACCTTTTTAAAAAGTAATTATTAAGTTATAATTAAGTATTTTTATAAATTATAATTAGCAAAAGTAACTTATATTTTTTAAAATGCTTTAAAAGTTAAAAAAAAAAAACCCTTTTTTATGGCTTAATAAATATTAAAATAATTAATTTAAATTTTTTAATTTTTATAGTATTATTAAAAATAAATATAAATATTATTTTATTAAAGTTTTTAAGCATAATTATATTTATTAATAGTTTAGCTATATTAATTAATTATAAATTAATTTCTTATTACTTAAAAAATATATATATTTTTTTTAAGTATTATAAATTTTATTTTTTTAATAGCAATAAAGGAATAATTACTTTTTAATATAAGTATTATTAATATAAAGATTTAAAAAACCTGCTTCTTTTTTATATATTACTTTAAGGTTAAAAAATATCCTTAAATTAAAAGGTTATAGTATATATAAAGTATATAACGGTAAATAAAGGTAATAAATTTTATATAAAAAGCATTTTTATATAAACTTTAAAATATAATAGCTTTTATGCCTATTTATTATTAATAAATATTACTTTTTAAGGGCATTTAGCTTTATTTAAGGAATAAAGATTTTTTATAGCTATTGTGGGAATAATGAGTGTTGTTTGTATGGAGGATTGTTTGGGATTAGGCAGCTTTAGCCCATTAGGATACCTAGTAGGCAGCAGCCCTAGCGTTATATATAAAATAGCTAATATAGTTAGGCCTTTTACCTTCCTTCCTTTTATAATTAATAATAATTAATTATTATATTAACTAAATATTATATTATAATATATAACTTAGTTAATATTAATTAATGGTTATAAGGGTAATTATAAATTAACAAGGCTTAAAGAAATAATCTTTTAATTATATTAATTAGCATTATTAATATTATAAATTTATATAATATAGTTTATAATAATAATAATACTTAATATATAAAGAAATAATTATTATAACAAGAAATCACAGCGGATTTCCTTACCCTTAATATATGCATATTTATTATACCTTAAATAACCTTAATAATAACTTTTAAATTTAATAATTATAATTAAAAAAACTAAATTAATATTTATTCTTATTAATAATATATTTACTTATAACTTATTATATAAATAAATATAAAAAAAGGAATTAATTTACCTTTTAATAGCTAAGTTATAAAACTAATTCTTAATTTCTTTATTTTCTCTTAATACTATTTATTTCCTCTTTTTATTATTCTCTTTTTTAAATTAAATATATCCTTATTATTATTTTATTAAAATAATAAGAAATAATAATAATATAGCAAATATAATAAGCAATATTATTAATTAAAATAGTTTATTAATATTAATTATAATAAATTATATTTTTATACTTAAAAGCATTATTAAAATACTTAATTTTTTAATATAAATAAATCCCTTAAGATTTCTTAATAATAAATAATACTTAAATATTTATATTTAAGGCTAAATTTAAGCTATAGCATATATATTAAGTAATAAGGCATATAAAGCATTTATTAAGGACTTTTATAGCTAAACTAAGCTAATATTTATATAAGTTAATAAAGACTTACTATATATTATTAAGAAAACTTTTTAAGTTAAGGGCATTTATACTTAAAAAGTAAATACCTTAAGAAAATTAATATATATTCTTAAAGCATTAAACTATTTTAAATAATTAATAAATTAAAAATAAAAATATTACATTATATTTAAGATTAATTAAATTTAAAGCTATAATTTAAATATTTATATTATTTTTAATTTTAATTATACCTTAATAAAAGCTAAGGAATTACTTAATAATAATAATTCTTTTAATTTTAAATTACTTAAATCGCTTAGCTTATTTAATAATAATAGTAAAAATAATAATAACCCTTTAAAACTTCTTAATTTATTAAAAAAAAGTAATAACCTTTTTTTAGTTAATAATTTTTATATAATATATAATTATTATACTTTCTTGCCTTTAATAAAAATAAAGAACTTTTTACTTAATTTAAATATAATAATTAACTTAAGTAAATATTATTATAAAGATAAAATATTTATTAAAGAATTATATAATATTTTTAATAATAAGATCTTTTTTTTATAAGGCTTACGGTAACTTATAAATATAACCTTAATAGTTTAAAGTAGCTTTTTTATATATACTTAAGAAATTAATAAAGATATATTATACTTAAGTTATTAATTAAGAAACTTTATTTACTTAAGCATATAAAAAACTTAAGAATTGCTTTAATATAAATAATAATTATTATAATTATTTTATAAATTAAAATACTTTAACTTTCTTTACTTTTTAATAAAAAAACTTAAATAAGAATTATATAAATATTCTTTAAATACTTATTAATAAAATATAGCTTTATTATAAAGCATTTAAGTATATTACTTATAAAGATAGCTCTTTATAAAATATAATTTTATAAGTAATATAAGGCATTCTTAAGTTTTATTATGCTATCTTACTAATATTAATAAATATTAAATAACTTTATTTTATTTTATAATAATATATTAAGGTATTAAAAGCTTAAAACCTTATATTATAATATATAATTATAAAAAATAATTAATAAGCTTATAAATAAAATTATGCTAATAATTATAATAATTAAAATAATAATAATTTAATTATTATAAATATTAAAAAGCAATATTATCTTAATAAGCAATATAATAATAATAATTAATACTTAAAGTATTCTTAATCTTCTTTTAAGGGTAATAATTTTTAATTAAATTTCTATTTAAGCTAGCCTTATTAATTTAAGAATGGCAGCTATAATAAAAAATCTTATAAAGGTGGCTATAATAGTAAATATTAGCTTAATAAAGGTAATAATAATAATATATAATATAAAAAAAAGAAGTATTTTATATATTATAAAGAGAAATATTAATTAATAAATTATTTACTTAAAGATTAATAATATGCTAAAGCTATATATATTTATATATATAAGGATATTAAATAATAAGTTAATAATAATAAGTTTAATATATTCTTTATTAGCTTTAAAGATCTTAACTTTAAAGCTATTAGCATTATAATAACTTTAATTATTAATAATAATAAAAAAGGGCATATTTATTATACCTTTTTAATAAATTAAGCCTTTCTTTATAACTTTTTTAATAATATAAATAGCTTTAATATTTATATTAACTTTAAAAACTATTTATTAATAAAAATATTTATTATTTAAGATTAATATTTTTATTAATAATATTAAGGCATTATGTTAAATATAAATATAGCAATATTTTTAATAATTAAATATAAGTAATTTTAAGCTTTGCAATATTAAGTATTTTTTATATATTTAAATATTATATAAATTAATAAAGCATAAATATAATTTAACTTAAGCTTACTTATTAAGTTATTTAATATAATATAAATTAATATTTTAATAAAACTATTAATATTTTATATTATAAATAAGCTTATTTCTTTTCTTTTTTATATTTAAGATATAAATAAGAACTTTTTCTTTTTTTAAAATATTATTAATAAGGTAGTTTAATAAAAAGATAAATATTTAAAGAAAACCTTTTTAATTACTTAAAAGTAAAAATATTTATAAATTTTCTTTAATATAAAAAGTAATAATATATTAATAATATTCTTAATAAAAATAAAGCTTTAATAACTTTATTATAAATTTAAATACCCTTTAGTTAATTATTTTTTATACTTTTTTATTAATGCTAATTATAATAATATTAATTCTTTTATTTTAAAAATAATTTTTAAGTTTTATTATTATTATTAACTTTATTTTATAATATTATAATATTTTAAGTTTAACCTTTAAAATAATATTAATTTTAATTATAAAATTATTATAAATATTATATATTTGCTTACTTTATTTATTTTATAAGTTATTAATTTAATAATCTTTTTTTAAGCTAAATGTTTTTTAATTTCTCTTTTTATAAAGAATATATAAAAGGCTATTTAATAATGCTAAATAAATACTTATTTAAGACTTTTAAATTATATTATTTATAATACTAAAATTAACTTTACCTTAGCAAAATTTTAAAGCATTGCATAAATTATAGGTATTATTTATAAGTAAGTATTAATAAAGGTATATTAATTTATTAGCAAAATTAAAAAATATTATGCTTTGCTTTAATAAGCTTTTAATATTCTTTATATTAAACTCTTAAAAACTTATATTAAAGAAGCTATTTTATAAATAGTTATTAAGATAATAAATAATATAGTTAGCTTTAATGGCATTATTTTAATACTTTTTATTTTTAATATATATTTAAGATTTATAAAAGATTTTATATTAACTTTTTTAATTTTTAAGAAAGTAATAATTATTTAAAAAGCTATAAGAAA